TAACGATTTGCTAGGATTACTTGGTGGTGAATCCTTAAACTTGATGTTTGCGGGGTCAATCCGCAATCAAGTGACATAAAATAAAATTAGTACATAATATTAGCTCATTTAAATATTTGAAAATTAACTTATTTGAAAATGAATTTTAACTTCGGCCCGACGTTTCGGATGCTTTGCACCAGCCGTGGTCACGGGGAGTCTCCCCGCTGCTTTTCAAATAAGTTTAACTAATAAATCGCGTTTTAAACCGTTGTTTTATTTAAATGTGTGTACTACTCGCGTAAACTACAGACAGTACATATTACCTACCTTCATAGTCTACGAAGAACTGTTTTTGGTGCTAACCCACTATTATTTGGATGTTGTCAAGTTATGAATGAGTATGACTGACCCGGAAACAGCATGTTATCTTCAACTCTCTTAGTTTTATTTAAGCTCTCACAATAAATGAATACATAGTAATAAACATTTTTTTTACAATTTAGTCTTATTTCTGTCTTCGTATAACTTTATTGTGTCTGTCTACAATTGTATTCTTTACCTATTTAAAGTTAAGTTGAATAATGTAAGTAATTGTGATAAAACGTAGTCCTAAATAGGATATTATTTAGGTATAGGGACCTATACCTACGATCGTACCGTAGATACTACCATTCAATACCAAATCGATTAATAAATGTTAAATTATTTTATGATAACGATACAGACAACCATTTAACAACCTTTTTCCTAGTTCCACTTTAAAGATAATTCATCTGTTTTAATGTATTCTCTGACTTGAACAGATCTTAACATTTTTACGAAATATCCAATTACTATAAACATGTTTCAATAAAATTAAAAAATTCCAAATTACCATTTTGCAAATGGCAACATTTAATAAATTGACAGGACTGTTTTTCTCATGCCCATAGCATCTAAAAGGCAAGCAGGACTGATGGTAACATAATTACCCTTGCCGTAGGATCTAAATAAACTGCGATTTCGACCTATTTTACCGAAACGAAATTAAACTTAACGGGGTTTTCATTCGTGAGCGGTGGTCGAGTGCCCACCCATTCATTCCCAATTTCTTTGTTTGAAATTGGGGCTTTTTTTTTTTTCCTTTTATTGCTAGTTTAGACTTTATATAAAAATAAATATATTAAACCACTTATAATAAGCAGCTGTAATTAAACACAAAGTTTTACGCCTGTAAGGAGCGTTTAAGTGTCGTTATTTGAAACACCTTCTCGGGCCCGGTGGTGTAATTAATTTTCGAGTTGGCTCATTAATTAATTGGGCGTCTACGGAGATGGGCCGCATGCTTTTTACGACGACAGTAAAATTACTCGCGTAACAGTCACCGCGGGTGGTGTAAAACGATACTCGTTCATTGGGAGCGTCAGTTTAGCTATAATCTATTTAAATAAAACACTTTAACGGTTTAAAACGCGATATATTAGTTAAACTTATTTGGAAATGATTTTTAACTTCGGCCCGACGTTTCGGATGCTTTGCAGCAGCCGTAGTCACGGGGATAATTATTTGTTATTAAATTATACAAATTTTATTAGAGAAAACACATGACATTTAACATAGAATATAAGAAGAATTACTAAAAAATAAAATAATATAATGTCCACTTGCTTCCGAAAAGGAGGCCCCATCAGGGACCGAGCACCAACAACCAAATGACATTAATTTATAAAAATTCCAGCCGGATTACGAACTACCGAATACAGATGAAAAGCAATACAGTCTGTGGATTTCCGAATTTTAAAAGCCAATACAGCGCATCTGATTTGACCGTTAAAGTGGAAAATTATGTTGTTGTCCATAACCTTAATCCCCATCAGCAGTTCACTATACTTCTTATAAGAGAATAGGCTTTAACCTACCACGCTGGCCCAATGCGTCATGGTGGATGAATATTCTCATCAAATTTTTACTACTTGCTGGTTTTGTCGTATTGTCTTTTTTCCACCGAGAGACAAGTGCCTACTTAAATAAGTAGGAATCAATTTTTGACCTTAGAAAGAGACACCTTTCTTAATAAAAATTAGACCGGTAAGGTTTGAAAACTAGATAATCTTCTTATCACAGCAGATAACTTCTTTATCTATTACCTATCTGTGCATTGTTTAAGCACTAAGAAGGTATATGCCAGTAGTATTGTAGGTATATAAAAAGCTAGAAATTTTAAATACAAAACAGCGGGTCTTACTTTTATTTTATCCCGTACACAATTAAACAGTTGTTAGGCCAATTGAGTTTACGACGCGGAGGTCTTCCGACGGCTTTTCAACGCTTCTGTTGGTTTTACGACGCTATAAGTGGGAATTTTGGAATTTTGCTCTTCCACTGAAGAAACGTAAAACATTGCTTCGGCAATTACTCGAGATGCTCCCAATTTATACAGGAATTTATGTACATAAAGAAAAACGAATTTAAAGTTATACAGTACAGTGTTTGTCTCAAACGACAATAGTAATTTACTGTTTAGAATAACATTTAAATACAATATACTCTACAATATTATAAAGTAATGTCTTTAAACGCGCTAATTGCAAGAACTACTGGTTCATATTTAAAAAATATTCAGTCTTAGATAGATCATTTATCAAGGAAGGCTTTATTTAGGCTATATAACATCATTGTGCGACTAGTAAAAACGACAGTGGAAAAAGTTTAAAGCACTGGGAAAGTTACAAATCTTTCAGAGCTTCCCTTGTATGCGCTCCAAAAGTGTAACATAATAATTTTTATTAAATAAACAATTCTCGACTTTATAATTACGAATCATTGATTACAAAAAATTTTAACAGACTCTGTAGCCAAATGGTTAAAGGTGTTGTCTAGCATTACATTTAGCGCGAGAGGTTCTAGGGTCTGTTTCCGGTGAAACTGTAAATTATTTCGGTCTGATCAGCTACTTATCTGACCAAGAACCGAGAGGTTTCCCAAACGGACACAGAAATGTGTTCATCCAATGTCCCAAATATTTTTGCAAATGGTTTAGAGACATAAATGTTTCAAAGAACATTTTCGTCCCTTACTAAAGATTAGATTATATTGAATCACCCCAATCGGCGCGTGATTTGAACTAGTCCAACTCCGACTTGCATGTTCCTCGAATTATTCAAATGCAAAGCACAAGCAACTCGCGCCACCTGTATTTACATCCCCTACCACTGTAATTTGATGACTTCCAAAGTTTTAATGCGAAATTGTTGAACGCTGTAAGAATATTACGACTGAAAGCTGCGTCGCGAATGGAAATTGAAATAATTATACGGGTGTTGTGCGTCGTATTTATTCATATAAATTATATTACAATATTTAACACAACCTATGTCTTAGTTATAACATTTATACTAAATTACATCGTGGTCCATGGTTTTTTTATTAAATTTAAATTAAGTAAACTAAGTCTAGTTAAACCTTGGTCAGTTGTTCAAGATAGTAGCGCCCTTTACTTAGCTCCACTAAACGGAGGAACTAAGATATAAAATACGATACATACTACAAACACTAAAAGATCTTATTTTGGCTTTAACAAATTTCGAAGAATTGAAAGTAAAGTAGTTTTAAAATAACTTACTTTTCCTTAGCCCTTTATTTCTACTAAGTATGACTTATGAGACGAACAATTTAGTAGAAAAGAGTAAGTATTTTTAGTAGGTTTTTACCACCTTACAGTATGCTGATAGACACATAGTACATTTCGAAAATTCGAGTATAAACCTGGTTTAATATCATGAAAATGCTCTACAAATGCCAAAACTTTCGCCTTATATACTGTTTTCAATACTGATTCTAATAATCTAAAAAAAGATTACGCAACCAAATACTCCAAAGCACACCACGAGCACCACATTCATAAAAAAAACAATTATTTACAAAATCATAATATAATATATTCGTCTTTTATACGTTAATTTACTATCACTATAAAAAAACCTAACTGATTATTGCTTAAGTACAGATAATACAATAAAAAATCATGGAAGTTCTTTTATGTTAGGAATGATTCTTTTGCTAAATCGATAATACTTAATTTTGCCAATTATAAAAAAATACGATCGTAGTACATACACCAGAATGGGTTGACATGAAGACAGAAAAAACTTTAGTTTGTATTGGTTTTCTTTAATATTCTTTGAAACAATGAACCTACAACCGTAGGAATTCTCAGAGATCTTCATTAACTCATTTTGGTGAATATAATTTAACAGTACGTCTAAAAATAAGATATAAAAACGATACACTAATTGGTGAATTATTTTGCGATAGTTAAATTAGTTTGCGAGCAAATTTAAAGTCAAGTCGAAGTTTAGGACGCCGTTCTCAGAGATGCTGATATAAACCGTGTTGAAACACGGTTAATGTGTTAACGTGTGCCACTCTTGTAAACTAGAGATAATACTAAAACTTTTGACAAAAGCCATCAAATGGCAAAACAACATATTACAATACCAAAATACCTAGTCATAAATATTCTTATAACATAATTCAACATATAATAAAATACAAAAACACAATTTAAAAGATAAATTGGTCACAGATTTTTTTGTAACTTTCCTAATGAGGGCAATTATTTTATAGTTTCATGTTCTCAAAACTACTTTATATCTACTTAGGTTTTCTAGCTGGTCTGTCGTCGTAATTTTGAAATGATTCTAGATGCTTTGACGTCACAAGAGGGTGACGTCATCAGAAGATGATGCGCGTTCCTTGTCTTGTGATGGAGGCACGTCAAAAACCACTTCTCAATTACGACGATCGAAGCGACCGAAAACCCAATTTTGCTAAAAGACCGCTAAATCTTACACTGCACATTTTTTTGAAATAGGTACATTACAACATAGAAAATATATCTTTATTCGTTGCTAAACATTATTTTAATTGTAAACAATACTAAAATTACCTAAGATATCACACTCGTTGAATCCATAAATAATAATTAATGATGCATAATACCATGCACGTTGTCTAAAGATCCTTGATCGAATAATTTCTCATCTACTCGTCTCTCCGCCTTTTTGTACCTGTAAAATACACCACCATATAAATGTTTATATTATTAAGATTGTTACCATTTATGAAAATGATTTTATAATCATATGTAAAGATCGTAATAAATAAAAGAATTAATTAAAGTCTTTACAACTATTTGAGAAAAACCACTTCATGCATTATTGCTGTAAATAATTTTTAAGGCTACATTTTTTTATTATACGAATTATTATATAATTGGTTATTTGATCTACTTGTATACTTTTTAACCGTTATTATTACGTATATAAAAATATCTAAAAATCTTTTAATGACCACTACAATTAATATTTATAATACATTTAATAAAGGTCTTACTATGTCGTTCAGCCTGCCCAATATTAAAGGCGATGATGGTGCCGGCGTATCCACCTCTTTGGTGGCCAGCATCCGTCTGATCTCACCAGCTCGCTCGATAGCCTCGCTTGGCAGCCACCTCCATACTAATGGAAAGTACAGTTCCGCGTCCATCTTGCTATCGTCCTTCTTATCGAAGATATACCCCACTATGGCTCCTACAGTTATGGTCGCGAAGAGACCGAGTGGTGCTATCCAGTGGTAGGATAAACGGAAAAGCGGGAACAAGGATTCTGGATCCTTGAAAAAATTTAGAGAATTTAAATGACAGAAGTGTAAAGAACACAGAATGAAATCACTCTTTTTCTGTTTAATATCTGTGAGTTGGTACAAAAGTTAAAATGGCTGCATGTACACGGAAAGACAGATTCAAATAATATTTTTTGTTCACACCACAGAAAATACGGAAAAAAATATATTTATTAAAAAAAAAAACTAAAAATTACATCATATGACCCTTGATTTTTTCTTTTTTGCAGCAGTGATTGAAAAATTAACAATTAATCAAAGAGATTTAATTTAAATAAAATAAAAAAGAATGAAATCACTTATTTTGTATTCACAATCTGTGAGTTCGCACCGAATATCAACATGGCGGCGTATTTGTACAATTAGTATGCACAGATTAAAAACCCGGCTAAGTGCGAGAAAGAATCGCGGACGTAGAAAACGACAAGACATCCTGTTTGTCGTATAATATTTTTTAAAATTACATTGCTATGTGTCACATCGGTCCTTCGTATAAAATTAGAGGACCATTTTGCCCGCCTATATACATATTTTTGTCCGTATACAAACAAAGATATATAAATAAAAGGAAATTGACATTCACGAGGACAACATAATCTTTAATATATCGCTTTCAATACCAGCAGTAGTTCTTATATTTTTTTTCTTTGTGTGCGAACTGACAAGTAGTTGTTTAAATAAATCACTTTAACGGTTTAAAACGCGATATATTAGTTAACAGGTCTCTCCGTGACCACAGCTGCTGCGAAGAAACCGAAACGTCGGGCTGAAGTTAAAAATCATTTTCAAATAAGTTTAGCAAATATATTGCATTTTAAACCGTAAACGTGTTTTATTTAAATGTGTACTACTCGCGTAAACTACAGACAGTAGACAAGTAGTTGATCAGCCTTTCACGCAATGCCTGATCGAAACACTTTATTGCTTTCCCGGAATTCGAATCCATGACCTCTAGCGCTTAGCTTAATACAACACGTTTAACCATTTAGCTACAGGCGGTCTAAATAAATGTTTATTATCAATAAATCAATTCAGAATGTATAAAATCAGACTACTTACAACGGCACTGTTCTCGAAGACGAAGCTGGCATTGTTGACGCATTCTGTCGTGAAATTCAGCGGCGGAGACCTCAATCCTGCCGCGGCGGCCGCCTGCGTGCCCATCGATATAGTACCTGTTGTGTTCAGTTCACCATATAGTTATGGATTTCCAGCTATGTGCTCTGGTTAGATCTAAGATACCTTGTTTGTCTACTATAGGATGATACATTTGGCAGATAATCCAATATATCACTGTGCACTTGATTCTGGTAATTTAGTGTAATATTCTTTAGTAAAATAATTTAAAAATAAGTTAACTAATAAATTTCGCGTTTTAAACCATTACAAGTGTCCTCGCGTAAACTGCAGACAGTACGTCATCCTATATTACGCCAAGTATTTGAATGTAGATCGATCTAAGATAATTTATTAGATAACATAGAAATACAGTGTATATTAACAGATTATGAAATATATAAAACATTTAAAAGCAGAAAGGTTGATGAAAATTTGACGATGACGAGTAGGTCAATTGGTTAGGGCAACACCACGGTTCGCTGTGGATGCCGGTTCAGATCCTACACGTGTAGTATTTTTTTAATCGAGGTTTAATAAATAAAACATACTATTGCGTTTGTAAGCAATTCTTACTTTGCTCTATCGCAACTAAATGAAATTTAATTAATTAAAAATGACTTTAAATTTTGTATATATTTTTTTTACAAATTTGATCATCAAACTCACCGGCAACTACAGCTCCAGCGATACCACCAGCAATAGCCCCACGTGGTCCCACCCACCAACAGCCCATTCCTAATGTGAAGATCCCACAAGTGGCACTTGCTGCAATAGCTGATAACGCTGTTGCCACTCCTGCGCAGAAAGACATAATAATATTTATGATCTCACTAGCTGTACCAGCAATTTTGTCCGCGTGAAACATTTATTTTGGGCATAAATATTTGTTATTGCCAATCTCCACATCTTTATAAAATATAGCTGTTACACCATCAACGTCTTCCGCGTCCCGTCGTTCTTGTTAGTTTATCTTAAAGGACAGACATACTCGCACCGTGATGCTTTATAGCCTTCTCCAATAAATGCTCTAACCAACACAAAAATAATTTTTCAATTCGAATCTGTAGTTTTTGAGATAAGCACTTTCAAACAAACTTTTCCGCTTTGTATAGATTTAATTTAATTACGAAATAATGTAGCCACGAGATGGCGCCACTGATCAGTTGACACCCTGTTTTTTTATTTAGTCCTATGCCTACCCAGTACTCCTCCTAGCTTCTCAATGACGATGAGCATCAATAGTGATGATACAGCGAGAGCAGCCGTAACGGAGCGAGCGAGGATGCCTTCCACCATCGGCCGAAAACGCACCTTCATCCAGCCGTGCATCAGATCCTCTAACACCACCAGGGCGCATGCGTTTAGCACTGCTGATAGCGAGCTGGAGATATATAAGAATAAAATATATAAATATATACACTTTTATTTACGCAGGTAACTAAGTACACTTATGAACGTCACATCAGTTAAAAACTAAGGTCTCTCAATTTACTACCAGTTCTCAATTCAGGGCGTAGAACGAACGAGAGGAACTGGCGAGAAACTCGCCGCCACTTCTTTTTTTTACATATTTTGTACATAAGTAGTATATATCAGTTGAGGTAATCTTTTCATGTTTTTTTTTTATATTCTGCATATGTTATCTTTCTTGTAAATAAATAATTAAATAGATAGCATTTTATTTGAATAATTATAATTTATAAATCTCTCTGTATTATATAAAAACAATTGTGTTTCATTGCTAAAGTTCTAAGTATCTTAATTTCCATCTTAATATAATTTAGGCTTCAATCTCACCTCAAACCAGCTCCAAAAACACCAGCCAAGAAGACCCCAGCTAGACCAGGCAGCCTCTGCACCTTGGACACATAAGTGACGAAGGCCGGTAGAAGCCTGTCGTCGACCAGCGGTGCCCCACGCGGGTCACAACCACCTTGGACCCATGCTGTCCACGCAGCGAGCCCACACCACACACACAGTGATATGGCTAACATAGCACCAATGCAGAAAATACCTAATGCCCTGAAAATTATTCCTATCATAATATTGTTTCTATAAAAAATCAGATACCGCCTTTATTTGATAGGAAACACAATAAGTATTAACTGTACTGTGTTTACGCGGGTGGTAGACATTTAAATAAAACACTTTTAACGGTTTAAAACACGAAATGTATTAGTTGAACTCATTTCAAACTTCCATCCTCTGTCCCCCTGTGACCATGATTTCTTAGCTATAAAGCATAAGACATTGAATCTGAATGCGTAAGTGTTAAGGTTGAAATTACAATGTGCATGTATCAATAGGGTCGAAAAAATTAACGATGACGTTTAGCACACTCTACAGGTTAGAGTTAGAAGCAAAATAGATTTTTAATTTACATTATGACATCCTGTTTAAACGTGACAAAAATTTTCAAGAAGAGCACACGGGACTAACTTTATTTATTTAATTTTGAATATAAATGATATCAATAACAGAAATATTTAAGACATCAGTCCCATACCCCAAGATACCTCCGATCTAACTTTCTAGACATTCTTTTGATGCCTGTATCATGAGTTGTAGGTATTTTTACAACAGCACTTACGTTACAGCTTTCCGCTTGGTGGGTAGGGCGATGTATCGCTGCACCATTGTCTGATTAACGGAATTAAAGCAAGTCCAGTACAAGAACCCTCCCACCACCGCGCCCCACCCTGTCTGACGCTCGTAGGGGACAAAACTCCAGCTAAAAAGGAGAAAGACAGTCATTTACGATATAAAAAATATGTAGTTCTCGGAATGCCAGATGACAGAACTGGACATAGCGACGCTGTAACGCGTTACGTAACGAAGCAGTTTAACCTCCCATTATTTATTATCAGTTAAAAAATTTAAAACATTTCAAATTACAGTGCAATAATAAATTACATCTTCTATGAGTTACAGTAGACTAAATGATAAAACATTAAAAATAGGCTTGTAGGCAGCGTTCTTATTAGAGTCATAGCTTTTATGTAATAAAATATTAACAATACTAAATAATAAATTGATTGAATCAATACAAAGATGTAATCTAAACTCAGTAGTTTTTCTATAATTTTTCTTACTAAAATAAAACACTTTTAACGGTTTAAACGCGAAATATATTAGTTAACGTATTTTGTATTATATTAAATTACGGCCCAATGCTTCGGATACTATAATACAGTAACCGTGGTCACGAATATGATATATTTCGCGTTTTAAACCATTAGGTGTTTTATTTACATCCAGACGAGCATAGGATTCACGTGATGGTGAAATACTCCAGCCAAATAATATGCATCCAAATACTGTCTATAGTTTATGCGAGTAGTAAACATTTAAATAAAACACTTTAACGGTTTAAAACGCGACACGTGGAGAGACTGATCCCCGTGACAGGCGCGCAAAGCTCCGAAACGTCGGGCCGAAGTTAAAAATCATTATAAATAAGTTTAACTAATAAATCGCTTAAACCGTTAAAGTGTTTTTATTTAAAAATATCTATCCTATTTTTGGCTTGACTGAAAGCCGAAACGTGATTTTACTTTACACTTTTGTTATCTGTGGACGTAGGTTTGTAACCCGGACGGAATTATGACATTCTTCACCCACTTTACATGCAGATTCCAGATCCAGACGAAGTCCAACACGTTGCAGAAAAAATATAAATTATTAATAAAGAAACGTGTTTCCAACACGTTGGTCCCGGTGGGGACCGAACCCGCGACTCGTCGATAACACTAGGACAACAAGCTCTTTCCAAATGTCCAAACCTACTTGGACAGTTCCAGTCTCCCAGACTCGGCGGCTGTATTGAAGACGTTGGTGACCCCACCAGCAGCGAGGGTACCAGCTACGGCCACTAGAAGCACTCCAATGAACATTACACCGGTTTGCCAGGAATCAGTCCAGACCACCGCTCGGAGACCACCCTAGAATGAAAGTATATTTAAACGTACAGTTGGAAAATAAGTTCAGTCTGGTATTTTTTTTCATGAGCATGGGGCTTGATGAGATGAAATACCCCAACCTATAGCATCCAAACAATATGCACTATCAACCTATTTTGACTTTGGATATTCGGAAATCCACTGGCTGAAAGCAAAATGTGATTAAACTTCACTTTTCATCACCATTTTTTCACTGTTCACCAACTTCACTTTTCACCAACATTTCATATCCAGATTTTCAGACAAAGCCCAGTATGTTTCAGAATAATTATAAACTAATTAGAAAAATGTTGGTGTGCATCGAACCCGCGACCCGTCGATTATTAGCCGTACATTGCTATAATTACACCAACGAGCGTGTCGAAAAAAAATAAAGATTAGGCACGCGGGCTTGTTGTTCGCTGTATCTATACTAATATCATAATATCAAAAATCTGAAGAGTTTGTTCGCTTGAACGCGCTAATTTCAGGTTCTACTCTTTCGAATTGAAAATCCTGTTAAGGCCATTCATTATGGAGGGAGGAAATGTGAAAAAATATTCAACTTTGAGGACTTTCGTTGCGTGCCAAAAAAAAATATATGAAAGAATCTTTATATAATCTAATAATAATGTCTGCGAAAAAATACGTCTATCTTTTATGATAACTGGTAACTTTCATGATAGTTAAAATTGTTAGAAAATTAATGCATTATGTGTTAATGTATACAACACTAACATATAATGCAATATAACAATAATCTCGCAAACGACATAACACCGTCGGCCGGATCAGCTAGTGTTAAAATTATCTAGGGCATATTTCACTTCGTATACACGTGCAATCTGTAGACTATACTAGACAAATAAGCAAATACTTGGAGTTAGATTAAAAACATTTGACGTCACTACGTAAACGGGCACCCATAGTGTTCCGTGCTGCTACTCTAACTAATTGAGATACCGTGTCGGCTAGACAAACAGCACGGAAGGCTACGGATGTCCAAGACCCGTGTGGCGTTTATTTTCCAATCCAAATAGATTTTATCTTATTATTATAAATGTATGCCGATTAAATGCTGTCTGAAATTTACGCGAGTAGTACACATTTAAATTAAAAACTTTAACGGTTTTAAACGCGATATATATTCATTGCAAATTATTTTAATTAAGGCCCGACGTTTCAGATGCTTTGCCTCTCTGTGACCAAGGCTGCTGCAACTATGTCGGGCCGTAGTTACAATAATTTTCAAAAAGGTTCAACGAATATTGCGTTTAAAACCGTCGAATTTTTTTATTGAAATGCATGCTGATTTTTAACAATTGACTAAGTTCTATTACAAATGACTACTGACTACTGGAAAATACAATTAGATTGATCTAATCTAGTAAAATAGTGTATCTGTAATCCAGATCGAATTGTGAACAGACAAACATACTTACTAACGCCGTATATAGACCACATATTAACACCATAACTCCACCCACGGCGAACACGTTGAACCCGGTCACTGAAATGCGAAACGAAGGCGACTGAAAATTTTGAATTAAAAAAAAACCTAAAGAACTTTTTATATAGCAAGTGTCGAGCACTGTCTATGGTTTACGCGAATACGACACATTCAAATAAAAACACTTTTAACGGTTTAAAAAGCGAAATAAAAAAAACATAACAGTCCCCCCGTGACCACTGTTGGTATAATGCATCCGAAACTTCGCTCGGGCCGTTAGTCAGAACAAATTGTATATAAGTTAATTAATGTACTTCCCGTTTTAAACCGTTAAAAGTGTTTTATTTAAATATAACTGATAATTAACAATGAATTTACCAATACAATTAGGTCTATTAAATTTATTTGTTAATCGAAGCATATTTTTATCCTAATTTACCTAGAAGGTATAAAGCCATTAGGAACATGTACCACCACCGGGTATCGAATCCGTAGCCAGTTAATCTGATGCTGGCTAGCCAGTATTGCCAGCATTAGACTAACGAGCTTATGGAAATGTGATTTAATATGAATAAATGAATATGAAAACTTACATTGATTAAACGCTAATGCAGGAACATAGATCACCATTGGTAAAAAGAGTACCTAAAATTTATAAAAAGAGAATATATCTAAATATAAAAACATGTTTTATCTTAGTGTTAAGAAGATTGTCTTATCTATACTAATATGAAAAAGCTGAAAATTTTGCTTGAAACGCTAATGGAAAAATGCTTTTTGTGTAGGTGAAAAATTGTAGTAATTGAATTTTGGTCGTGTATTGGGTCAGCTAGTTATATATTTATTTAACCAATAAGCCTGATGTACCATTAAGTTTAGAAAAGTTATATATATTCACAATTCAAATGAGAAAAAAAACTTAAAAAAAAACAGCCAACTTAGATTTGATATATTTATAGAATTCCAATCAAACGCAAGAAGGTGTTGCTCAAAATAAACAAGTAAATCTATTTCGAGTCATTTATTTAACCCAGTAAGTATTGTTATAGAGCGATTCGTAATATTTCAACAGGTGACGTCAATATGTATGCTCAAAGTCCATTGAAGAAGCGAATGACCCACGCCGGTTCAATTAAATTGTTGATTTTCATATTAATATGGATAAGTATGGTTAAATAAATAATCAGTTAATGAAATCCAATTTTCCCGGGAGGCATAGGCGATTTCTGTGTTGCGCTTATTTTTCAGGATATAGTTGATCTGACTTCTGTGCCCTGTCCCACCAAAACATTTTTTTTTCCCTTATTCGAACCAAGGACCCCTCATGGTTAACGCAATGCCTTATAATGTTGCACCATTTGGCTACAGAGGCGGTTAACATAACACAAAAAACTTTCTTCTTAGAGTGAAGAAGTGGTAAAAGCGCTGTTCTCTTGCACTGGAAATCAAAGGATCGCTAACTGAGTAAGTAAGTAACAAAAAAAAAACTTACTTCATCTAATAAGAAGAGAAACGAAGCAACAGCCCGTACATGCCGATTGAACCGGAGCTGTAGATACTGAAACGAATAGATATATCAATAATATGCATCTTTAAAATTAGTCAAATAATCAATTTCACGTTTTAAACCGTTTAAAATGTTTTATTAAATTGTGTAAGATGTATATTGCTTATCGTAATAGCGAAACAACAAATGAGAGAGCGGCTCAAAGTCCGCGCGAAAATAGTCCTTGTCAATATCGCGTTGATAGATCCATTGTCGGGTCGATAAGATGCTAGATTGAACTGGTCGTGATAAATTGACCCCTCATTGAGATTAGCGTCAGATAATTTTGAGGAGATTAGATAGCACGTGACGCAGTGCAAACACACCCGGATGTTAGTGCATAGGACTAACTCGAAGAAAAATATTTGCCTTTGAGAAATACTATGTCCTTCACTTGGTCTCAATGTTAACTGAAGAATATCTATTGAGAGTTATGTTGTCGTGTTCACATCGAGTATTCGGTGGTTCGATTCCCTCCTAAGCACAAAAATATTTATCGTGTATTTTTTGTGCATCTGACGAAATGTGTCTTTACTACGCGACTGGGAGGCCAGTGGGACATTATATGCTTTTCATAGTCAAATAGTAAAGAAGTTCTTGTATCGTAAAAAAAATAAAGACTTCAGTAGAAAAATATAAAAAGAAATAGAAGACCTGAAAAATATACAGACGTAAACAAAAAAAAATCCAAGGAAACAGTTTAAATAGATCTTCTAACGGTTTAAAACGCTTGTATTATAACCTAATTACAGAGTTTTTAAAATGGGTAAACTAAACTAAATAACTTGCGTAAACTACAGACAGTACGCATCTGATTTATAGATTCGTTTACTTAAAAAACTCCTAAATGGAACCGAAACTTACTTCATACGACGATGACAGCCTCAAAGTACAGAACACAGGCAGATATACAGTGGCGACTATGAGACAACTTAAAGCAACACCGACTATGACAAGCCAGTACTGGGTCCCGTAGTTGTATATCTCCGCTGGTGTACCGAGTATCGTCACTCCAGAGACGTAACTGAAATATAAACATTATCAAATAAGTACTATAAAACACTTTATTATTTTCACATGATGGCGTTATATAAATTGAAGATATATTTAGATAGAATAATTATATCGACACAGCGCGGATGATGTCCCTCTAACCGATAGAGCTACCGATGTGGATACACGTAAAGTCCCGTCCGTATTTAATACTGTCGGCACACATTTAAATAAAATACTAATGGTTTAAAACGCGATGTATTCTTAGTGTGTCTCCCCATGACCATGGCTGCTGCATCCGAAACGTCGGGTCGTAGCTAGAATGATTCCAAATATGTGTAATATACCGCGATTTAAACTGTTAAAGTGTTGTAAATGTTTGTCAATCTAAACAGTTATTTTTTAATAGGTATTACTTATTTATGTCTCCCTGGTCTTTCCACGTTAGTAACAATGAACCATAGAGCATAAAGTGTTGAAAAAATCTTTAAAATTAAATTATAAGATAAATTAAATTTTCTTTCAATCGTATCAAATCAAATCGGAAATCCGACACTGACCCAATTAATTATGTAATCAAAACTTAGCTTAGTGATTACATGCGTTTTAATCAGCATATGTGAAAAAGTTTAAACCGGAATTATCCAGTTATCCAGTTAGACAAAGGGTTCTAGATAAAGCTATTGTTTTGTATAAAATGTAATTATTGAAACGTTAAACATATAATATTTTCATTCAACCAGTAATAAGTTATGCAATGTCATAAGAATAATTAAAAATATTGTACAATTCGCGAGAAATAACATACATTAGCTAATATAGAAAACTGGTTTTGTTTAGTCTTTCAAATCAAGTTATCGTGTTATACAGATAAAGGATGTTGGCATTTTATATTTAAATTATATTCAAGTCACATTATTTTTATTAACCACGAAAATGGGACTCGAACCAAACGACCAACAGAGACCTCTATACTGTTTCGTTGCTACTGTTTTAGCGTACCTAGGGTTTGTTCTGCTTTTAACAAAAGAACAGCAACAACGCGTCTAATAAAATAAATACTAAAAGTGTTACTATTAGCAATTTCATATAAAACACTTTGACGGTTTAAAACGCGAAATGTATTAGTTAAACTTATTTACAATTTATTTTATCTACGGCCCGTCGTATGTAATTAGATTGACGAAGAAATTTCGCTTTTTAAACCGTTTAAAGCGTTTCATTTAAATGTGAAGGTACATCTCGCTTACAGACAGTACTTTTGTTGATAGTGTTTAAAAATTGTTTTAACTACGTGACCACGGCTGCTGCAAAGCATCCGAAACGTCGGGCTTAGTAGTTTAAATAAAATTTTAACAAGTTACACCAACGTTTTAAAAAAATTTTTTTTTTTTCCTTTTTTTTTCCCAAGGGGGCCCTTTTTATTTTAAAAAAAAAAAAAAATTTAAAAATTTTTTTCCCCCCCCGGGGGGGGCCCCCCCCCCCCCCCCCCCCCCCCCCGGTTTTTCCCCCCCCCCCCCCCCCCCCCCCCCCCCCCCCCCCCCCCCTCTCCCTTTTTTTTTCCCCCCCCCCCCCCCCCCCCCCCCCCCCCCCCCCCCCCCCCCCCCCCCCCTCCCCCCCCCCCCCCCTTCCCTCCCCCGGGGGGAGAAGAAAAGGGGAAAAAAAATAAAAATTTTTTTTTTTTTTATATATTTTTTTTTTTTTTTTTTTTTTTTCCCCCCAAAAAAAAAAAAAAAAAAAAAAAAAAAAAAAAAATTTATTTTTTCCCCCCCGGGGGGGCCCCCCCCCCCCCCCCCCCCCCCCCCCCCCCCCCCCCCCCCCCCCCCCCCCCCCCCCCCCCCCCCCCCCCCCCCCCCCCCCCCCCCCCCCCCCCCCCCCCCCCCCCCCCGGGGGGGGGGGGGGTAATTTTACTTAACACTTGCGTATTAAGTTACACTAATATAAATCGCGTTTTATTTAACTTCGTCCCGCGCGTGTAAACTACGGACAATATTTAAAAATAAACATACCTGGCTATTAGCGACATAGCAACTGGAAACGTGGACATCGACTTTCCACCCAGTAAATAGTCCTTCAGATCTCTAACTGCTTTCGTTCGCGAGCCCACTGCGCTGTACCAGATCCCACCAGCACAGGAGAGGGCGCAGAGAACCCCGAACACCACGTAGTCACCCACCCCGAACCCACCTTCGGTCATCGTGAACGCCATTTTGATACTAAAAAGGAAAATGCCCTCAGATACATGCTACTTTGTAAAATTATGGTGAAGTAAGATAATGTTCAAATGTGTTTTACAGACGTAAAGATAACTACTGTAATTTTAACATCGATGTGCAATAACTGACAATTCTTATTTGTATCTCAGAGTATCTATTACTATGACATTATTTAGATCCTGACAGGGTGTTAAATAAAATTTGTAATCATTTTGATACAATGTTATAACAACAATTTATTTTTATTTTACTAAGAGCGAAAGCGAATTTATTTTACTAAAGCAAAGTAACCTCTACATTATAATACTTAGTACCCAAAAACCATGACCACGGCATCTGTAAAACATCCGAATCGTCGCGAATTAAACCGTTAAAAAGTAGACTAGTTTTCCGGATCTTTATGGTGGAAAGTAACAAAAATAAATTTACTAACTGATTTCAATTATTCTACGACGGTAAAGGTCGCAAGAAAAAGCAGTACTCGCTACATGATTTTCATTTAAAATTATTAATACTACTCGCGAGGTTAGAGATGGGCTGATAGTGGTTAGAACCGAAACGGAATTTTAAGCGAACGGCCGGATCATATGGAAACTTCGGTTTCTCTTTGTTTCATAAACTCAAGCCGCGTTCTGCGACTGCATTCACTTAAACTTAGAATATTTACTATATCCATAAACGAACTTAATAACTTAAAAAAAATGTAAAAGCCACATTTTAAATTAAGTTTTATTTTCTAAACGTACATATTTCAAATAAAAAGAAAATTTCAGTAAATCCTATCAATTCAAAAAATATTGTTAAGTTTGTATAAAATATTGTGGTAAGAATAGCATCACGTAAGTCCACCTTAAATTCCTTACCATAATTGGCCCCACATTTTACAACTCAAATTGTCTACCCTCATATTTAAAACTTAAATTAAATTAATTTAAAACTCGCAATGCACTGAACTGTAAGTATTTTTATAATAAGCTATGTACATTCTCATAAGTGATTGTATATATAATCTTTGAGGATAAAGTCCTTAAACCTAAATCTAGGTTTAGGTTATACTATACCCTAGGTATATATCGTACATAATAATTATTATATGAAAGTCTAATTTATTTAACAGTAGCATAAATATAGTAATAAACAGTTTTCTTATACCGATGTTCACCTCATTCCTATTATTTACATCAAACTACCTAATATTATAAATTTTTATGCAAGAATTTAAATATTTAAATTTTAGAGCCATAGACATAGATATTTAATGCCAGAAAAGGGTTGATACGGGTTGAATAAGGGGATGAAAGTTTATATGGAAACTTTCATCCCTTTTTATTTTTCTTAGGCTTTTTGTGAATAGGAGTGGGAGTGAGAGTGAGAGTGTTGCGGCAAAGCAGCACTTACCATAAATTGGCTGCTTTAAATGCGCCATTACATAAATTAATAAACAGCCTAAATAATCAAAAATTCTACCCCAAGTCACTATTCCACGCGGACGATGTCGCGGGCACAGCCAGCACACTATATGTAAAAAAAAACAACGAATATAGTCTACACTCGTGATAAAGTCTACGATTAGATCTTAAAAGATATGAACTTGACCTCGACGAGTCCAAAGTACGGGTGGTGATGAAAACACTCTCAGATACAATTCAATTCGCTGTTGACATTTTAAATTCTTGGATAAACAACTGTGCAACCTTCGCGCGCTACTTATTGTGAGTTATAACTTCAAGAAGTTACGCGAAAGTGTAATCGAGTTTCGGTTACAGTCCGTGAATTCAATTCATGTTGAAAGCCAGATATAGGTCTACAACACATTTAAAACGCTTGTTTATATGTTATATGGCAGAGGTTTTATTAGGGTTAGCATGTTTAAAAAACAACATACGTTTAAAAACGGATATTTAAAAACACTCGAAATTTAGTGTAAAAGAATATAGTATTTTCCGTAATACTATATTACTTTAACGGTATATCGTACGCATACTCGAAATATCGTACAAATTAGAACAGCTGGCAGCCCTATGTGTAATAAACGAATTGATTGTATAATAGTTCAATTACTTAAGAATCGGATCTGTTGTTTGCGAACGTAAGTTAAATGTGATACGTGCATTTAAATTTCTCTGCATGTTCTACTAACCGAATTTATTTCTAAGTTAGTAGTTGATCAGTAGTTGTCACTGTCTTAGCAAAAAGAAGACGAGTATTTGTCAAGATTCCTTGATCAAATAGAACATCTTTAATGGTTTAAAACGCGAACATGTTAACTTTTAATTCTTATCTTTAGTTTCAAGGGCTCTTAGGGTAGCAATGTAAGGCTTATATTAAAAAAGTCGTGGGTTCGATCTCCACCGGTTCCATTGTTTTTACAATCGATTTATAATTATTCCGAAACATGTAAGACTTCATCTGGAAATCTGGATATTAAATGGATGCTACAAATATCGGAATTCCGTATCTTACGAACCACCGACTACCGATGAAAATGCTGTCAAATTAATCGCATTTCAGGTTTAGTCTCCGGATTTCTTTATTTCGATAACATTTGAACATCAAACAAAACACCTTTTTCTGTATACTTTTACAGTCCGATTTAAACAATGCACAGTTAGGAAGATGCAGTTACGTAACGTCATTAGTAACACGCTTAAAGACAACACGTGCCTTTCAAACGTGGAGCAAAATTATTTTTAACTTCGATTTATTTAAGTTTTTGATATTTTATTAATACAATTTTTGAAATTACAAGTCATATACCTATGTATTTTATTACTTACAATTTGGAGAGATAATTATCTTAGGAGAGAGGAGAATTTACAGGTTGAATTACTGATGATTAGAGGAAAATAGGGCTTGTGTGATGGCACTACGTATTTCTCAACCTGGAAGGTAGACATTCGTCCAGTTCAGGCCAGTCGAGTGCACTAATTACTAGACTAATGAGAAAAAAAAATAACTCTTATAAAGATTATTTTGTATAAAAAAATATTATTAAATACATCTCAATGTCCATGAATACTTAGATTCTAAGTGCGATTCAATTTATTTACTACTTTCCTTATAATATTTAATTCATTGTAGTAATCAAACGAAAGAAACGAAACTAACAACTAATTTTCCTTCTATAAACACGTTTTTTTCGTAGCGGGCATAATGTGTTCACAAAATAACTTCTAAGGTAAAATATTAGGTGAGTATTAAATTTTTCCTGTTATTAAGTAACGGAATTGGTAAATCCGGGACTCAATTATACGTCACATACACGATAGTCTACAAAAGTGTAAAAAACCCAAGAAGAGAAGGCATAGGAAAAGGCAAACCTTTGTTAAGGCAATCTTCTAGTACTCTTCTAAACCTATTTTTTGGGACGTAAACCTGGGACCTATCGCGCTTTACATAATGCATTCAACCATTGAGTCACGGATGCAGTCTCGTCGGAAGTAAGCACAGTACCTACGTAAAACTAATACCTAGATTTAGAGGCGATATAGCGTAAGCATATAGCTAACATATTAAGATTACTTATAGTTGGTATTCTTAGGCCAATTAAGCGTTATATAAAAGTACGCGTATGGGTATCGAAGCCAGGACTTCTAGAATAAATAACAAAACAAATACGAACCAGTCGATGATCTCACTCATATCCATTTTTTAGTTTTGTTACATAAGATATGAAAGTAAATAATATTAATACTTAGGATTATGATTTATTAAGATATATCATAGGTATATAAATAACGTAATGTTTCGTTCCGACATTTGTGTGCCGGCAACACTATATCTATGCATTTCTTTTTACGGCATCCTTGTTACTTATCAATTTATCTGTTACTGCCTGTAACTGTGTTGAGATAAGTAAATAGTGTTTTAATAAGAATTGTGCTTAAAAGGTGATTAATTAAAATGATTTTAATAACACTTCATTACGTACATCTTCTAATGAGTAGACGCCCTGGTTATGAACGTCGTCAAAATATAGATTAAAAAAACAATTACGACAGCGTAGGACTTGAACCGTACGATTTACAATCAATGGGTAATTTGTATAATACCATCATGAGCAATAACATGGGAAAAGTATTAAAGTTTTTAAAGTCATATCAAGTGGAAAGAGCACGGAAAGCTTATTTAACCCATATCAAATCAAAATCTTTATTACTCCATATACCAAAATAGGACATTAAAAAAAGGTTAGGTTTTATTCTATTACTGGTATAAGAAACAAACCGTAGATACCTTTGCTAGAAGAATAGTATAGCTCAAAAACAAAACGAATTATGCGGAAGCGTAAGAATTCTTCGCATAAATGATGTTTTGCCAAAGAAACCGGTAACAAGGGCGTCCAGAGGTGTGCCCCGGCGCATCCGCAAATGGCTTACGGCAATGCCAACAAGAATCAAGTTAGCGATTCAAGCTTTCACTCAACATAACGCGGATATCAATAACACAACCTTTGTAACACATTATTGTTGTAATCGTAAAATATTCACTCGAAATTCGCGCGCTTCACGTCACCATTTAATTGTCAATGTCACTGAATACTACGCTGTCATTTAATTTTATCACTCGCGATTAAATTTAGACGAAATTCAATGCGTGCGCGTGATCAGCCATATTAACTGCACTAGCCATGGTAAATGAATGAATGACGTAGAGTTAATAAAATTGTCTTACGTATCGCTTGACACACACATTTACCAGCTGTTCGCTGTTTACGAATGGCACATCCGATGTCAAATATGTAACTGACATCTATTCGCGTAGTGCGAAAACACTGCGACACTGTTTTACCGACGAGCAGGAAAAACGCGCCAACTGGATTTTTTACGTAATCTCGAGTTTGCGGCTGCATTCATTCGAATCATATTACAATGAATATAATATAATAATATTGATTACAAAGAATAATCTGTTTTGCAAAGAATGACAAATATTTTACACATTGTTACTATAAATTTTACTTAAATAAAAATTTTCAAACCTATAGAAACTTTTTCATAATTCTAATGATTTTATACTTTTTTAGTATATGTTATTATCTGTGTCCTATCGTCCATTCTCTACTTATTTCATTGTCATAACATTATTTACGTTGATATTTATTTCTTAATCACAATTAAATAAATAAATTGGTAAATTATAATGCCACCCAAAGAAACTGCAAAAAAACCACCAGCTCAAATTCAGAGGCCTAATGTAAGCGATGCGACTCTTAATTACATTCCTGAAGATGCATTAGAAGGTAAAAAATCTTCTTATATATGAGTAACGTCTAAAAACTACTACTAATCAAATATAACAGGTTACCAAGAACGAATAGAAACGGGTATTAATTGGACTTTAGTTGAAAACGCGGGTCGTCACCATAAACAAAAATGTCTGAAAGCGAATGTACCAGCAGTAACTTTTTCTGAAGCCCTTCAAAATAAAATCCAGAGAAGTTTTTTAAACGGATTCTTTGACGAGTCTAGTTCTCTAACTTTACAAGAGCATTGGGATATCCTTTTACCCATGACTATATGGGATAACCAGAAATTCACAAACGAAGAAGGAAAGATATGTTTTAATAATTGTAACTGCATAACAGATGATATGATTCACTTGATTAAGAAGGCGGTTAAGCTTAACGATCGAAAATTTTTGAGAGATGAATTAAAAAAAGTTACTGTTTTACGGGTGAACGATGTAGAGGTAATTTTTTTTTAATTTCATGCTAATAACCGCTGTTTCCCCTCTCGGGGATAAATAAGAAAGATTGCTTATTATATACAGTGTATAGTTTACGCGAATAGTACACATTTAAATAGAACACTTCAACGGTTTAAAACGAGAAATATGTCAGTTAAAGATATTCAAAATTATTTTAACACGGCCTGGCGTTTCTTATTGTATGTCAAATAATCAATTTAAACCAATTGATTTTAGTTAACTAAGAAATGTGAAGTATATTAAACAATTAACAAAAAACAATTTTAACGGAAGAAAACGCGAAATATATCATAAAGCAACTTATTTTTGCTTTATCTTAACTACATATACCGTCTTTAAGATAAATTTAAAGTAATTTCCGTACGTGCGTGTACCGACTTTAAACTTTTTTTTTATCCAATGTGTACTACTCGCGTAAACTACAGATAATACTGTATTATACCAATACAAGCACGCATTCTTTCTATTTTTTGTAATTTTACGAATAATCTATGAACATTTTTAGATGACGGAGCTAGACGATCAGTTACAGGAATTTCAGAACATTGTGATATTGAATTTAACATGTAATTACATAGATAAGATCGAGGCAAGCTTTATGCCCTGTGGTTTAAAACTGCTAGAACTGCAAGCAAATCGAATAAGTGACGTCGTGCATTTCGCAGAAAAACTACCCTCAGATATGACCTATTTGGGGTTAAGTAGAAATCTGCTTAACAATGGTAAAATATTCCTTAAATAAAATATTCTCTGTAGTTTTCACGAGTAGTACACACTTAAATAAAACACTGAACTGCCGGTTTAAAACGCAAAATATCGCGAGTCTCCTCGTGATCACGGCTGCTGAAATTCATCCAAAACGCCGGGTTGTTATTACAATAATTTGTAAATAGGTTAATTCATTCTGCGTTCTAAACCGTTCAAAAAGGTTTTTCATAACACTAAATACACTTAAATAACTAATTTTCTGGGTTATACAGAAACTTGCTAGTTTTATTTACAGAAAGCCTTGCCAGTTTGGCGCGCTTACCACATCATTTGACGGTTTTGGATTTGTCGGACAACGACATCTGTGATCTTAACTCGGTACTAGATCCTTTGGCGCTTCTGCCAAGTCTGACAGCTTTGCAGCTCGCGGGAAATCCATGCGCGGTAATTGTAGTTTTATAAAACGAATATAGGTGGCGCTGAAATAAAATTAGCTACATAGTATTATTTTTAAATAAATAAATAGGAATAATGATTGTCTGGCATTTCCTCGTCTTAAATTTTGTTTGTCATATACTAAGTATTCTGCGGTATACGCCTAAGATTCTAGATTTTTTCTAGTTTAGTATGGCTCGTCGTTGTGACCCCCACCACATCCAATATACATATTTTTAATTCATTTATACATTATCTGAAACGTGTTGGCTTTTGTCTAGAAATCTGGATATTAAAATGAGTCATAGAAATATCGAAATTTCGCCTAGGTGACGTGCCACCGTCCACAGATTAAAAACGGCGAAACTTAATCGCGTTTCGGTTTCAGTCTATGGATTTCCAAATATCCAAAGCCAAAATAATTCGACTCGGATCTTGATTACATGAAAGATACATGCGCGGTATGGACATATCCATAAATAAAAAAATACCCCAAAATACCCCTAGCTGGGGTATTTTTTATTGTAAGGTTGTAAAAGAATAATTTTTAAGGTGTGTGCTGCCTACGCCCGTACCACTTTAGCTCGTCTTCTTCGCCTCCAATGGTTGGACTGCAGGGAGGTGCTCCCCACGGACCGATCAGCTGAACCCTTCGAACCCCATCCTGAAGACCTGCGATCTGCGTACTTCAACTTTACAGTGTTCCGCATCATGTCTGCCATTCAGCCACCGAAAGCCGAAAAGGTAAATCTATGCTATTTATTTACTAGTTATTATATTAACGCCAATAATTAGTAAATATGTATATTAATTTACTTAGCATGCAGTATAGAAAATAATAAAACATTCATATTATGGCATATGTTATGAATGTTTTATTATTTTCTATACTAATTTTATAATGGTGAATATTTTGTTTGTTTGTTTATTTGAAAACTCTAATCTCAATAACTATTGATTCGAATTCGAAAATTATTTTTGTGTTGAATGGTCAATACAGTCCATTCAACACAAAAATAATTTGGAGGCATATGACATCACCCCGCAACCAATTGGAGCAAAACAACGGGGGAAAATATTCATCTTTGAAAATTTTATTCAAATAAATTCAAAAAAAGCGAAAAAAATTGTCCCAGGTAGTATGTGTTTTTTAAACGGTTTTATTTTTAAGATGAACTCACAAGAACCGTTTATGTCAAAAGAGGTTTGCCAGGTCAGCTGGTACAATATAATTCATTAAAATCTATGTACATAAATGCACTATCAAAATATATGAAGTGAAATTATTTGTATTTCACTACTTTTTACTTTCCAATTACTATATAATAAAAATAATTGTTTTGTGTAGGGCGCAGTGACAGCATTTTACGTAGAGATAGAACTGCCTCTACTAGATGGTGTGAGACGGCAATTCTTAATGTTCCGAGAAAACGATTCCTTGATTGAAATATTACCTCCTCCAGAAGACGAGGATTGGGCTGAATCCAAACCACCATCTGAGATTGAAAGCAAAATGTTGCTTGGTGTGTCTTTTCGTAACTTCTCTTGTGTATTTTGTAAAATTTAAACTCCTATGTATATAATATTATAAAGCTGATGAGTTTGTATGTTTGAACGCGCTTATCTCAGAAAGTACTGGTTCGAATTAGAAAAACATGTGTTGGTTAGATCATTTATTGAGGAAGGCTATAAAACATTCCGCTGCGACTAATAGAAGCGAAGAAACTGGCAAATGTGGAAAGAACGGGGAAAACTATTCAACTTTGAGGGTTTCTGTTGCATGCGCTTCAACGAAAAATATGTATGAAAGAGTAATTCTTCTATAAATGATAAAAAAAAATCCATGGCTGTTTATATCGCTTTTTAAGACTAACTCGCAAGAACGACGACAACGTAACAGCTATATACAGCTGAGGAAGTTGTTTGCAAAAAATAATAATATGATGTCCAAAATACCACGTGGACAAAGTCGCGAGCACGGCTATTAAAAAATGTTTGTGCTTTAAATACTGTCTATACTTTACGCGAGTAGTACACATTTAAATAAAACACTTTAACCGTTTTAAACGCGATATCTTAGGTTATTAGGCCTCCCCGTGACCAAAGCTGCTGCAAAGCATCCGAAACGTCGGGCCGAAGTTAAACATCATTTTCAAATAACTTTAACTAATATATCGCGTTTTAAACCGTTCAAGTGTTTTATTTAAATGTTTGTGCTTTTCTGATTGGCAGAGCCCGAAGCATCGTCACACGCTTCAGATATCTATAACCGTCTCACAACGAAGAACTCTAGACTCATATGCCATTACACAGTTTTTGAGAGCAACAGGGTCCAGTGGAACAAGATCATGAACTTCCAAGAGCCAACTGTGCGGATATTTTGTCCCAATCTAATTGCGTTACGGGATACCTTTCGGACCGTTATTACTGTGAGGTTTATATATTCTGTGGTACGTTTTAAATTTTACGTATACAGATAAATTTCATTCTTTATCTATCTCAACGAACCCAAACTTAAAAAATATATACCACCATAATATCAATTTACATACTATTAATTTATCATTAAGTTCATACAGTCTGTAGTATATGCGAGTAGAACACATTTAAATAAACCACTTTTAACGTTTTGAAACTCGAAATGAATTAATTAAACTGATTTTCCAATTATTTTAACAACGGCGCCATGACCATTGTCTGTTGAACAGTAATGCTATTTAAGTAGAAAGAATCATTCGGAATGTTCTTTTTTTAAAACTTATTATTTTAAAAATCGAAAATAAATTGAAAAGATATTCGACTCGGGCAGGACTTGAACCAGCATCGTCAGCGTTCCGTGCTGCTGCTCTACCAATTAACTTTCGATTTTAAATAATATAGTGCCATCATGTGCAAATAACATGTGAAAAATATTTAAGTTTTTAAAAACTTATTTTTGTTATCATTGTATGTACCTACTCGTAAATGTCAAATGGCTATAAATTCATTTATAAATCTAATAGTTAACGCAATGTTTATTCTTTTATAAATTGCTTTATAGCTAATTAATTTTTGCTCCTCTAATAAATTACAGAGTATTTTAATTGCTATCAACTTACAAATAATGTGACTAACTTGCAGACAATTAACACGAAACCAAACAAATCAGATAAGAAGAGCGCTATGTCTTTCAAGCCACCCGGGGAACAGAGAGTTACCCTGGCTACTATAAAGTGTGCCTTAAAGAAACCAGACTGGAGCCAGCAATCACAGCATTTCCACTGGGATGACTCTCTTGGTACAGAAGATGCTATACATTGGGGAGATGCTGATCTTTCGGTTAGTAACAACGAACATTTTAGGTAGTTGAAAAAGGTAAGATGCGTTTTTTTAAAGAAGTAATATATAATATAATAACTAAACTGAAATATTACGTTCAGCTCTCAGACTATTCTCTCTCCTCGGGTATTCGAAAAAAAGTTCGTTCTGAAAACTGTGACGTAGACAAGGAAAAAATTCAAATAGGCTTTAAAAAGTAAAGAAGCAAAAAAAAAATATTACAGCTTATATAGAATATAGCTTTACTCCTGATTCTCAATTGGCTCATGTTTTTTAAGGCATAGGTGTCTGTTACAGATCCTGCAGTACGGTTTGGGTGTAGTCAAACCAACCAAAGGGAAACCTGAAACAGATCCAACATCCTCCAGGCAGTTACCCCCAGACAATCTTACGTGTCATTTTGGTTTCGGGATTGATACAGTACGCGCATGATGACTTAACAAATTTGACAGATTTAACGGCGAATAAAAAATGAAAATGAAAGTCGCGTCGTAGTAAATAATATTAATTAAAATATAATTTTAAAACTGTTAAATAAATAAATAAATATTTTCTATATTTTCCGGAATTTTACTGCAGCTCCATATTGCCTTTTAAATGTCTTTATTAAGTCGTTTAAGGCTTTTGGTTAAGGCTATATAGATCAACACAAGTCAATTAAATAGGTTTATAGTATACTAGCTCTGTTAGCTCTAGCTCAGTGACTTCGTCTGCGTAGAATAGATGTTTTGGGCATTCAAATTTGGTTTTGTAAACCATCTTTTCATCTTTATAAACTTATGCTGTTGCCCACAACATCGGTCTCTGTAGCTTGGAATAAAGTATAGATATAAGTAAATATTCTTAAACTTATAACTTCTGTTGATAGAATAAGATGGATCAGCGTTTGGTTCACTTGATACAATGTAGGATAGGCTTTATGTTACGGCTATGAACTGTTCTGAACATTCAGATATAGACAGACTGAATCCGTAACGCTGTTTTCGTTAACATACATTTCAATTTTAACATTTCCTTTGTGGAAAGTGTTTTGTGACCAGGACGAAAGTCCTACCATAATTTCCAAGTGGAATCAAAAAATATTTTTTCATTAAGTAATAAAGTATTTGTTAGTTCCTCTTAATGGGAATTATAGCCGCGACCCGATAGTTATTAGCCATAACTTTCCACCATTAGACCGACGACCGCGTCAATGTTAAGAATTGTACAAATCAAAAACCCACTAAGGATATATACCTAAAAAGCCATTGTTGTTCGTTATGGCAATTCTGTATATAGTCGTTAAGTTTAACGATTCTATACGCAACAATATACACATTATAACATTGATGTATGTCTGTATGTAGAACATATTTTTGTAGCAATTTCAACTGATCCCACAGCTTTCAGTAACAGAGGTGAACCCTTGGAAATAATGGGTCCAATCTCTGAAAATTCATTGTAAGGTTATCAAGGCGGTAGTGGGCATAAAATGTCAACAGATTTGATTGCCGGATCAGTTTCAAAAGCGAACCCATTTGGAATCGTAGGTCCCACATTTCCCATATTTCGTCTCGCTAAACAGTCACATCCTCAATTCAGTGGTCAGTTCAAAATGCGTTAGGGTCACGAATCAACCGACACTAGTGTTAGTTGAAAATGGCAGGGGGTCACGAGCGTTGGGGAAATCAAGTGGAGTATTTGCTCTCGTGCCTCGGTTACGCTGTTGGTATCGGGAACCTATGGAGGTTTCCTTATCTGTGCTATCGGAATGGTGGAGGTGAGTTTTTATGAGTGGCTGAAAGGTATATCATTGACGACGTGAGCGAGAAGAGGTTCTCGACGTTTCGCTCGATTGCTCGAAGAATTAGTTAATCTAACATCTTCTTATGATGCCGTCCGCACGTGATGGTGAAACGTCGAGAACCTCTTCTCGCTCACGTCGACCGTGAAAGCCTTACACAATTTACTGGCAGAAAAGTGTTTACTTGTCTTCGTTATTTAAGCATTAAGAACAAATATTCGTGTTCACAAAAAATAAAATGGCTTGAATGCATTTTGAAATTACATGTAAGTAAAAAAAGGAACTTAAGAGAAAGTTTAAATATTACAAACAATATATCTTATTTTCATGTATGTTACCAATCTCCTACTAGAGAGGATAATATTATTTAGAAAACAGCAGCTTATTAAAATATCTGGAAAGGCATCTTTGTATAATGCAGACTGTGGAATATGAGCTAAATCTTATTCTATCCCTTTTTGAGAGATTTGAGGAAGATGAGGTTATTAAACAAATGTTAATTAAAATTTCAGGTGCATTTTTAATCCCATATTTGTTAACCCTAGCAATATGTGCGATACCACTCGTTTACTTGGAGACAACATTGGGGCAGTTCGCGAGCGCTGGTTGCATTTCAGTCTTTAATATCAATCCTCTGTTTAAAGGTATTTCACTCAAATTAGTACGAACTACGAAATAATTACTGAGTAATGTATGGAGGTTATGCGAGTAGTACACATTTAAATAAAGCATACTTTCCTTACAGGCCCGACGTTTGGGTTGCATTGCTGCAGTTTACTTATACATTTTGCGTTTTAAACCGTCAAAATTGTTTTATTTTAATAAATATTTATCTTCTTAATAACAACAGTTACGAATGTTTAAAACAAGGATGTCATGATTTTTGGGACAAACTAATTTTAAATTATATAGTATACAGGAATCTTTGATCTTTTATGTTTGTGAAATTTAAGTCAAACACTTTACAGTAATACTTTTAATATTATCTCACCAAAATATCAGGGTAAATCCTTTAATACTTCAACAACTCCAGGTTCAAGACATGCGAGTATCTTTGATCTATCTCGTCTTGTAAAGGCTCTTTGACAAAAAAATCTGTTTATTAATTTTCTTAATAAATCATTGCTCTCCTTTACAGCGTATAATCTTAGTTACATATTTATATGTGTACAATAGTCTAACTTAATGAAGATACCATATAAAGTTACACGAGTAGAATTAAACAAAACACTTTAACGATTTAAGACAAGATATATATTAGTTAAACTTTTTTGGAAATCATATTAACTACGAATAAGAAAAATTCGTTTCACTAATATATATCGCGTTTTAAACCATTAAAGTATTTTAATTAATTAACTTTTAAAAGTTAATGTCTGTTCAGCTGTTTTTTTGTCAACAGGAGCCGGATACACGATGGTCGTTCTGAACATCATTGCAGTAATATATTTCGCAGTTTTGATGGCGTATCCGATTCTGTACGTATACCATTCCTTCAGCTCGCCGCTGCCTTGGCAGAACTGTGGTAATTCGTGGAACACGGACAGATGCGCGGAGGTAAATCAGAGCTTGACTTTTATGAAAATGAATGCTATTAGTTATTTACTGTTAGAACGCGTAGTGTTGCGTTTAACGCAATTGATTTGTTTGGACAGGATACAGAAATTTCATCTTCTACTTACCTATATATATAATTAATACAGGCACGAAACTATGTCTGGCCCACAAGCAGCAGCAGCAGTCGTCACACAGACACTTCTTTCGCGTATTATACCAGTGAAACGTGTTTAATTTAAACGATATAGTGTTCTTTTCAAATTTTTCCTACGGTTCGAACCAAGGACCCTGTATTATGTATTAATGTGTTTAAATATTGCTCGTTGTAATACAGGCGATAATTCGATTTTATTGTACCAATAGCTAGGAAAATGTAGGCTATAGTACATTATGATATAAGTGCGGTAAGTTGAAAATTACAGCCGAGGCGATATTACTAGCCCGAGCCATCAGCGAGGGCTATAAGAAAGCAGAGGCTGTAATTTTCAAAGCCCTCGTATGTCATACGACGTTTTATAACATATTTACGAGGAAATGACGATATTTTCAAATAAAAACAATACAGCGAAAAGAAGAAGTGCGCGGTATTATTTTTATTTGTCGTTTGCGTTTTATTTAACGTTTATTTTTTTAGGCAAAGGTACAAAAACAGCCAGTATTACTAACAAAGTAAATTTATATTTTTGTGTTTTTGTTGCAGATATATAGTTGTAATTTATTGTCAAAGTTAATTAAATTAAAGAAATAAACGTTTATTAGTTATAATTTATTTCCCAAAGTTAATTTTATTCATAAACTATTGACCACTTTCTTGACATAAAACCTCTTTGGTGAGTTTTTTAAAAGTATCGTTCATTTTTAGACGGAGTATCTTAAAACTTTATTTTAAAAAACACGTGCCTTTTACATTACATTATCGCACAAGTACGTAATGAGATACATTACGATATTGAAATTGGTGTAATTACAACCTCTTTACGAGCAAATATGTTATAAAATTGTTTACATATTCATTTAGTTGCTCCCCACTTTTGGTTGGTCCTTCTTAAGTTGTGTTGTAAATTTGTATATATTTTACGTAAGTTTATTAGTCTCAAAAATTAGTTTAGTTAGGTAACACTAGTTACTGTAATGTGTGCATCCTAAAAAATCTTTGCATCTTTTTTGTTTATAGATTACAAGTAATTCTAGTCTGATAAGCGGCAACACAACGACGCCGGAAGATGAGTTCTATCAGTAAGTTACCCATTATCATTTGACGGAAAAAATAGGAATTTATTTCGTGTTTTTAACTAATTGTGTTGGATTCCACAAAATGTATATAAAAACTAGCTGTCTCAGCGACTTCGTCCGTGTAGAACAGTTATTTTGGTCATCAAATTTGTTTTTGCAAACCTTGTTTGTATAAAATAAAGATGTTCCCAATGACGTAAGTCCCATCCCGTCGTTCTTGCAAATTATCTTAAAAGATAGACATATTGTGGAAATTTTTTTAGATCATTAAAAGAACAGTAATTCTTTTAATTTTTAAAGTATCTTAGGAATCTCTAAGACATGAATATTTTCCTCGTTTTTCTACATTTCCCACTATTTCTTGGCATCGTAACGTTTTATACCCTAAAAACATTCCTCGATAAATGCTCTAACTAATAATTTTCAATTCGAACCCGTGGTTCCTGAGATTAGCGCGTTCTAACAAACAAACTCTTCAACTTTATTAGTATAGAGTTACTTAAAATCTGTTTAAATGTGTGTCGGCTTATTCAAATAAGAATGTTATCTCACCTTCAACCTAAATGATTTGATTTGATTAACATCTGTTGTATTGATTACTTGTTTCAGCATACGGCTTCTACAAATTTCGCCAAGTATTACCCACATCGGCGGAATCGTGTGGCCAGTATTTTGGTGTAATGTGATCGCTTGGGTGTTAGTATATCTTTGCATTTGCAACGGTGTGAAAAGCGTTGGAAAGGTCAGTTATACCATAACACTAGCTGTGAATGCGCGGATGAAGTCGCTGGACTTCACCCGCTAAGAATATCTATTTTGGGCATCCAAATTCGTTTTTGCAAACCTCTTTATCTTTATAGACTTAAGCTGCTACCCACGACGTCGATCGCGTCCCTTCGATATATGCTCTAACCAACACAAAATATTTTTTCAATTCGAACCCGTAATTCCTGAGATTAGCGCGTTCAAACAAACAAACAAACTTGATTTTAAAGCGTTTACTATACGTTACATGTAATAATTTTTGCGGGATGGGGTAAAAAAATTACCTAAAAGGTTTGTACATTTTGGGGAAAATATAACTCAAGCACAGGGTACTTTAGGCCATTTGATGGTAGGTAATGTACCCCAGCCATATAACATCTAAACAAGATACTTTAGTTATTCGAAAATTATTGATAGACTGAAATCGAAACGCGATTAAATTTCACGTCTTTATCATCTGTTGACGGTGGTTCGTGACCCGAACGGAATTTTGATATTCGTCCCAAAAATATGAATTTGAATGCTGGACATGGTTGGAAACGTGCTTAGCATTGCTCGTTGGTAAAAGCTATACATTGCGACCATGCCCCGGGTTAGCTTAAACGATGTAAACCCGGGGTGACAAGCCGTTAGCAATGGTTAAACGTGGTTAGCATTTCGTTAAGTGAAGCCCTGGGTTCGATCCCGGGAGACAATAGATTGTTGTGTTACGTATTATGTGTTGTGTCATGTGTAACGGACACAGAAATTTGTACGACCCATACCCCACGATTTTACTACACTTAAACCCGAACAAATAAATAAACACCTATGTTTATTTACAGATCGTGTATTTTACTGTGCTTTTTCCGTACGTGGTTTTATTCGCCCTATTAGTGCGTGGAACAACATTGCCCGGGGCTTGGCAAGGGATATTGTATTACGTGCTGCCAGATTGGAGTCAATTAACCAAACCGAAGGTATGTTAATTTTACCATGATAGTGAAGAACATGTAAACGAGAATTATGTTAGTTAACTTACTTTTAATTTATGTAATTTTTAATTTATGCAGGTATGGGTCGATGCAGCAACTCAAGTCTTCTTCTCCGTTGGGCCGGGCTGGGGAGGATTGGTCAGCATGGCCAGTTTCAACAAATTTAATTACGACTACTTAAGGTGAAGGTGAAATTCCGTTTCCCCTCTTGGGGCATAGGGTAAATACATTTCTCAGTTCCCCTGATCGGTTTTATTTACAGACAATGAGTTGCCCGAGCGAGGTAATAACAATTTTTTTCCCGGGATTCCAACGTAGGACGTCGCGCAATTCTTGCAACACGTTTAATCATTTAGCTACAGAAGCGGTTCTCTTGCTAATCTCTACCTCGAAACCTAATTGATTGGACTATATATACATATAACGGAAGGTCAGGAGTTAACTCGCTATCAGACATGATGATTATTGAAAGCAAATCGCAGTTATTCACTTTACAATTGAATTTCCAATATTAAATCACAACAGGAAGGAAATAGTTAAGGTTCGCCACGATAAATCGCGATTTAGTTGGTAACGCAGCGAGTTCGTCCACTCAATCTGTCGGTGTACGCCTTCGGCCCATCTAACGGTCGTAACTTGACATCCGTTGCTGTCAAACGTCATGCCAACATTGCGGTGATCTCACTCAAGCTAACTATTTGACGTTGCCAGCTAATGTGTTATAATTAATAAAACGAAATGATATTAAAAAAAATAACAATTAATTCTGACGCTTCGACACATATATTTATTTAAGTATGTGTATCACTGTATTGTTAAATCTATACTAATATATAAAGCTGAAGAGTTTGTTTGTTTGAACGTACTAATCTCAGAAACTACGAGTTCGAATTGAATAATTATTTTAGTGTTGGTTAGACCATTTATCGAGGAAGGCATTAAAATATCGTGCTGTGACTAATAGAAGCGAAGATACAGCGAGAAATGTGGAAAAAATGGGAAAATTATTTATCATTATTGGTTTCCGAGGTTCAAGATAACCATAAAATATGTATGAAAGAATGATGCCTCTTTAAATGATCTAAAAAAAGTCCCTTAAGATCAACGAAGAAAGAAAATCTCTTAAGATTAACGAGCGAGCGCAAGCGATGGGACGCGACCGATGTTGTGGGTAACAGATTAAATTTATATAGTAAATAGTTAAAATAACTATTTTACGCGGACGAAATCGCTGACACAGCTAGTAGTAAATTTTGAACAATACACATATTACACAAAATAATACCGAAGATAGGCCAAATAAATGAGTGCTAACTCAAAGTATTTTTTTAATTTTATTTAGCGATAAAATCTAAAAGAAAATGAATTTTCAATTCACTAGCGTAGGTATATGTGACGGAACTTATACTGAATATTATAATCAAAACACATTATAAAATATATAAATGTAACTGAGAAAAATTGTAAATAATTAAATGTTTAAATAAAAAAATGCCAGGGTAAATGATATATTTTGTTTTAAACTTTGTTAAACAGATCATCAATCATTATACCAGTAGTATGTTGCGGGACCAGTATCCTAGCTGGGTTCGTGGTGTTCTCCGTGCTTGGGTTTGCTGCTGAACGCGCTGGAGTACCAATAGGCGAAGTAGCGACTGCCGGACCAGGTCTTGCCTTCGTCACGTACCCGGCTGCTGTTTCAATGATGCCGGCACCCAACTTCTGGGCAATTACCTTCTTCACTATGCTTTTCTTCCTTGGTATTGATTCTATGGTAAGTAATAAGTATCATATCTCTATGTTTCAGAAGTGCAGACTAAAGTATGGCTTTTATTTCTTTAGCTACTAAAGTTTGGCTTAGTGTAATGGTAGCAATGTATGGCTAAAAATGAACGTGGATTCGATCCCCATCGGTTCCGTAATTAATAAATTGTGTGAGGCTCTCACAGCCATGGTTCAACATATCATTGTCTTTCGGGCTGTTCGGCCGACGTGCGCGAGAAGTGGTTCTCGACGTTTTGCCATCACGTGCGGACGGCATCATTGGATTGTTAACTCCTCGAAAGACAATGATTATACGCTGGTTCTATAACTGTTCTAATCAATTTATTATTTTTCTGAAACATGTTGGACTTCGTCTGAAAATCGAATGAGTAGGAACATCGCTATTTCGTCCGCGTCACGAACAACCGTGTACAGATAAAAAAGCCGTCAAGTTTAATCGCTTTCAGTATCAGTCTGTGGATTTCCGAATATGCAAAGCGGAAATAGGTCGATAGCGCATCTGGTTTAGATGTTATATAGCTGGGTTAAGAACTGGGGGCCCCATACTTGTCTATAAAAATACCTCCTATTTTTTAAGTTCTAGCTTAGCTCAAGATATTGAGCTTACGAGGCGGTCGAATCATTATCGTGCTGCTCTTCAATTCACACAGCCATCAGTAGTTCCTAGTATTTGATAGTACAAAATTGCTTTTATGAAGTTTGGTCGAATTGATTTCGTCGAATCGTGTATCGTTTTAAATCGAATTCGAAATGAATGTCAATCACACACTCGCGTGCGTTCACGCTTTCGCAAATCGTTTTAGGGGGCGATTCTTAACTATGCGATATAAGAATGCTTCGACATAAGGCGAAAATAAGGTCTTTTTTATGTTAGCGGAGGACAGATGTGCATAGGCTTTACTTGATGGTACGTGAAATAGCTTAGCCATATATCATCTTAACAAGATGCCCTGCCGGCCTATTTTAGCTTTGGACATTCAGCTCTTTCATCTGTGGACGGTGTTTCGTGACCCGGACGAAATTTTGATATTCCTACCCCCCATTTAATAGCCAGACTTCCAGGTCAAAAGTAACATTTTTAGAAAATTCTAGAATTTAGGCAAATGTTCCATGCTGCAGCGCACAAAGAATCGTGGAATAAGTCGAGGCAAAGTGTTATATTATATCACTTGGGTGTGAATTCATCCCCCATCTCTGAATCATGTTCGTATATTTGTATACTTTGCAGCAGCAATATACCTCAAGACATGAGAAATGCCATCAGTCAATTCTATGAATCGTTTTAAGCGATTTTAAAGAAAGAGTTTGTTCATTTTTATGATGAGAAGTTCACTTGATGGGTGAAATACACCAGCAATATAAAATCTCGACAAGATACGCTGCCGACTTATTTTGACTTTACATAAGTATTTGAATAAAACACTTTAACGGTTTAAAACGCGATATATTAGTTGAACTTATTTGAAAATGATCATGTCAATGAATCAGTCTCCCCGTGACCACGGCTGCTGCAAAGCATCCGAAACGTCGGGCCGAAGTTAAAAAGTCTTCCCTCCTATCCTTTAAAAAGCTCCTCTACAAGCACTTTATGTCACTTAATTACCCATCTTAATAAATTGTCACTATCTTTTAATCTTTTAATATTTTTACGCAATCCTTATTTTAGTTTAGTTTCCCTAGATAAGTTTTGAAATTGTATGTAAGTTTTATTTTGATAAGTTTAAGATTATATTTAACATTGTACATTTTGTTTCGCCCACCTTGCACATCTCGTTTTCCCGTAAACTTTTTTTCTCTTTCATCTTGGGTTGCCTGGAAGAGATCGCTCGTTAGCGATAAGGCCGCCCATTGCACTCCATATGTTTAGTATATAAGTTTATATTTTTGTTAATTTTTTTTTGTGCAATAAAGTGTAAATAAATAAATAAATAAAATAAATAAATAAAAATCATTTTCAAATAAGTTTAACTAATATATCGCGTTTAAAACCGTTAAAGTGTTTTATTTAAATGTGTACTACTCGCGTAAACTATAGACAGTATTTACATAAGTATTTGGAAATTCACAGATTGAAATCGAAACGCAATGGAATTTATTATCCAGCCAATCGCTTTCAGAATAGTTAATAAATTGATTAGAAAATTTAGGAGCCGTTGGATATCGAACCCACGACCCGTTAGTTATATTGATGCAAACATTGCTACTATTAGTGATTTATATTCGAGTTACTTATATAGTTCGATGTACTATTAGTGAGTTATGTGTGAGTTATGTTCTCAGTAAAACTAAGGCGTAAAACATGTTTTTTTAACATTTAAATTAAATGTTTCTTTCGATCTTGTAAAGTATACTATTTTATAAGTTATCTTTTACAGTTCGTAACTATAGAAGCTGTTATAGCGGGGCTCCTCGACGAATTCCCCCAACTAAGAATTCGAAAGAAACTCATAACGTTTTTGACCTGCATCTGTCTATTCTGTTTGTCCATCGTCTGCACGACTCGGGTAAGTTTAAAAGAACCAAATTTGTATTCTTTAAAAGCCAGCCAAGTTTCGCCCTCATCATCACTGGGGTTGTTACAAATCAAGAAATTCTCATCATATATCGGAGACACATAATAATATAGTACAAACCACTAATCAGCTGCCAGTTCTTAAGAACCAGAGGGTAACATATTATTAGATTAGTTTTTTCCAAATTTCCCGCTGTTTCTTCGATCCTATTAATTACAACGCGATATTTAATAGCCTATCTTCCTCGAAAATTGCCCTGACCAAAACAAAAAGGTTTTCATTCACTTCGAACCAGTAGTTTCTGAGATTACCGCGTTCCAATAAACAAACTAACAAAAAAACAAAAGATTACTGAACGTGTTGGAGAAATGGATCAGTGCGATTCTACTATATGCATATTTTGGTGAAGTTTCGAAATTTGGCGAAATTGCTTTGCTCGGCATGAACTCAAAAGCTAAAAGTTAGCCAAAACAACTGATTTATGTTTAATTTCCAACTTTGATAACCTATTTTAAAACAACGGCGTAACTGCAGTTAAAGCCTCGTCCTAGAAAACTTTCTTGGGGTTAACGAACTCATAAATATAACTTCTAGGCCTTGAGAAAATAGGTTATTGCATTTGCACGATTGTTTTCAAGAAAAAGTAATTACTTCTGTGAGGAGACAAAGTTTGATTTCTGTTTTTAATTTTATTAAGTCTTTTTCATCGATATGCAAATGCATTTTAAAACCAGATATATATTTCCTAGAAAGAATTAAAATTTCAAAATATCTTAATTCAAATTGATTATATGAGTTAGGTATTTCTTATTCACTTAGATTTATACTTGAATATGTAGAAACTAAGTGACGTTATCACAATTCCAAATTATAAGTGTAATTTTGTTAAATGCACAAACACATAATACAGTGACAAACAATCTCGTTTGTGTTATCTTTGCCTCCGTAGGCATGGAATGTCAGTTTTGGGAACTATCCCAACACTGATGTTGAAGGCTACTGAGTCCCAACCTAGCTGACTGGCTTACTTTTCAATGGCAACAATATTTTTTTTTAAATTAAAATATTAATAAAAGTTATATTTAGTTCTCTTAAAAATTGTTTCCATTTTCCAAACAAAACAATGTAATTCTAGTCTAATTCTCCCACTAACTTACATAATGATTAAACTGCAGGCGCCCGGGACGTTTTTGTTTAAATAAATCTTTTAACCATAAGAATTATTTTTAAGATATATTGCATATTTTCTTTTATTGCAGGGTGGGTTACATATAGTTGGTCTCCTTGACGCTCATGTGGCCATAGTAAGTGTACCACTAGTATGTGTTCTGGAGCTAATAGCTGCCGCCTACACATATGGACCTAAGAAGATGGCGGCCGATGTACAATTCATGACTGGAAGGCCCTTAAGCAAAATCTGGATGATATTATGGAGATATGTGTTACCGGCTTTGCTTATGGTAAGTAGCGACTTTTTGATGATCCCCACTGGGTCCAATATGCTTCTAATCGATTTATAATTTTTCTGACCCATGTTGGACCTCGTCTGAAAATCTGGCTATTATATTGGTATGAAAATCATAATTCTGTCCGGGGCAACGAACCACCCATGAAAAAGCCGTGAAGCTTAATCGCGTTTCGGTTGCAGTCTATGCATTTTCGAATATCTAAAGCCAAAATAGGTCGACAGCGTATCTTATTTAGATGTTATATAGCTGGGATATTTCACCTTCCATTAAGTGAATCCCATGCTTGCCCCACTATCAAGAGAAAAATATACATAATTAAAAATCGAAAATAATTTTTTCAATTTATTTTCGATTTTTAAATTATTTAGTGCCTTCATGTGCAATAACATGTGAAAAATATTAATGTTTTCAAACGTTATAACTTTGTAATTTCATCTTCAATGATTTCTTAAGCTGCAAAGCATAAGACATTGAGCCTTAATACGCAAGTGTTAAGGTAGAAATTACATTGCGCGAGAGGTGCATGTATCAATAAGTTGAAAAAATTCGACGATGAGGTGTAGGACTCGGTAGCTCAATTGGTAGAGCAACAGCACGGAAAGCTGACATGCGGTTCAAGTCCCTGCCCGAGTCGAAAATTTTTTCAATTTATTTTCGATTTTTAAATATATAGTGCCTTCATGTGCAATAACATGTGAAAAATATTAATGTTTTCAAACGTTATAACTGTAATTTCATCTTATGATTTCTTAAGTGCAAATAAGACATTGAGCCTTAATACGCAAGTGTTAAGGTAGAAATTACATTGCGCGAGAGGTGCATGTATCAATAAGTTGAAAAAATTCACATGAGGTGTAGGACTCGTAGCTCAATTGGTAGAGCAACAGCACGGAAAGCTGACGATGCCGGTTCAAGTCCTGCCCGAGTCGAAAATTTTTTCAATTATTTTCGAAATTTTAGTGCCTTCATGATGTGAAAAATAATGTTTTCAAATATATACATTACAAATCATCTTCTAACTTTATAATATTAGCATTGAATATTGTACCATCACCAGATCATGATCGCTTACTCGTTGCGAGAAGCGTCAGGTGTTGCAGGATGGTGTGTTGCCCTCGTGTCGGTCATCTTCATACCCATACATGCTGTGCAGCTTCTACTTAAAACTAAGGGTTCTTTTGCACAGGTAAGTGCAGAAACATTTCATATATGGCATATTTTTTTTATTAACTCGGTCGAAAACTCTAGTAAGCAGTAGATCTTGCGTTTTCATACAAATAAGATAATAATAAATGGTCCTTCTATCCAAAGGTCGATACAGAAAAAAAAAGAAAATATTAAAGACTATACATAAAAAAGAAATAATAAAACTTTAAAAATTAAGTAAGAACGTTAAAAATAATGTATTATACCACATAATTAGTGTGGTCGTAGTAAAAAAATAGGTCACCAATATTAATCCCGTTTAAAACCGTAAACTGTTTCATTTACTGTATACTCGCTTAAAAAATTAAAAATACTTATTCAATATTTGTCAGTGTAAATTGCAACATCAGTTTTACTATCCAGTTTTGAATATACATTTTTTTCAGAGACTTCGCGTTTGCTGTCAGCCGAACAGTTTATGGGGTCCGGTTGAACCGGATATCCGGTGCTGTTGGGAAGCGTCAAAACGTCAAAATTCGTTTCCTCTAGAAGCCACGGTCACTCTAGATAATGTTGATAGGAAGAAATAAATTTATATGATAACACATCTTGTATATACAGATTAAAATTTGTTTGAATTACAACGTTCTATTATTGTCTAATATATGTCAAGTCCAAACCAAAAATAGGTAGGTACATAATAATTGGTGTAAAATCTATAGGGCTGAGAATTGGGCCTTTTAAACAATCAAAGGAAGTATGTTTTCTGTTCTACATAAAAGATGTCAAGTCATCGTTAATAGGCGCATTTTTGTGCATTTTGCCGTTTTAAGAAATCAAAACAAAAAATCATTCGTAAATGGGACTTGAACTCGCGGCCCTAGATTGATTGTTAACGTTTACATAACGCTCAAATTACTAAAAAGTATTTGCTGATGTTAGTCAAACATTTAAAAAAGTTTTGAAGCTTTAGGACCTTCACGATGGTATATTTAACTATAGTCTGTGGTAACTATATCTTGGAATTTGGCATTTCGAAATTTATTAATGTTGGTCAGAATATCAAAATTGTAAGTGAACTTTAATTTACATAAAATTAGGATATAAGTCAAAATTTCAGCGTGCAAATTTAAAAGGTTTGGAGTCAAAATTACGGTTTGATAATTAAATTAGTGATAATCTACAAAAATGTCTCAGGAAAAGGAAAAACAGGGCGATGATAAGGATAAAAGGGTCAAAATACAGGTAAGTAATAATCTATACCGCTGAAAAGTTGGGGACTGCACTGATCTAGGTAGATCTCAGTTTGTAAAGCATTCAAGCAGTCATTTTTCAAATTGTGGCCGTCTCCATATCTCCTGGATTCACAATCCAGGAATATTAAACGGCCAGAATAGAAAAAAAAGGAAATTTCCTTTTTCCCTGGAAAAAATAAATTTTAGTTTACTGTAAACATCAAACGGACAAACATTTCCTCCGCCCTACTTTTTTCAACTGCAATAATAAAATCCCCACACGTTTATAGCTAAGAAAAAATATTATACAGGTTGAGGGAGAAGATGAAGTGGGGGAAGGTGAAGGGGGGAGGAGGAAAATGAAAAGATTCCAACTGCCAAACCTACCTAGATGGTGGCAGGCGAAAATTATACAATATGCGTAAGTAACCTTATCTACAAATCGATATGGCTACGATATTGATATTTTTTGGCGTTAGGTAGGATATCTAGTCTACTTATAAAAGATTATAAACTTTGACACAAATGTACTAAAAGTTAATATGTAAATAACGAAAACTAACTACATTTTGAATTCTTGAACTACATTAATCATAACACAATTTAATAGAGATAAACTACAATATATATTACATCTATCTAATATATACTGCTGAAGAGTTTGTTTGTTTGAACGCGCTAATCTCAGAAACTAGGGTTCGAATTGAAAAAATACTTCGTGTCAGTTGGAGCATTTATCGAGGAAGGCTATAGTCTATAAAACATCGCTCTGTTACTAATAGAAGCGAAGATACAGCGGGAAATGTGAACAAAAACAGGGGAAATTTTTCATCTCTGTGGGTTTATGTTGCGTACGCGGCGATAACGGTTTAAGACACCCAAAAATGTACAAAGGAATGATTCCTCTTTAAATAATTTGAAAAATGTCCGCGACATTATATGTCTATCTTTTAATATTAACTTGAAAGAATGACGGGACGCGAGCGAAGGGACGCGACCGATGTCGTGGGCAGCTTAAATCTATAAAGATGTATAGGTTTTCAAAAAAAATTTGGGTTGCCCAAAAAATTCTCGCGTCAAAGTCGCTGACGCTAGTGTGATATAAAATGATATCACATCATATCTACAAGATATATAAAAACTGATACCTTAAGGTGTTTTAAATTGTACTTCATTGTTTAAGTAAAGCCAGTGTATGATCACTGAGCCATAAAAATAAAGAATAATAAGATAATGTATATCCATACATGTAACATGAAAACAATGAAGTAAAAAGTTATTTTCGGCCAATTTATCTCAAGTCAGTGGGGTCTAATTGCGTCATGATAGCAAAAAACAATATTAGTGTTTAAAAATATTGCACAATCTCTTAATGTTTATAAAATTTTTGTTTTACGGCTTATTATGGAGGTCACTTTAAAATTGCAACATACTAACAGGTAAAAGTCTTATTTATCAAAGTCAAAAGGTTGTAACCCCCACTTGAGTAAGATTGACGTATTTTTGTATCTGCTTGAATGATGATATCTGTAAACAGGAATTTGAAATTGACGCGTAAGCCAAATGGTCGGAATAGTAACGAAACGCGAGTTTTCGACAGCGGTTACAGGAATGTAACCATTTTTATTAACAAGAACTTAGATTTTATGTGCCTTATCAGACCGAAACATTTTTCTTTAACGGACTTTTAGTTGATCCACTACCAATTGTGGATTCTATGGAATTTCTAGAATCCCAAAGTTAAGTAAGTCGATAGCGCATCTTAATTAGATGGGGCATGTATTTAACATTTATTTATTACAGCTTTATTATTTAAATTGTATACCATAAAACATAAAAAAAACAATCTAACGTAAATTATAAATAAAAGGCGGTTATATCCCTAAGCAGCGATCTCTTCTAGGCAACCTGAAGTATAGGATAAAAAATTAAGAAACGAAAAAAGGCTTATTATGAGTGTGGGTGTTAGAAATAATAAATAAAAAGCAAAGATACATCGTAAGTATACACAACAAGTAGAGAAACTAATTTAAGTGTTCGAAAATTAAAACTTATAAAGAAAAGAAAAAAGAAAAGTCTTAGGCATTAAAAACTCTCTATAGTTTACGCGAGTAGTACACATTTACATAAAACACTTTAACGGTTTAAAACGCGGTATATGTTAATTAAATTTATTTGAAATATTTTTTACGTTCATCAGCTGTTCATCCGATGGAAGGTAAAATATCCAATACTTGTCCTGCTCTGTTATAAAAAACTACAAATTACTATAAAAACAATTTCACATTTTATCGTAATTCAATGCGACCTCTTGACTATTTTATCAATTTAGAACGTCACAATAGCAGTTAACACGAATGGCGTCTTCCTTGATTGTATCCTAAATATAGTTTAATATTTAGAGAGTCATCTCATTACATTTTGGATACGATATCGCGTATTTCAAGTAAACAGGCTAATTTTATTATCAATTTTTACTTTAATTATACTTTCCTTCTTTGTACATACCAATAATCAATAATTAAATGACGCAAAAGGTGTGTTTCGTTTAATTACGTATCATATATAATTAGATATATTTACTTATATATCTTGGAAATATGGATATACAAGCTTATATTATTCGATATATTTATCTAGATTTGATCCCCAACGGTTAATTTTGGTCCGGATTTCTCTTTATTACACCAAAGCAGGGTAATGAGGGTTAAGACAAAGTTGAGATATACATTTTAAAACATATAAGGTTTGGATTTTATATTAAGTTTATACCAGAGTTCCTACAATCCATTGTGTGTACTGTTAAAAGGATGTCGTAATTCAAGATAATTAAATTTAATTTGAAACAGTTCGTTCGTTTTTTGTTTTAGCGAATAGTTAATTTCTTTGGCCGACAATTTGAATTGTCCCCAAAGCTTGCGTGAATGAGAACTAGCTGACCCGGTCGAGGCCCGCGACGTTCGCGCCATCCGGGTCACCATCTGCCAATTTACCTAGGCTCATGATTAAAAAAGCCCAAAGCAAACACGTGCGAAGCCTCACAGTGTGCGGTTCTCAAACATTTAAATGAAACGCCCGTCACTCAAATTTAACACGTTAGATGCGCGACTGTTTTGCCCTTACCACAAGTGCGTTCGGGGCCTATTCGATCACATGGGTTAAACTTTGCTGCATAAACATTACAAGTATTAAATTTAATCCACAAAAAATCATTTGTTTTTTTAATTTGTCATCAATAAAGAATTTTACATTTCATTATTACGCAAATAACATAGCATCTGCGACCTACATCATCAAAGTCTTATTTGTGACATATTTTTTAACATTTAGATAGAATTAAGTAAAATTTAAATTACAACAGTGTTTACCTTTTTTAATTTGGACTTTAAAGCATTTCATTTTAATTTTAAAATAATAGACCACACTTTTCGGCGCTAGCTAAAAGTACGTAAAAGGTTCTTTAGACCGTCCTAACTCACTTGAAGTGTTAATTAGAATACTATTCAAACATGGTTGTCGATAAATTGTTTATGCGAGGGAAATGATCCGACCAAGTGTGGGGTTAATGTCGTGTGGGCTCGGCTGGTAGATCGGTGTTAGTGCCAGTTTGCACCAAGCGTTAGCTGCACTGAAATGCAGCGGACGTCGTCGAATGCGTCTGAGTTCTGGACTACGATTGAACTGCTGGCTGGGAGAGACCGACGGAGATCGACCGGCGATATCGAAGATGATCTCGATCCCATCGTCAGAGTTGCCTCCGCTCTCAGGTGTTTATAACATTTTTTTACCCGGTACAAAGAGTGAAACGATTTTGGTTTCCTCGTTCTGTTTCAGAAGATAAAACTACTTGGTCACGGAGAGACTGACACGGCTGCTGCAAAGCATCCGAAACGTCGAGTGGTAGTTAAAATAATTTTCAAATATCTTTTAATATATATCGTGTTTTAAACCGTTATTGTTTCATTTCAATGTGTACCACTCGCATAAACTAAATATAGTATTTAAGTTAATTATTTGTAATTTTTAAATTTGCGACTAAATCATGATAGGTAATGGATACTACTTTTAACGTAGAGGAGAACAGACAAGCATGACCCCAATGAAATACCCCCGCAATATAACATCTAAGCAAGTTGCGCTATCGACCCATTTTGGCTTTGGATATTCTACCAAGTTCCGTGTCACGTCTATCCTTCCCCCCTTTTTATCTTATGTATATTTAAGCTTTAGTGCTGAGTTTGAATCCCATTCATTAAAAGGTATTTTGACTTTAAACTAAATAAATCTTTTATCAATATCTCCAGCACGTGCACGTAACAATCGTAATGATAAATTCCTCTATTGTTGACATTTCTATTGTCTCGTCATTATAAATCGTGATAAGGACAATTATTACCAAAGTTCATTGCCTGTTTGCGCTAAATTAACAGGAAGTGTATGTTCTTATCATCTTGGTAACGGCCACAGATTGCTAGCGAATTGTCATTTTTAGGTTGAAGGAAGGATTTTTTCAGACGGATAAGTAGAGATTTTATAGAATGAATTTAGTAAAATTGAACAGTAAAGAAAAAAGAATATTTTAATGGATTAACTGAGAGGAGAGTGGCCTAATAACAAAAAACGTGATTTTCAAAGGCAGAAACTTTAACTATTATTTTGAATTTTTAACAATTTTCGGTACTGTGTTTTTCTTAGATAAATTTAGGCTACGAAATATTCAAATAAAAATTTAAGGCTATTTTCTAGGGTAGACTACACAAGCTTTTATAAAAACCATCAAAAAATCAGGACAAACTTAAACGAAATCTGTATTTAGTGTAATTTAATTTATATATATGTATAGAATTGAGCGCGTAGTATTATATATAAATCTGTATAGGTATGTCATCGCGATCGATAGTTACGTCAAATATTCTTAAGTTTAAAACTTCTAACAAGTTTAGTTACAAATCAACTCGGGCACTAATTATTACTTCGAAGTTTTAAACTACTAAACACTATCATTATAATGGTTTACAGGTTCCTAAAATACACTTCCAATATTGACCCCAAATTCCAAAACGCGGACAGTAATACTTAAAAATAAAACACTAACGGTTTACGCGATATATATTAGTCAAACTTATTTGAATATTATTTTAACTACGGCTAGACGTTTCGGATGCTTTGCAGCAGCCGTGGTCATAAGGTGACCCGCCGACCCCCCCCCCTCCGTGGCCACGGCTGCTTTAACAAATGTATATCTGCCTGCCTTTATAAATAAAAAATAAAAAGCTCTTACACTAAGTAGTTTTACAACACTATAAACATTTTTATCGGTTAAAAATCCATGTTTCGCTCACGTATTTTTCATAGCGTCACTACATTAATTTTGTTTATCTCAGTATCAAAGAGTGTGTATACAAAAGAGATCCACTTCTGAAAGGGTCATAAATTGTGATGAAATTTCTGAACCGTTCTATCGATATTTTGTTCCGGATCATTTAAAAATGATAACGTTTTGCGTCACTGTGCTTCCATTTATTTACTAAATGATAAGGGATTAGCGCGAATTGATTTGCATATTTGTAGTGATTAGCTTCATCTATGGTGCGCATTGTTTTAATTTGCGTAAACATGCTTTATTCACATTTTATGTTTGGTAATAGTTAAATATGATTCTTACGACTTTGTTCATCTGACAAATACCAGGCGATATCTTAAAGAGACTGACAGTTAGAAATTTGAAATTTTCACAAATTGTATAGTTTTGTTTTCGCTATAACGAATAATTAATAAAAAAAAAACAAAAACTTTAACGGTTTAACGCGAAATATATAAGTTAAAAATTTTCTTTCTAAACAAGTTTAACTAACATGTTTCACGTTTTAAACCGTTAAAGTGTTTTATTTAAATGCGCGCGTAAACTACAAACCGTATTCAAGATAAAGTTTGTTTTTTCGGACTACTGGTTCGATTGAAGAATTATTTTGCGTTGTTTGAACCATTTATCGAGGAAGGCTTTTACGATATATGAGGCTATCACATAAGGCTGTGACTGTTATGTGACAAGGAAATAATGGGATTTCGTTGCGTACTCTGCAAAAACGGTTTAAGATACCCCAAAATATGCATAATAAGAATTTATTGTTACTTAAGTAACCCAAAAAATATCCGCAACAGTATATGACTATCTTTTAGAATTAAAACTTGTTTATCGCGTATTCAATCGTATAAAACCCTTTTGGGGGTATATTATAAGATAAAATAAATATATCGATGCATTAAAGGTATAATTACGAGTTAGATTTTCTATGTCGACAACTTTTATAATGAGGATGAATAGAAAGTCTCACACAATCGAATTTTAGAGGGGGAGCTTTCGCCCCAGCCCTCCTACTTTTAAACAACAACTTAATTCCAACAGTATATGCATGTATATAATATAAAATTCCTAGAATCGTAATTTAGTAGAGTACGCTTGTGTAACATTGGATCTATGACGTGCTTTATAGCCGTAAAAATATCACGGCTTATTTTACTGTCGACAGTTTTACTGGTCGGAGTTTCTTAAATATCTATTAATCGATACAATTTACGCGTTCCCAATAATGAGTTTATTTAATGCGCTACTGAAGAGGAATGCAAATTGCCTTCCGTCTGTTTTATGGATAATCTAAATTTTAGTGTAGCCTTTGAACTATGACGGGTTTTAATCTAAGCCATCAGAAGTATCGTAGGCACCGGGATCCCGGAAGCTTTAGGGGCCCTCTAACTTCATTTTTGAAAAGAGATACGTAGAAAGGTGAAGAAGAAAACGATTTTAAATTTTTAAAAAGAATTGTTCTCTTTCCCATCTATATTTTTAGAGGCTTATATAAACTCAAGCTTGGCCCGATTCTTTTTCTTATGTACCGGGGCCTTGTCCCTCTTGCTACGCCACTGGATATCATCTTAAGTAATATTTTAAAGCTGTAATGATAGAGGAAGCATGAGGTTCGCTTGGTACGTGAAATAGCCCAGACATATAACAGCTACATAAGATGCGCGGTTGACCTATTTTTGCTTTAGATATTCGGAAATCCAGATTAAAACCGCAACGCGATTAATTTTGACGGCTATTTCGTGTGGGGATCGCGACCCGTACGAAATTAGGATGTACCAACCACCCATTTGATATCCAATTTTCCAGAAAAGACCAATATCGTTCAGACAAGTTATAAATTGATTAGAAATATGTTGGACCTATAACTGATCGAATCCATGACCCGTTGATAGTTAGCCATACATTACCAATTGCCACCAAGAGTCCGTCAAATCGTTTACAATTTTTATCGTATAATTCTGTAACAACAATTTATTAATACCAAAACAATATCCCTATTAATATGAAAAGTGTTTATACTAAAGATATCATCTTAGACTTGGCTTCAATATACAATACAAATAGCTAGCAAGCATGCACAATAAATTGTCCGACTAAACGTAGTATGAATAATATTACGAGATTCAATTTGTATGACTGGGGTTGCTATTAATATTGCGAATTGCAAATTTGGGAAATCACTGTAGCTATATTAGGATTGTTGATTTATAGGGTTAAGGCGAGATGTTTGTTATTCGTAGGTTCTATCTAAATAAAACACTTTAACGCGGGGACGGTCACCCCGTGACCAAGGCTGCTGCAAGGCATCCGAAACGTCGAGCCGTAGTTAAAATAATTTCCAAATTTTACAGTTTAACTAATATATATCGCGTTTTAAACTGTTTAAAGCGTTTTATTTAAATGTGTACTACTCGCGTGAACTAGACAGTATTTAGTTTTCTGATGACTTGAAACCGTCAGAACTGGTGTTATAATAAGAGTACTAAGAAGGCACTACAACTAATAAATTGTAAAAAGTTATTTTTAAGCTTAACATATAAGTATTTACAGACACACAACATTGACAGACAGTGTGGGTATTAACTTTTAAGGGCATCATTTGTTATGTAAGTTTTAAATTTTGGCAAGATTGAAATCAAATAATTATTAACGGGTTAAAATGCGAAAGCCAAGTGCCAAACATACGAAGTTACCTACATGAAAGAAATTGAACTAATGGCCCGACGTTTCAGATGCTATGCAGTACCCGTAAGGGGGACGCGCTCGTGACCACGTCGTAGTTAAAACAAATTGTAAATAATTTACCTGATGTTTCGCGTTTTAAACCGTTTAAAAAGTGTTCACAAATGATGCCCTCAAAAGTTAAAACCCACAGTGTCTCTCTAAGTCCTGAGTATTAGGATATCATGCTAACTCTCGATGTAGGTACACTTGGCACTCGGTAGTATCAGAATAGTTCCGCTCTTTTCTCGGATCCAATTCATAAAACATTGACGTAATGCCCCATAAAATATATACTATTTATTGCTCGTGACTCAAGTGTAGTTTCGTCGATGAAATCTCAAATGAGAATGTTATAAACAGCGCATTCAATGGGAAAAGAATAAATATAGAGTTGATGTTTGACTGATTATGAATGCCTTGTCGATCGCTTTTAGATATTGGATCGTGAGTTTTTAATTCTTTCACGGTCTCCTGAAATGGTGTACTGTTTTTGTCGACTTCAATCGTCCATAAGAAAATAATTTCAACTTTAATTCATGGCCTTCTCTATTACTCTGAATTCGGAAGCTTAAGTATATTGTCTTATTATTTATTTATATATTCTTTATTGCACACATAAAAATATTACAAATCAAACTTATATGCTAGAATGGAGAGCAATGGGCCTTATCGCTAACAAGCGATCTCTTCCAGGCAACCCAATGTTATGAAATGTTAAGAAAATGAGATGTGCAAGGTAGGCGAAACAAATTAATACAAATTATTATTTATTTGTACTTGGATTTCTTCTTTCCTAACTGTAACTTTTACCTATAGGTGTACTAATATATGTTTACAAGAATTTTTTGAAAGGCTGTTTTTAAAAAATTTTTTTTTTTTGGGAAATTTTGATAAAAAAAAAGGGGGGGGGGGGGGGGGGGGGGGGCCTTTTTTTTCCCCCCCCCAGGGGGGGTTTTTCCTTTTTTTTTGGGGGGGGGGGCCCCATTTAGGGGGTGGGCCCCCCTTTTTTTTTTTTTTTTTTTTTTTTTTTTTTTTCCCCCCCGGGGGGGGGGGGGGGGGGTTTTCCTTTTTTTTTTTTTCCCCCCCCCCTTTTTTTTTTTTTTTTTTTTTTTTTTTTTTTTTTTTTTTTTTCCCCTTTGCTACTTCATGAATTTTTATATCGTTTAAAGAAAAATCACTGTTTCATATATTTTTTAGGTTTCTTGAACCATTTTCGCAGCGCGACGAAGTGGAAAGCCAAAAAAAATAATTTTACTCGCTTTTTTCGCATTTCCCACGGTGTCTTCGTTTTTTTTGGGTGCAGCGATTTTTTTTTTAGCCGTCAAACTATCGATAAATGGTCTAATCACCACAAAAAGACATTTCAATTCGAATGGGTTGTTCCCCTGTTTTCCCCCCCCCCAAAAAATTTTCCTTTTTTTTTCTCTTAATATTCAATCATTTTTTCACAGCGTTAGATTAATTAACCTTTTTACGGTGAAAACCATAATATTATTGACGCATACGTTTAATTGGTAAATCCTAACAGCCACTTCACCACAATTTTTTTTTTTTTAAGATTGATTAAATCAAATAGAAATAATGACGATTATGCCATAGGTGTACTAGATATCATGTTTATATGTTTAGAATGTATACCGTTTTAACAAATACTTCATTTGATAAAGAAATTTGTTTACGTAACTAAAACGGGAGCGAGCTTCGAGTAGTCTGAAAGCGTCAATTTAATGACGACACATTAGGAATTGTAATCACTTAATTCGTGTCAGTCGGGACGTAAAACAGTTAAATTTGGGTTAATGCATCATTCTTTGGTATTTAAATAAATATATCGGCTTATTGTCACGCGATATAAAGTAAAATAAATTTTCAATCGTGTCTCGATTGCGTACAATTAATTGTATATATTTTCAACTTTACTAAACTTTTCCTCAAAATTTGTAATTATTATCAAAAATACAATTAAGTAATTAAAATGTTGTTTTAAGTAGAAACACACAATTGAGCATTTGATAATAAATGTTTACTCAATGTAATGTTGATAGGCGAATGAGAATTTTAAATTGGACTTGATAAAGAAGTCGTAAAAGTATTTTTTGTTTAATTTTATAGTTTTTATATGTATCGCGTTTAACATAATGCAATACCTACATTAATTTGCTGATAGAACAACTAACAAAAGCCCAGAAACATTCTCAAATTATTTTAGACAAAAACATATTCTGTAGTTTTACGCTTTTAACCATTTAAAACGCGAAATATATTAACTTATTTACAATTTATCAACTATGGCCCGACGTTTCGGATGCTTTACAGCAGCCGTGTCACTGGGGTTTTATATATTGTAGATAATTTTACGCGTTTTAAACCAGCGAATTAATCATCATCAATATGTTTTTATATTGAAATTTATTTCAATATAAAAACATATTGATGACCCTAACGGGCCTTGTGGGCGTTCACAGACATACAAAGTGTTCAGCATTTATTTTTATAAATTTATGGTAACAGCACGGATGTCGAAGGTGTTAGTAATTACTCATGTGATTCTGAGACCTCATTAAGCAGTCATTATCACTCAATGTCGAAGGTTTAAACCGTCTTTCCTATGAGGGAGAAGTAGGTGTCCAGTTGTGGGACCAAATAAAAAACGAGATACAAATTACCTTCCCCCATTTAAGAGTACACAGCAATTTAGCAGAAACACAATCAATGTTTGCATCAAAATCACCGATACTCATTTTGAGTCATGTATGTTTCTTTGGACAAGCTTTAGTCACGAACGGTAAGGGGTTGTACTCATAGTAATATATATATTAGGAGGAAAACTCATGTACTGTTTGTATAGGACTATATTCTCATCCTTGTCTATGTGTGAGGCATTTCTACGCTTCCGAATATATTTTTTTGATCTTAACTAAAAGTGGTTTGAAAGATTCTAAATTCAAATAAATGATCGTCTTTATAGACGATATTTTTCAATTTTCAATCGAACGAGTCGCGTGTCCATCGAAAGAGCGTTTCCTGGTCGTAAAATTGTAACGATATAACTCAATCGAAGGGTATAAACGCTACCTTAGGGGTGAAACTATACACGTAACGCAGGCTAGGGTCGTGCCATACCGTGCCAGGGCAATCGTGTAGCACGGCAAAGGTCTCAACTATGACACGGCGTCAAAAGTACTAAAAGTTTACGGCGAGGGCGCCAGGCGCTGGTTTCGGCAGTGCTCTGCCAAATTGTTATTCAAAACGAGTACCCAAAGTCGAGAGCGGTCGCGGTGAGTAGATTTACAGAGTGGAGAAATACAGAATATATATCATGTATATATACCATAGACTATATTATGTAATGTATCAAATACACACTAGCGATTAACTTGTGTTGAATATTTTGGCATCAAATTGTACTCTTTCATAAGCACAACGATGTAATTAATAATAAGATATTTTAAGCATACTTGTATAATATAAAAATAGTTTCCAGACTATTTGGTAAAAACAACTTCAATCTGCAAATTGTGTACGGCTTTCACGGCCATCGTTCAGCATAACATAGATTCATGTATATGGTTGTGTTCGGCCGACGTGGCCGAGAAGAGGTTCCTGACGTCTCGCCATCACGAGCGGACGGCATCATCAGCTCAAGTGCTCGAAGAATTTTAATATATCATTATATTAATTCTTCGAGCAATCGAGGAGCTAACATCACCTGATGATGCCGTGCGCTCGTGATGGCGAAACGTCGAGAACCTCTTCTCGCTCACGTCGGCCGAACAGCCCGAAAAACAATTATATACTTAAATCTGTGTAAATGACTTTCCCAACTTTCCTATAATACATACAGAATAATCTTGCCCCAATGTGTAATTTCTGTAATTATAGCTTCGCGCACCCCCACGTTCGTGCCCGCTTGGAGAAGCATATGGGTTCGAATCTGGTGCGGCTCACAGACAAGAACTACATGACCGAGCTGGAAGAAAGAATACGCGCTGTCAATGAGGAAAATCTCAACAAGAGGATATCTAGTCGTGTCGTAAGTTTTTACTTAACTAAATTTCACAGCAGCAGAAATATCACAAGCAAATTGGTGTTATAGTAGTAATGTATAGCTAATAACCAACGGGCCGTGGGTTTGATCCCCACCGGTTCCAACATTTTTCTAATAACTCTTCTGAAACTTCGTCTGGAAATCTGGATATTAATCGAGTAAATAAAAAAAAAAAACATATTAAATTTCATCTGATCACCAACCACCGTCCATAGATGAAAAAAAGCCGTTAAAGTTTGCATGAGAAAATGTTGCTTATTTTAGTTAATAAAACAGATGTCGTTTTATTAACTAAAATAAGCTACTAGTATATTAATTAAAGAATACTAGGCAACATATTCACCTATTCTCTTCAGACCACATAATTTCATTTCCAGCTCGATGAAATGGAACGACTGAAGCGCCTGATTCTCGTCGGAAAAACGCCACTTAAAGAATGCCCCCCAGAACTGTTCCACCATCCCGTCTTTGTGTTTTGGAGAATGGTAAACCGGGAGGTGGCAAAGGCGTCGAAGAAAAGAGCCGATGCGTATTACAGGAAACTGAAGTCGTCGCAAAAGTTTGAACAGGTTTCAATTATTTTTTTTAGCCTGGTAAACGCAGCCCTTATTTACCAAGAAACTTCTCTTGGTAAAACAAGGGTTAAAAGAGGATTATATCCTGTCTGTAGTTTACGCGAATGGTATACTGTCTGTAGTAACGCGAATATACACATTTAAATAAAACACAATAACGGTTTAAATCGCGATCTATACTAGTTAAACTTATTTGATAATTATTTTAATTTCGGCCCCATGTTTCGCATGCTGTGCAGCAGTTGGTATTTGCAATTCTGCAGGGACCCGACCAGTTTAGCCAAATACCAACTACGTCGGAACAGATAGCGTAACAGTTTTTACTTTGACATTAGAGACACCCTCCATCTTTAGTCTCCCCGTGACCACGGCTACTCCAAAGCATCCGAAACGTCGACCCATAGTTAAAATAAGTTTATCTTATATCTATCGCGTTTTAAAGCGTTGTGTTTTATTTAAAAGAGGATTGTAATCAAATGTGTGCTCCTCTTAGTCACCAGAGGAAGAAGCAGAACCTGAAGTTTTGGAAGAAGAAGGTGAACAATTAAGCGCTGAGCAGCTGTTAGCCAAATGCCGTGCTGAGCTTGAAGATCTAAAGCAGGCTGACATTGACAAGGGAGTAAGATTCACTGACGAACAGTTTGCCCTTCTTAAGTATGAGACAAATGATGTGAAGACTCTGAAAACTCTAACAGTAAGTCGTTTTGTTTTTAAGACCGTTAAAATTAATTTAGTAAGTAAGTGCATTATTCGAGTACTCAAAGTCATTATATATCAAAGAAGGACATACAAGGTCAAAATTCATATCCCAGAAGGTGTAATGCCCAAGCCCTATACGAGTATATAATACTAGCTGATCCGATAAATGTTGTTTTGTTTTGAAAACTAATATTATTACATAAATATAACTCCAACACACATTTGGTAATAATGCATTAAATTAGACTAAATTATATTACCTTTAACGGGTCTTGCGAGTTAAAAAGTAAGTTTATTTTGCGGACATTTTTTAGATCATCTAAGCTGAATTGACTTTTATACATTTTTTGTGGTTTCTTAAACCGCGTTTGTAGCGCACAACGGAAGCCTTCACAGAGGAATATTTCTCCCCGTTTTCTCCCCATTCTCCACTGTCTTCGCTGCTATTGCTATAGCAGTGTATAATGAAAAGTCATTCTCGATAAATTCTAAGCAGTAGTTCCTGAGATTGGCGCATAAAACAAACTCTTCAGCTGTATACCATTAGTATTCATGTACTGTAAACTCACATTCGAACACATAAGGAGAATTTAAAGAGATTTTTATTTAAACAAATCTCCTTCTTGGCCTACTCACGATCAGAAAGGGAATTCTAAAAAGAAAACAGCAAAAACTTTATCAAAACTAATAGCTGTTCTGTCTGTAAAACTTTACAACGAAGCGAATATTAGAATACTTTGTGCCATTGTATTCCGAAATATCTTCGATAAATTGAATACCACGTAGTTATATTTAGACAATCCTATTTGTAAAGCGAAATAGTAACAATATTACAACTTGCGCGTCATTATAGCTGTCTAGAGCGGTTCTTAGTGAATGCCAAAACCCAAAGTGAGGAGTCTGTAAACATGTTTTATTACAGACGTTAAACTATTGATAGAACAATCTAGGCACAGTGAAATGAGTCGTCTCGTTAAGTCGGGTTGTATTATTTAACGTTCTTGATTAGTTATCTACTAATAATATTATAAAGCGGAAGAGTTTGTTTGTTTGTTTGGACGCGCTTATCTCAGGACCTAGTGGTTCTAATTCATGGAGTCTGTTGTGTTGGATAGAGCATTTATTGAAGAAGGTTTTAGGTTCAAATGGAGCGAAGATACTGTGGAATAGGTGGAAAAAAGTGAGAAACTTATCCATTTTTGAGGTCTCTTACGTACGCTGCAAAAACGGTCAACAAACAAAAAAATATGTCCGAAAGAATGATTCCTCTTTAAACGGTCTAAAAGAATGTCCGTTTTAAGATTAACTTGCAAGTCTGGACGCGAACAACGTCAAGGGTAACAGCTATAATTATCAACATTTAGGAAGAGAGAAATGTATTTAAATACCGAAATAATCATTCCACGCGGACGTTGTCGCGGCCACAGCTAGTGTTGACATAAAATCCATTTGAGGGCTCGTGTTAAACCAGTTATGAGTAGTTCGCGCCTAGTATATAATGACCCTTGAATAGTTGTAAAGTGGTGGGGATGATAAGCTATAGAACGTCCTCGTGTATGACTTGCATTTGATGTGAAGCTGATCGCCATTCTGAACTTTAAACTGAACTTAGGTTATTGGTAACCGGTTATAACACACGCGTTTGATCCGAGATACGCCTTTTCACTCCCCCCGTGACCAAAACTGTTGCAAAGCATCCGAAACGTCAGGCGTTGTAAAAATTTATTGAAAATGAGTTAAATTAATACATTTGTGCTTTAAGACATTTATTTACGCAAAAATTAAGTTTTCACTTAAGCGTAAACCAAATAATATTATACGCGATTATTATAATCCATTGCTTTGTTGTAAATACTTATATTTCTAATATTACATTTCGCGTTTTACACCGTTAAAATAGTTTCATTTAAATAATTATTTTCTACGAATACTTGTAACACAGGGATTTAATTAAACTATGCAAAAAAGACGGTAGCTCTGCGATAGATCATTTTATTAATATTTTTTAATATATTAGATTTAGGACTAAGTACATAACATAAAATAAATACTTTTTTTTCAGTTTCACCCAAAATTACGTTTTTTTTTTATTTTTTTTTTTTATAATTTTGTCCATAATGCTTAAACAGCTAAGAACGACGGGGTCTCCCCTTCCTCGGTCAGAAGGGACCTGGTCTACTTATTTACAATTATATATACTTATGTAAAACTTAACTTATTAATATTATGCTATTTATAACTATATCTATCTACCTTAAATTACGTTTTATTTGTTTATATTATGTCTACTACTTCTTTTATTTTCTAAGAGAAGCCGGTCTATTATTTTACAACAGTACTTAAAGAAGATGGGTCGTAATTCTGTATCGCTCACAAAGAATTTAAAATTTTCCGTGGTTACTAATAGAAATTGAACTTCCCACGATTCACTTTAATCTTTACTAAAACTATGGTTGGTGTGATTAAGTCCCATCTTATATTTTGAAGATTTAAAAGTAGAGCAAAGTTACACGCTCCAAGTTTCTTTATTCATAAGTTTCGTAAATAAATTTTAATTACTTTTGGAGTTCGTTAAAATTAAAAAGATAATAGGTGTTTTTGTAATTTAATTCTTAGTTTACCAGATCGTTGGTTCTTTATTATATGTGTATACGATATCTAGTTACAAGACATATACTGTATAACGTGACTAATACCAAATAGCTATCAAAACAGCCTCGCACTAGTCGTCACTAGAATCGTTATCTATGTTAATTAACTTTCGATGTGTAACGCGCTCTATATAAAGTACATAAAGATTAGATGACGTGTTCTTGCGCGAAATAATATATATTTAAAAGTAATCGAATCCATGGACTAAACGTTTTTAAGATATGGTTAAAATAAACAGGCACCAAGCTCTCACAACATAATAAATGTAAAATTAAAATAGCTTGTAAATTCATTGTAAGGTTATGAGTACTAAAGAAATAAATGATTATTTATATACTGAACGGTAAAAAACTTAAAATAGGAAGAAGTATATTACACGTTGTTTTATACACATAAAAACACTGTTTCAAGTGGAAATATCTTCTTTCATTACTAATCTGTTAACTAATAATCTTTTGCTATAGATTGGGTGATTATATAGTCTAAATATTTATTTTTCAGACCGTCGAAGAACTATATGCCTTGGCTGACAAAATCATTGGAACTAAACGAGTGTAAAACGTAAAAATCGAAGGCGATTTAAGTGTAAATGTTGTGTTATCTACCTTTGTTTTTATTTAATTTTATATATCGTAAATCCAGAAATATTACCTACAATAAAGAATATAGTAAGACTAGTACAAAATTTTTAAATAAATTTTCTATACCAATATAGTTCTTTTACTCAAAATGTACGTTTAAGCGATGTATATTAATATATAATAGGGAGGACAGACGAGCATTTAGTGGGTAGGTTAAACACTCCAGCTAACTTAACAAGAAGCGATGTCGACCTATTTTTGTCTTTGGATATTTGGAATTCCCAGGCTGAAACCGAAGCGCCATCAAACTTCACGGCTTCATCTGTGGTTATCATACAAACTAGTTATATCAGCGACTTCGTCCGCGTAGAATAGTTTTGGGCATCCAAATTTCTTTTTACAATACTTTAGAAATTTAAGCTGCCCACGACATCGGTCCCGTCTCGTCGTTCTTACAAGTTAATCTTAAAAGATAGATATATAGTGTCACGGACATTTTTTTAGACCGTTTAAAGAGGAATCATTCTTTCATACATATTTTTTGTGTGTCTTGAATCGTATTCGCAGCATATGCATCTAAAACCCACAGAGATGAAAAATTTCCCCCGTTTTGTTCACATTTCCCGCGCATTAGTCACAGCGCGATGTTTTATAACTTATATATAGCCTTCTTTGATAAATGCTCTAACTAACACATATCTTCAATTCAAACAAACAAACTGTTTAGCTTTATATATTAGTATAGATATGAAGGGGTAAATCATATAAAGACAATTAACTTAAAAACCAATTTATTAATTTAAACTTACATCAATTCGTTCGTTTACATTTAATGGTCTGTAGTTCTGACAATCTCTTTCGCCTACATTAGTAAAACAGTCACAATTTGGATCGTATGTTTGTTGCGAATACAGCAATTGGAATTTGACTAGACAGAAATGTATTCAGTTCTATTACAATTAGCATCTTCACAAAGTAATGTTGGAATAACGGTTCTCTTAATCTATCGAATACGTTAACAGTATTAGTTTGTACAGTGCTTTACTCCTAAAGGTGTTGGTGTGTCACAACCGACTTTTTGGTCTACGGCGTAGCTGCGCGTAGATCAGTCCTGCCGGCTTATCTATGGGTTGGTAGATGTAATGGCGGGGATCTCCTTTCGTCACGTTTGCGGGGAATTTTGATACATCGATGTTGAGGTAGTGTTTGTTTGGCATAGTCATCCGGATCCATGTTATCTAGAAGAAGAAGGTATTATATAGACTACAGTTTTTGTATCGCCGAAAAACATCCTAAAAAACAAGAAGGGTGTACAAAGTCCGACTTAGTACACTCGTGACGAAAAATCTCAAAATATTTACACGTGCTCCAGTCATTTGATAAAGTTTATTTTGGATACAACAAGTATTGATAGCCTCTAGCCCTTGAAGTGTCACGCTACCAAGAAATGGTGGACGGAACTTCTTTTTATCTCCAAAACGAGCAATTCAATAACAAACGAGAGGATGACAAAAAATATAAGGAAAACGGTACACTAATATATGTATATAACTGATTTCATATTTAATTTGAAGTGTTGAATTAGTACAGTACGTACTCAATATTTTAGATAGAGGGCGACACTCAAGCTTAAGGGTCACTTGATGTAATATGAGTTGGTGAAATATAACACCTCAACAAGATGTGCTGTCGGCCTATTTTGACTTAGGATATTCAGAAATTCACAGAAACTGAAACGCGATTGAATTGTCTGTTGATGGTGGTTCGTGATCCGGACGGAATTTCGATATTCCCACCACCCATTTATTTATCAATTGAATGATCAAAAATATTATCTCTTATCGTAGACTAACCATGCATTGCTACCATTACACCAATTAGTCGTATTTATTTTTAGATATACTCCCGATCGACTTCCTTTTAAACACAAACTCTCGACAGATCGCAATTATCTTTGATTTATTCAATAATTAATTATTGTTAATTTTATCACGCACGCGCCGAGCATAACTTGTGTCACACAAATTATATTGCCAAGTGAAGTACCGCGATAGCGTTTATTTTTGTTATAGTCACATGACTATTAAGTTAATTATCGCCCCCATTAATTTACGTATTATTATTGTTTTAAAATTTTAAACAGCATGCATAAGATAAGGTCTAATTAATGTGGATTGGTTCATCTACACCAATTATTTCTTATCTGTGTTTAGTGACCGGTAAAATTGAAGATTTTGCGAAATAACTGTTACTATGGCTTGCTATTTGTGGTAGCTATTCTCTGAATCGTTAGTTAATATTCTGAAATTAAGAATAGGTAATTAAATCGAAACTAATTACTGAGTACGATTGGTCTTACGTCATCCTGTTTTTAATTATTTTGTACGTCGTTTTGGAAATTTAATAGGAAATGTAAAACAAAATATCTAACCTCGGGTACTTTTTCTAGAACGATTTTTTCAGCTTGATACAGGGTGTGTTGAACGGAGGGCGAATAAACTCCTGTGTCTGGAGGTCCAGCGAATTTATCAAGGATTGCATCTTTTACTGTTAACCAAGCGTCGTCGAAGTCCGCGGATTTCATATTATCGTATGTCCATTCTGCTTCCACCACGGTACTGTAAACATAAAAGTAAATTCGAAATCAACTTCATGAAAACGAAGGGATGCGGTTTATATGTTGTATGTTAGTTTAAAACTCGAAATCGGAGCAAATACATTAAAAAATAGCTTGAACTTTTGACGAAATTTTTTTTTTTTGTAAATTTAAATTATAAATAGTGTATGAAAATTAAATGACTTGAAGAAATTTCGAGCCATTTAATTTTAAGACACTATTTTAGATTGTCCATGATATAACGAGAAAGTAACAATTCTAGACAAGTCCGACATACCTAAAAATCCTCTCAGCTGCATCCGAAAGTGTTGTGTATTCATCTTGAACGAAATCGACGAACGCCGATTGTGTAGTTTTCAACACTCTTAGGCCACTCAACCCGGACTTCACTGTCACTGCCTCTGTTTGCAAAAATCACACAATCAACATCCAATTATTATTAAATTAACTGTTCTTTTATCGGACATAACTTGTATCTACACTGTAATCGCGAGGAGTCAGTACACGAATACAAAGAAACTTACTTTGTCAATAACCTTCGATATCATATGCTTATATTTTTAAAGACTAGTTTTTAAAGGAATAATTAAAATAATTTACCGTGTCTGGCTTGTGAAACTTCACACCACCTGGTAGCGGTTGGTGAGAATATGAACGCGTGGTTATGTGGTACACCGGCCTGCAGCCTCTCCCAGGGATACTCGATAACATGACACTTGGCTTCTACCACTTGTCTATACGTGTAAAGGAAATGGTTCACTACAACAGCACCGAACTCCTCTGGGGTCTTGATGCCGTGCTTCTTAGCGAGGACATAAACTGTGTTCTTCTGCGAGTCTGTGGCGACCACTTCCTTGTTGTCGCCGACCGTGTACGCGGATTCCGAAGCCAGCTTCAACTCCGTGGAGACTTCGAATTCTCTGATCGCATGCCGGTCTCCGTCCCGATGTACGTGTAGTAACTTAACGGAACTCTTTCCGTACCCGTGGTCGCTGAGTTCAAAGCGACCGCCGGAGTCTTCCGCGGCGGTGGTGGCGGCTTTAGCAGGTGGATTTGACCTCGCGTGAGGCTCGCTCATCCCCGTGCTCGAGTTTGAAGGTTTGGCGTAAATTCTGAAAAATACATTATAGTAAAACACACGTACCTTACACAAACAGAGTGGAATTATATGCGATCGAACCTGTTAGTGCTTGTCCACGGCATTTTTGTGAAATTCGTATTACTTAATTTTGAGCGTATGTAAGAAACGCCTTCGGAACATTTAGTCAAGACAGACTGTGATGGATGGAAGCGAGTAGCTCATTTATACGAGTGCCCTGTGACCTGCCTTATCAGTAACGAGCACGCGACTAATGTGCAAACCGAACGTTTGTTTTATCATACACTAAAATATCTTTGATATAATAATAAAGGGAAATGTAAACAAACTGGACTGATGCTTTTTGACAGCGTGAACAATATTAATAAAATTCTTAACATTAATTTTTACATATTGCAATTGATAGCTTTACATAAATACGGTCTGCGGTACGCGAGTACATTTAACACAGTTTATTTAAGTGTTTTATTTAAAAGCTTCACATAATCTAAAATAAATAGTACGTAATACGGTTTTAAAAATACGAGCTGTGTTTGTAGCCCAACGACGTTAATAAGTTAAAGGTTAACTCAGTGGACGACGAAATATTTCTAAAAATATATCTGAGCGTTTAATGTTTTGCTATTGAAGATAACTATTTTTATCGAAAACAACTCGTTGAGTAAAGTACAGTGTTTATTATTTTCGAAATTGTGAATTTAAGGTAAATATATATATATATACATAATTATAATATAATGCCTTTAAAACCCTAAACCAAAAGAATTGCATAGGTAATCACTTAGATAAGTATTTTTTTACACCCGACCCTCCTCCGAAATATAAATACCTGAGTTTTATTTTCGGCTTCTTATCATTATGACAAATAGGTCAATAATTTTTACTGCATAAGAGATAGGCACAGTTACTGCTCTCTTGTGTACATTTAAAATATTGAAACTATACAATTAGGGCTTTAATTAGAAACTTTAAGTACATAATTTCGTTATATTTCCTTATCGTACTTATTGATAACCTAAATACTTAGCTAATCGCCTTAATAAAAACAAGTTAGAAATATAAGGTCATCGCTATCAACTATTGTTATTATTCCAAATATAATTAATTTTATTTAAATCTATTGGTAACTTAACACAGATTCTATTTCGTACATTGTGCCTAATAAATGCCCTTGGCTTAATACATCTTTTTTTAGTTGTTTGATTTTTTTAAATTTAACTAAGTCGAACTTAAAGTCCTGTCTAAGTAGATTTGTGGCTATCAAATTATTTTACATCTTTTCAAACACTAACGGTTTTAAACGCAATAAATATTAGTTAAACTTGTTTGAAAACTCTCCCAGTTGCAGCCGTGGTGGCTGCAAAGCATCCGAAACGTCGGGCCGTAGTTAAAATAATTTTCAAACAAGTATAGTTAATATATATCGCGTTTTAAACCGTTAGTGTTTTATTTAAATGTGTACTACTCGCGTAAACTACAGACAGTGTCTTCCTGTTTTCCAAATCCTTCGAAATTATTGTTCTTGTATGTTGCTTGCACTTTGCGTTAAAATATTAATTACACTTAAATGACAAACAATACAATTTAATATGATGATCTCATGTACAAAGATCAGACCGTTGTACGATCGACTGCTGCTTATAAGTAGTAAGTATTGTAACCATTAACGAGATGATAACGTTAATTAGTATTTATTTTTAATTCTTGTTTAACTATTACATTTTAAGTATAAGGGAAAGGCTAACATATGTGAAAACCCCTTTTCTTGACGACATATATGACTTTTCAAGTGATGGTGAGAATGAACCCACACGTCGGGCGTTTGTGACATGTTGTGATGAAACTACATGAGCTGGTACCAACCCTATATAGTAACCGAAGGCTGGATTTTTGAGGGGCTCGTAGGCCTAATGATAGCAATGTATGGCTAATAATCAACGGGTCGTGGGTTCAAACCCCACCGGGTCCAACATGTATCTAATTTTTCAATTTATAATTTTTCTGAAACATGTTGGTTGACTTCGTCTGGAGATCTGGATATTTGAAAACGTTATTATTGTATACATGCTTTCACATTATAGCACATGAAGGCGCTATATACAGTGTAAACTCCATGTAACGTCACTCTATTTAACGACGAACTCTCTTAAGCGTCGAAATCAATTGGCTTTGGTTGGTTTAGCTTGTTTTTCATACAATGTTTCTTCTCTCCATTTAACGACAACTCTCTATAACGCCATAAAATGCACAGTCCCTTCAGTGTCGCTATATAGAGTTTACACTGTAATTTAAAAATCAGAACAAGAGTAACGACACGGAACGCTGACGATGCCGGTTCAAGTCCTGCCCGAGTCAAAAAAAATTTTTTTTTTTTTCAATTTATTTTCGATTTTTAAATTAGATCTGGATATTAAATGGGTGGTTGGAATATAGAAACCACTGACCACAAACCAATGTCCACAGATGAAAAATGAGAAGCCGTGAAGCTTAATCGCTGTCTGGTTTTAGTCTGCGGTTTTTTGGATATCCATAGCCAAACTAGGTCGGCAGCGCATCTTGTTGTAGATGCTATAGGCCTGCTCTATCATTAAAAAAAGCGCGAGATTCAACTAGAACGACTAGACGCACCACCAGCCAGCTACGGCACTTTGAGGAAGCCCTGCGAATACGTCTACGCGACTCCAAAAGCATATAAGCCCTGAGTAATATAGTTAAGAATGGTCACGTATTTAATGAAAAATATAAAATTTTGTCACCCTTATGGCATCTACGAACACATTTCTATGTCCGTTTTACTTGAACACGCAATACAATCTTCATGTAGAAAAACCCGTATCGTGCCAAGGCACATTTACGATTGTAGTCTGTGGATTTTAATATTAAAGCCAAATCAAGAGAACTCCAGGCCTGACTTCGCCTGTCATAAAAAATAAGGTACAATATATTTTTTCTTTAAATATTCCACTGTCTAGTAAAGATGAGACTACAAACGCCTCCCACGAGAATCGTTTACCCAACATTGACATTTAAAGGTACTTTATTGCGACGGTTTGAACATTTTATCGTCGCGGCGCTATTCCTAAAAAATACGTGTCGTTACAGTAAATATTCTATTATGACAAGTATTTTCAATTTTATATAAGTAATATTATATAGATACTAAAACTTAAACACTTTAACGGCCTAAAACGCGATTTATATTAGTTCATCTTATTTGAAAATTAGTTTAACTAATACATATCGCGTTTTAAACCGTTTAATGTTTTTAAGTTAAACTTGGTTGAAAATTATTTCGAATCACGGGGAGACGGCTGTAAAGCATATATCGTGTTTTAAACCGTTGATGTTTTAATTAAATCTACTACAAGCTGTAATAAAAAAATATATCTAATCAACTATATCATATTATATTTTCAGGACCGGCATAGTAATCTTTTTCGTAGCGTGTGGAAAGGCAATTGTAATCAAATGAATGTCGGTAATGAATTTTAAGAACAAAGTGCGTATCGCTCCCGAATAGTGTTCATAAATACTTCATAGTCAAAACGTCAGTAAGTGTATAGTTGTGAAACGTTTGGGCGGGCGGCGCGGAAGGACGCAGACTTGGCGCGGGATGGTTACATATCGATAATCTGTATTTGGATTTTCATTTCATATTACTTGTTTTTACACTATTTTTCCTTTAATTTATTTCAATTAAATAATTAAACATATTATTAGTTCCAGTTTGATCATAACATTCTAAATAAATTATTTTAACGGGTTTTAGCGACGGTAGCTCAATTGGTCAGAGTAAGAGCCCAGAACGTTGTGGATGACGGCTCAAGTCCCACCCCTATCATATTTTTTTAAACCTAAATAGATTTTTAGGTTTTATATTGCAATCATGTGCAATAATAAGACGTGTAAAATAATAAATTTTTCAAACACATTTAACGGTCTAAAACACGTAATATATATAATTTACTTAATTGATATGGTAATATGACTTTTCAACTGTGTAAATTTAATATCTATACGCTAACAGACTTATCAATAACATTTTAAACGAATCTCAATGTGACTTCTGTATTGTGTTAATGGTTGATTGTTTTTATTTTTTAATATGTTACTGTCAAACGCTCAAAGGCACTCCACACCGTCTCTGAAAATTAACGCTGTCGCCATATGATTCCGCGCAAGCTTATTCTTTTCTCAGTCTATGTTATTTATTTTATTTTTATTTGGAAACGAAATAACATTTTTACTATCTTATTATTTTATTCTTATTATCTCCTTTCGTTAACCTTTTAACTGTAATTGCTGTATTTTTGTTATTTATGTGTAAATTATATAATAAAGCAATATCGATAAAAACATCACCGTACAACACTATTACGACGCGTGGCGCGCTATGCGCAGGCGCGAGGGCGGGCGGACCCGTGACGTGTTAGATCGCGGACAGCTGACGGCAGCCGCGTGACGTACGAACGTGCACGAAAGAACCGCCACGGACCACGAGTATTCTGGGTTTAGTGATTTGTGAACTGTGCTTCTGATGATGGTGAGACGCGGCGGACGGTATACCGTCAGCTGGCGAGGCTTCAGGGATTACACGGCGAATAAGGCACCTGATGACGGCAAGTAAAGCTTATTAAATCACCGCAAATTCCATAAGCCGTGTTTCGAACGGATTTGTGGTTATCCGAGGAGTTTCTGTATGAAAGAGATTATAGTGTTTTATTTTTTTAAATCTAAAAATAAGTCCGCAATCTAGAAATAATGTTTTTGCTATTCAAACTAAGGAGGTCTTATGTAAATGAGTAGTATAATATATCCATATATCTATTTTTTGAAACTTTGTTAATTTTATATAGCATGTTAAATCGAATTCAAAAACAAAAATGAGTCAACGGTACGATATTCTTTTGTCTCATATAATGACTATTTTCGCGGAAAAAACTAAAAATACTTTGACGGTCCGATTCGCGATGTCGCTTTTCGTGAATCTCAAATATTACGAAGCGTTCGTTGAATCAATTACGAGGTGTACTTATTGAATTTATGCTCTCAATTTATGATATAAAATGTATAAGTAGAAAGTAAAGACTGTGATAAACAACTAAACTAAACCTAAACTCAACATTGATTAATATTTATCTCATTGTCGTCCTATTTTAATAACTAAGTTTGTACCAAATAAATAAGAGAGAAACTAAAGTATTCAACGCAAAAAACCGCAGTCCGCAATACGGATGTATTTTTATGGGCACCCACTTAACGTGTCTGGGTAGTGGGAACGAAAGCGGAAACACAGTGGATCAATACACGAATCTCCTAATTTTAGAAATTTGACAATTCAGCTGTCTTCACAATAGAATAACTTGCATACCAAAGGAAGTTTGGAAATGGGTTAACATAAATGCATATAACCAAGACTTTGTCAAAATTATATTTTAAATTTATTTAAATAAAACACTTAAACGGTTTAAAACGTGATACATATCAGTCAAACTTGTTTAAATATTATTTTTACTACGGCGCGACGCTTCAGATGTTTTGCAGCAGCCGTGGTCACGGGGAAATGTCGGGCCGTAGTTAGAGAATTTTCAAAAAAGTTTAACAAATATATATCGCCTTTTCAACCGTAAAAGTGTTGTATTTAAATGTGTACCCCCCGCGTTACTACAGACAGCATTAAGGTTAAATTTATGTTAAAATTAAACTTAATTACGAAGTGTGTATTGTAAAAATATGTATTCACGTTTTCCCTATAATTGGATTGAAATGCTTAGTAAGACAATCTTATCACATCACACATGTGACGCATAGGGTAGTACCTGAAAATCAGAGGAACCAAAATATTTGCGTTGTCCTAATCTTAGATTCATTTGTTACTTTTGTTTTACTATTTTTTGTATTCATTAATGAATTATCTCGTGTACACCTCTTTCTATATTTAGGCATTCATTTATCTTCTTCTCTTACTGAATTTTATTATCTTGACACAGATATGATTAATGATCCTGCGTCTTCAGCTGCTTCCAAGTACCAGTATAATTATATGTTAAACTACATTGCATTTCTTTATGTTACATAAACGGTCGTTGTTCGTGATTAATATTATTAGCGTAACCCTACATTTTTTCTTCCTTTTTTACGCTACGTGCTAAAATATAGTACAAGTGGAAAAAATATATACTCTAAAAAAAAAAACCTTTTAAAAGTGAGATCCTTATAGCATATAGATAAAATAAGTGTCAATAGTTTTACTAAAAAAATTGGGCTATTTTATTACAATTAAACACATTTAACGATTTAAAATGAATTAGGTAACTTATTTACACATTATTTTAACTACAGCGTGATGTTTCAGACGTTAGCTGTTGTAAAACATCTAGCGTACCTAATACATTCCGCGTTTTAAACCTGATTTGATATTACTTATAGAGAAGGAAGAGCCGAAACCGGAAGAGGATCTTTCAAATCATGAAGTCATATTCTTGAGAGGTATTGTCGAGAGCCCCGATTTTGCGCGGAAGTGTGAGGTAGGCGTTTTATTTGCAAAACAAAATTTTACACCATTAATACTCAATGAAGAAGCGTGAAGAATTATAACATATTATTATACAGAATACGTCAATTCTAAATATGTCTTAAATTAATGTTTTTCTAAGTGAATAAATTTGTTTTTAATAATATGTCGATATGTCAACGTCAAGTTACAAACGGTTGCTTGTTTAGCTTAATCTGTGTTGTTTTTGAAAGTTGTTGAAATCAAGCGAAGGAGTAGGGTGTGTTCCTTTTTCAAATAATTCATATAGCTTTAATATTTTAATAGAATTAACTGTACACTGAGTTTATCTAACCATAATTATAAGAGCCATATATATTTACGGTGGTTATAAGTGTAGTTTGATTCAACATTTTGAAAATACGTGCCAGACGATCCAGTTGCCACGCCTAATCTTGTTTATGATGCACAGCTACTGCACTTCGTTGTTTCATGTTTCGAAATTTTACAGTCGATCGATTCCGAGGAGGACTTAATTGTGAAGCCCGTATCCTTGGATAATGTAAACATAATACGGTCACTAAGCGAGTATCGAGGCAATAATATTCGGACAATCGAACAAGCTGAACTCGCTATATTATTGTCCAGAGTTCACTTTAAGGTAAGCCTTTGTTTTATAAGCGTTTGTTCTTTGTTAAAAAAAATATTGATAAAGATTTGAAATTATTATTACAGGCACTTATAGATGCCCACGATCAAATAGGGAAAATTTGGCTAGAGCGAGGCTCAGGTGTTGATGAAAAATTAGAGGTAAAAGAAGCCTGTAAAGATACTGCAGAAGCGCTTGATTCAAGTCCAGATCAGAACGGAGACATGCCAGTTGAGACAGTTAAAGTTGTTGGCCTTAGGAAGGTGCCGGGTCAACCATTAGGGTTGACTGTAAGTATTTTTTATGTACTTTTTCCTCATTTAAAGACATTTGACTGCCTCTGTAGCTAAGGGGTTAAATATATATTGTGTTAAGCATAAGAAGTTCTAGGCATCCAGAGGCAACAATGAATTGTTTTGTCCGTGCAGGGTACAGAATTCTGATCAGAATCTTGTAATAAAACAAATCACTGAAATAGACACAGAAATCTTTTCACATTCACATTTATTATAAAATATCCGTATTGCCTAGTGGACTAATCTATCAATCCTATTTACTATAATCTGCTTCTAAAGCGTTATTATATATTTGTATGTTGGTGTTAGGTGTAAAATGTGAAATATTTATTGTCACATTAGTATTCAAGATAGTAATAGAGGTGTCCAATATATCAACAAATTCTTTACATATAATTAAAAAATATTTTGTGTTTGAAATTTTTTTTAAATGTTTTATTAATGAGTAACACTTGTATAAACTACAAACAATACTTAATAATCTTATCAAGGATAAATATTACAAACTCTTACAGAATAGTGAGTAAAATGTCTTTTCAATATTTATATGCAAGTATTAAATATTTTTGTCAAATTCCAGGTTACCACAGATGAGCATGGACAGTTAATAGTAGCCAGAATAATGGCTGGAAGCGCAGCTGCTAAACAAGCCCTACTTAGTGTTGGTGATGTCTTACTAGAAGTGGACGGAGTACAAGTTGATTCTGAGGACCAGCTTAAAGAAGCTGTTTCAAAGCCTAATGATAGGGTCACCTTGAAAGTTGGACCCAATCTTAAGGAAAAAAGTGCTCAATTGACTAATAAACTAAGCGTAAGTTATGATAATATATATTTCTACTGAATTCGATAGAATGGTGGAAAATAATAGTTAGAAACAAGTTTTTTAGTTTAAATGTAATATTTGGTTTTCATTTATAAATACAAAGCATGCTTTGTTATGCCTGCCCGTATAATGTCTGACATTTTAAGTTCCCCTCGTCAATATTAATCAAAAAAACAGTTTGAAAGAAGAAATATATTAGTTAATGTATTTTAAGTTAATATTAACCTGATATTCCCCGTTTTAAACCGTTAGAATGTAATTGAATTCAGAAAATTACAGATAAAATAAAATTTAATTTCAGTGTTATGTGAGGGCACTATTCGACTACAGCCCAGCAGAAGATACACTCATTCCATGTAAAGAAATAGGATTAGAATTTAAGAAGGGAGACATTTTACAAGTAAGTAATTTAGCTAAAGAGACAATAAAGATAAGCTTAACCATTTCGTTCTCGGGGCAGATCTAGGTTCAACGAGACTGCATGAGAAGTGTGGGGAGTTGTGACTGTAAACTAGGTTTAAGAGAGGTCTCTTCAGGTAGACCAGCACTTACCTTACCCACATTTCCCTCACAACATATATTTTTTACTATTTAATAAATCTTATTCTATTCTTTACAATTCTTTGATATTCTTTACTACTTTGTTCCAGATATCAGATAGAAAAGACCCAAACTGGTGGCAAGCAAGTCACGTTGAGAAACCTGATGTCGTCGGCTTAATACCTTCACCAGAGCTTGAAGAGAGACGAAAAGCATATGTGCCACCAGAAGCAGATTTTGTGCATAAAATTAGCATATGCGGAGCCCGGGTAAGTACATACATGTTGTACTATTAATAATGTAGTCAAAAAGTAAAATTATATGAGGTGCATTTTGTAATTTACGCGAGCAGTACTCATATAAATAAAAAACCTTTAACGGTTTAAAACGTGAAATATCTTAGTTAAATTATTTTACTTCTACGAAACGTCAGGCCATAATTAAAATAACTTATATAATATATTTCGGGTTGAAACCGTTAAGAGTGTTTTATTTGAAATTATATATTAATAAAATATCGGGAAATATTCCTAAATTAAGAGAAGTTCGTCATCGATTTGTTGCAAAATATGTTATACCTTAACCCTTTAAGTGCTAGTCATCACAGATGATGAACAGCATCAAAACGTCGGCTTTTTTCAACTAATATATTTCGCGTTTTAAACCGTTAAAAGTGTGTACCACCCGCGTAAACTACAGACAATATAAACCTAGCTTTTCTATTACAGATATCAAGAAAGAAAAAGAAATTTGTCTACGAATCCCGCTCTAGTGTTCAACTGGAAGGTGCTGAGCTGGCGCTATATGAAGAAGTCGCTCGTACACCCCCCTTTTTGCGAAGAGTACTAGCACTAGTGGGGACGCGCGGAGTTGGCCGACGTACTCTCAAAAATAAGATGATCCAAGAACACCCGGACAGATTTGGTGCTGTTATACCCCGTAAGTATTTTTTTTATTTATTCTGGCAATATAACCAAATTTTATTTATCAATGCAATCAATTTTTGATTTAGATTCGGTTCATATAATTTTTAGATATATTTAATTATATTTTTAACGGTTATTCCCATATGAACTTTTTCAACCAAATGTTATTACAATAAAATCATTTCTTGCGAGTTTATTTTATAAACTATCGCAGACTTTAGGTTGTTAAAAAATTTATTTTCTCAAAGAATATACATATTACTTAACGAGAAAAATTAATATTAAACTAAATGTTTTAATATCGATTTAATTAAACGAAACAGTGATATATAATAAAAAATCTTATTATTAATTATACTTATTCTAATATTTCGATTATATAACGGAGAAACAAACTTTTATTCAGATTTTTTCGGTACATAGAACTGTTTTCTAAACAGCAGAAAATGTGGAGTAATCGGCGTCTTCACACTTTGTCCACATAAATATTTTCAGACACTTCTCGTCCCCCTCGACCTCTCGAAGAAAGCGGTGCTTCATACTGGTTCGTATCGCGGGAGGAGATGGAGAGGGACGCTCACGCTGGTCGCTTCCTGGAGTATGGAGAACACAATGGTCACTTGTATGGAACTCACTTGGATTCAATACGCGCTGTTATCAAGGAAGGTAAGTTATTTTTTGTTTCTTAACACTTATCTATCAATTAAAACACGTTAAGATCCTGAAATGGTCAATATATGACCATTTTTCAAACAGTTACATTTTTTTTAATAAATCTAAAATGGCCGATATATATTGGTTACTGTCGACATCGAAAAAGATGCCTTGTTAAGGTTAAGATATTATATTATATACTAGCTGTTTCAGTGATTTGGTCCGCTAAGAATATTTTGTTTGGGCACTCCCATCGTACTCGCAAGGTAATTAAAAAAATAGACATATAGCGTCGCTGACTTTTTTTTTTGATCATTTAAAGAGGAATCATTCTTTCATACATATTTTTGGGGTATCTTGAAAGGTTTTTGCAGCGTACACCCCAGAGACCCATAATGATAAATAATTTTCCCAATTTTTTTCACATTCCTCGCTGTATCTTCGCTTGTATCATTACAACGCGATGTTTTTTAGCCTTTCTCAATAAATGTTCTAACCAACACAAAAATATTTTTTTAATTCGAATCAGTAGTTACTGAGATTAGTGCTTTATATTTAAATACATATGTATTAAATAAATAAAATAAAAAGGTTTATTTCCCTAACATCCCTACTATGTACATCTTTTATTTTAATTTAGTTTTCAAAGAGTGTCAAGAGTGCTATTGTGTATTATGTATAAGGGTTAATTCATAAATCAAAAATAATTTATTCATGTTACTAAGTACACTTATGTACGTCATCAAAAAGGTCGTATTTTGACGGGCTTGTGTAATGTTTGCAATGTATGTTTAATTAATGTTTTCTATTCAATGAAAAAAAATCCGAAACATGTTGGGCTTCATCTGGAAATCTGGATTAAAAATATGGCAATACCGTCTGGGTCCACAGATAAAAAGCCGTTACGTTTTATCGCGTTACGGTTTCAGCCAATGGATGTCCGAATATCCAAAGCCAAAATGAGCGACAGTGCATCTTTTTTAGTTTAGTATATGTTATACGACCGGACATCTATCGCAAAAAAAAATATATAAACTATGTATATATGGCAACAAGTTAAAAAAACATTTTTTTAATCTCTTTAAGATAAGGCATGACACTTATCTTAATTCACTGGTTTATAAATAATGTTTTGCTCATAGGCAAGATGGTGATACTGGACTGTGCACCGCAGTCGTTAAAGCTTCTACACAATAGCAGCGAATTCTTACCGTTTGTGGTAATGATTGGTTCGCCTGGTATAGATCAACTTAGGAACCTTACATACGCCTCAAATCGAAATCTTACAGTAAGTTTTAGAAATACATTTAAGGGTAGATCTTACAATGTCCTGGTCCAAAGAGTTTGCCCTGCCTATTTTTCGGCCATATTGATTTTTTGCATTGAAATATAAATTTTTTTACTTTTGCTTGAATTTGAATTTCCCTAATCGCATAATTTTTTTGTTCACTTATATGAACTTATAAGAAATACAAACAGAAATCTTGCGCTTTGCTAGTGAAAAAGTAAATTACATTTTACGAACTTAGTTCATAGTTGATCATTTTAAGCAGCCGCCATGACTCATGTTGACATCTTTGTCTCAGTCAACTAAACTGACCTTACAAACATAAAACACTAGATGTAAGTGCCTATAGAAAAATTTTGCTACAATTTTTTTTCTTATCTTTGATCTAATTACCCTTAGTGTATTGGTTTGTGGCCTGCGATAGTGTTGTTTTAACTAGTGTTTGTAGCTAAGCATGTCTGTGTAGTTCGACCGGCAGAGCTCCATACGGTACAGTTCGCGGCGCGCGCGCACCCTCGAATCTTTAGCATCGCTCTATGAGGTAAGTTTCTTTATTGCATGCTTTACTAGGTCATAAATAGATTATTAAGACTGAAAATGTTGTGGTGGGAAAAATAACGTAGGAGGTTTCCACGTCCCTTGTTAACTAGGGTCGACCGGGGTCGGAGGGTAACCCACTAGGGGCAATGTTACATAATGTTTGTATGTTTATACATGAGTTTGTTAGGACTATAGTAACCACAATGAACCTTTCATTTAACTTTTTTTAATACAGGAAGAGGACCTCAAACAAACGCTTGAAGAAAGCGCTCGCATACAAAGACAGTACGAAAAATACATCGATCTAGAGATAATCAACACGAACAATGATACCACTTATTCTAAAATCATGGACGCCCTACATTCACTCTCTACCGATCACCAATGGGTACCAGTGAGTTGGATTTACTAGCATTTCTTAATTTTATCATAATAGTATGTAATTAACAAGACGAACGAACGATTTCGACCAATTACAAACTCTTGGCTTAGAAAAGCTTGCTGGCCATATAATATCAGTAGCCATTATTTCTAACTATTCAATATGTATTCACTTTATAGGTTATATTTCATGAACTAATATTTTATTGATGGCGAGATTCCATTGTAATTCCTTGCTATCTAAAATATATAGAAATTATCTCAAAATCGATATAACCATTTTGGTATTTGAATCACAGCTAAAGTAGCTAGGATAATAATTTAACCGCACATTATATAGAATAGCAAAAATAATTAATTAGATTTTCTATACATAAAACAGATATGTACTAACACTAAGAGATTATAAGACATCACATATTTTTGTATTATGAATAAAGATCCCTTGAAAGGCCTATATGCTGTTGGAGCACAATTTTTTTTATCCATAGTGCTTAATAAATAAAAATCAATAGGGTTAGAAAGCCCTGAGATAGTTCATTAACTCCATTCCACATTTCTTTTACTTACAACGTTACCATTTTCTTTATATTATCAATGTTTTAAAAAGTCCTTCGAAACGTTAAGGCTTAGGTGTTCAATATCCCACCAAAATTTTACTAATAATATCTGATATATTTAGTATTTGTAAGTCTGGATTTCGACGTAGATGGTATTAAAAAGCCGGGCACGCACTTTTCTATGAGCGCTGTATCATGGCATGATGTGAGTTAAATTTTATTTGTAGACTAGAACATCCTGGCTGGGTAAACTCCAGACAAAATAGAACGTGTTTCAGATAAGTTTATAAATAGATTAGAAGCATGTTAGACCCGATGGGACGATATTATTATTTTAGCCATACATTGCTACCATTACCAATGTGCCCGTGAAAACTCACTGACCGCCGTAAAAAAAATCTCTCGGTGAGTTACAACCGCCAAGCCAGCATCGCTACGCGAGTTTACTTCTTTTGTCTAACAAGCTGTTCTTTTCTCGTCGGTGATAGGATCCCCTTAAGACATAAGAAAGGCGATTTTATAACAGACTGAAGTTAGTAACGCGTTATGCATTAAAAAGGGCGTGAACCTCATAAAATAATTTATTAAAATTTATATGAAAATCACAAAATTATCTTTTACAAACGATTTTTTTAAACGCGCTTAATTTTTAACTCACTTTTTAGAATACTAATTATTTATAGGCATACCATGTGTAGTATATTCTAAACATGGCGCTTATGTAGTGTAACTTACAATGAATTATTACCTTTTAAGTATGGTCTTGTGTATATTTAGCTGCGTAACATAGTTCGTAATTTTGCATTTAGTATGAAAACTGTAAGTTAGGGTTTTGAATTTCAGAAAGTTCGTATAGGTAATAAAAACTGTAAAAGTGGTTCTACCCTCTATGAACACTATTTATTTGATCAAAAATATGAACGATTTAAAACCAAGTATATTAGTTAATTCCTATGACTCGACATTTCGTATGCTTTTTCAAACTGCTACCCTAGCGCCACCTGCCTCTTCGTAAACATGAACCGTTAAGTATTTTAATATGTTCCCATTATATTGTGTTTTAAATCAAAGCTGTGTAGGACCACTTATCTTTAAGACATCACAGTGCTATCACATAATAACTATTGTGATAACCAATATAAAGTAGTATTATTCATTTTATTTAGTCGACAATTTATGTTAGAGGTAACATAGCTATGGAGCATGTATTTTTGAATAATAATGTATAAATTTAAGTACGTATAATGGAAATAAACGCTTTCGCAAATTTTTTAAAGATTTTGCTACCAATTGTCATATAAGCCTCATGTAGCTTACATCTAAGAATCTCACATTCCGTCCATTTTTATTTTGTTATTTAGCTATAAATTTTATTGTATCGAGAATTTTTCAATATATTTTAATTAAGGGAAGTTCTATTTTTTTTTCGCTTTTCACCCGTTGTAATTTAAATAAACGATTGCTATTGCTCTACATTCATTTATTATCTCCTGATATTGAAAAGTAAGCACATAAAATGAATTTATTGGTTGACAGGCTTTGAGTGCTTGTGGTGACGCGCAGATGTTTTAAATATGTTTGGGTCGATGTGATTTAGTCCTGTCTCATTGTTTACTGCTATTAAACTGTTGTCGGACTCATTCTTCTCCAAGAGATGTGGTGCAAGAAGGAGGAACAGTTGCTGAAACAAATTACGTTATATCGGTCGTTGAACGCAGTAAGGCTACATATTTCGGTATGAATAATTGCTATGCTTGTTTAAAAGAGTTAAAACGCCGTTTCCCCGCGTGGTGCATGGGGCGAACACACTTCTGTTCCACTGTTCAGTTCTTGTACGTTGATCAGACTTCTGTGGCCTACCCGTCCGAAAGAATCTATTGTTTTCCAAGGATTTAAACACAGGATATCCCTCGCGAAACGCTATGGTAGGCACCACGTTTAACAGGCGGTCTCTTTGCTTATATGTTTATTTATTTTTTCTTTTTTTATTTATTCCATACATAAAAATACAATAAAACAAATAACAAAATAGATGTTAGTATATGGAAAGACACCGCTAAGCTTGTTGTACCTAGAAGTAGACACAATGTCGATTTTCAGTAATGCCCCACGCCATTTGAAGTAGACAAGATGACAAATATATATAAAAGAAAACTGAAAAATACAGATTTTACAAAGAATATTCCCAATAAAAATATTTACTATTCATGTTTTTTGAGTAACGTTAATTGTAAATTACCTCAGCCCATGGTATTAGCGGCAAATTAGCAAACAACGCCTGCCAGCCAGGAAGTCCTAGGTGGACTAACGCCATTCTGAAGTAATGAGTGAAAGAGTCGGCTAACCAGCCCCAAGCACCGTCCCTTGCTGCAAGCCACACTGACCAAGCACCGCCCGTGTATATCAAACAAACCTGCAATATTCAGATTACAAATATTCTTTATTATCACAAAACAAGAAAGAATATAACACAAAATAAAGTTAAAATAAATTAAGGACAAACGGCGGCTTTAAAAATAGCTATCTCTTCCAAGCAACCACAGTGGAAATTAAAACTCAGTATTAAAAGAGGTGTGCGTGACAGCAGAAAAGTAAGTACCTTTTAATACAAAAGGACCTTAATTTATATAATTACTAACTCATGTTATAAATTTAAAAAATATTTAGATTGAAAATATAATACCATCATGTGCAAAATATTAACGTTTTCAAACATAACTATAATTTGTTCTTTAATGTTTTTTTAAGCTGCAAAGCATCAGTTTGTAAGTAATTATTATGGTTAAAATTACATCGCGCGAAATCTGCATGTTTCAATAAGTTGAAAGAATTCTAAGATGACGTGTAGGACAGTATCTCAATTGTTTGGAGCAGCAGCACGGAACACCGGTTCAGGTCCCGCCGGTGTCGGAATAGATTTTTAATTTCTATGATGCCATCACGTGCTGTGCACATGTGGAAAATAATTGAGTTTTCAAATTGTATTGTTTATGCCAAGGCCTTTTTTATCCATGCTCTTTAAGGAGTTAAAGAATGAGACAGCGCTCAGTTTCCTTACCTTGCCAATATTGCGACATGAATCCAATTCGAAGACCTTACTCTTCGTGTTGAGAATCGGTCGAGGGCCCGAAGTCTGTCTTGTCAACGAGAAATCCAAAAGATCTTTCAACGCCGGCGATAGATACAACTCGTTCAATGTGTTTATACGAATAGACCCAACGGGTAATATTTCGTCAGCTGCAAGAGTAATAGTTTCAGATAATTCATCTCCTAAATTTCATATATTCAAATTCAAACACTTAAATTTAAAATATTCGAATTCAAACACTTAAATTCAAATACATATATTCAAAATATTTAAATTCAAATACATACATTTAAAATCGTATTTCAAAAAGCCAATGTACATTACCAGAATATTTATAGTGCCAAGTGAGCTGGAAGCCATCGGTTGAAGTATAAAAGTTACGAAGATCATCAGGAAGAACTGCGGAATGCTTCTGCTCCCAGTTCGATATAGCCACACGATCACAGGGCTGCCTTCTCTCTACTACCACATTGGAGATGCGTGGGTCTGATTCTGAAACATTGTAAGCTTTGGCTTTCACAGCTTCGATAATAATTTCTCAATATCAAAGGCGAACCGCTCAATAATCCAAAGAAGCATGGTTCTAACGAGAGGACGTAATAATGTTCTTTAAATCCCGTATAATATGCACTGAACTAGTAGCACACTATACAGTTTACAAACAAATTACTACACAAGGAAAAAATTACGATAAGTAGAATATCTACAATGTATTTTCATAAACAACTTATTATATGTGGAGTTAATGTGACTTTGTCTAATACTGTTTTGTTCTTATGCAAAAGAAAAATTAATTATTAAGAAAAAATAATAACAATCTCAGAGCGATATAACCGTGTGTGTTGACTGTTGTCTTCGTTATAGAAGTTTTTTTTCTTAAATGTAATAATTTATAATATCTCCTTTGCACAAATACAAGATCCAAATAAAACTAACAATCTTAATCTCGCTGCAATATCTATGGAGCACAATGAAACTAAACGATTTTATATAGATTACAATATTCTTTAGTTAACCACGTTTTTTAACTCCTTGCATACTTGGCTGTAGATTTTATAAAGTTGATTTTTAGAGAATCCTAGTACCTAGTCGAAGAAAGAATTAATTGTTTCATATAATCAAAAAATGCTTATTATAAGAGCACTTAGATTTAACTATGACTATATTTGATGCATATGTTATCTCCTAATCTTCTATAGTTAATCGAAGATTGGTTTTCCTTTAAAGAGATGTTCGTACACGAAATGCCAGTAGTTTACGCCTAAAAATATAAGGTTAATAAAAAAAGCTGCGCATACACCGATGACTACCTACAGTTACGACAATCTCATAACTCATTTGTTTGTTTATCTTACAAGTTTTTTCTCGGGATTCAAATCAAGAACCCCTTGCAAGACATGACTATAAAAAATAAACGTAGCAATGTCTTGAAGCAGATGTTAAGCAATAACATTCAAATATATATACATTTAAACAAAACGTTGTTAGTTTAAAATAAGTATTTTTCGCGTTAAAAGCGTCAGTAACAATTTTATTTCAATGTCCACTACTCGCGTAAACTATAAGCAATAGTATGTATATAGTACATAAGACGAGCTTAAATATATAAAACAAATGCCTTCAGATTACTAGCTATACAAGAAAAGTGTAATTGACCTAAGGCTCGGCGTCGCCTGACTTTATTGGATTTGAGGCATTGCCGCTAACACTGAACAACTTTATCCTACGACAAAAATTTAAATGGAACTTCTAAAATTTCTTCAACGATAATGGGAATATGGACTTCAATGAAAACGGAATAAAACAGTAGGTAAAACTGTTTTATTCACGCCCTGTGACAGATACGATTTCCATTTTTTATTTTCCCGTCGAGTAAATATATTATACACAAGACTTCGGTGTATTTTCATATACCGCGTTTAGAACTATATTGTATTTGTCCAAAGAAGACTATAAATTATTATTTTAAGAAAATAAATACCTATAACGATGACAATAGTCAACACACCCGGTTATATCGCCATATATATTAATTCGGTTTATTGTAAATCAAGCTATGTAAATCAATTTATTTTTTTAACCTAAGTAAGAATTAAGTAGATCATTATTGGGCCGTTAATTATGTGTCATTGTAAAAGCGTACAATATAACTTTAAGCCCCGGTGAATAGTTGTAGCTTTAGTTTTAAACTACGTTCTTAAAATTAAGTCATTAGCGGAATTGTAGCAAAGCTAAGGTACCTAATGGAATGGGTACAAGCAATAAGCTCATTAGGCGAGGATTAGGAGATACACAATAGATTTTTGAGAAATAGAAAACAATAGGGGTAATAAACTGCATTCGCTATTTTAACCTGATAGGAAAAACAGCAGATTAAACAAAAGCCAACCCCCTCTACGGAGGTTTCATTCGAAACTCATTTGCCAATGTGGTCAGTATAGTTTGCTAAATTCGAAGTGAAGACACAAACATCATGACCTCCTCCGAAATTAAAATGCAGTTTGACAACTTGGTGCAAAGTGAATGTGCTTCATCGGGATACAACGGTATCAGTAGTGGTTCAAACACGATATCGGAATTAGATGCCGCCAAAGCATTACTAGACCTTCGCGGACAAATTTTTCATTTTAATGCTGGTGGCATCTGGACTCGCGAAACTGAAGAAATCGAAGAGCCTTCGACTGCATCAAAACTTTTCAACAGACTCTACACTATTACACCTAAAAGACACAAATATGAAAGTGCTGATCAAAACACAGAGGAAACCCCTGCTAAAACCACAAGGGAATGGGAAACCCAAACAGACGTTAGAAATCGTTTACCCGAAATCGAGGAGATGGATACTGTAATCAAGGGACTCTTTAAGAGATTGGAGGTACTACAATCCCAAGTAGGATCTAAAGTATTAAAAGTTGATTCGACCGCAGAAACGGCGGCGACCAGCGATAACCGATCTGAGACCGACTCTCGGAAAACCTACAAACGTAAGCGTAAAATTTCTGATTTCGATGTAACTCCAAGTTATAGAAAATACAGAAAGAGCGATTTCCAATCCAAAATATCAAACACAAGGACCAAAAATTTCAGCAAAACGATTGGAGAATTGGTCCCTATAGGAGACGGTAATGCTGTGGTGCCTGCTACACTTTTGAAAAACATGGACTGGACTTCTTACACCAATTCTTCGAGGAAATTGTTAACAGCAGTTTTTCCTCGCAACGTTCTCGCGACCCACTCCCTGACTGGCAAACGTTCGCCCGCATTCCCAAACAAAGCTGCTAAGAAGAAACTGGAGCCAGCCTTAGTCAATGACATCGTGCAAACCGTGATGGAACGGTGTAAGGTACCCGAGAACTTTGTCAGAACAAGCATTACCACAAAATGTTCGGACGAAAGTAAGAGAGTGCGTAACGGAAATAGTAAAAAGAAAAAACTGAGGCCTTAGATAAAGGAAAACATTCCGCCCTCTGATCGTTCTGAATCGGAATCCAGTTAAATTTTACTGTAATACGGGTAATATTGATGTTTTCGCTTATAATAATTACTTTACCAATAAAATTTTATAGATTAAATACTTAATGTTTATTTCTAATTTAAGAAAATTCTATAGGTACATATTCAACTTTTAAAGCAATAATAAAATAAAATTATTTCGCGTTATTTGACTGTACATGATAACCATTGATTCGATTGGAGATGATATTACAATCTTTTAACTTGTAATATGATTACCAATCGAATCACATTCTTTATGTAATAGGTACCTAAGAATTCAGAATAAGTGACTGCAGTCAAAAATTCTGTTAGAGTAGTACCGCTCAAAAAATAAAATCAATTTCTCGAGAAAACATCGATCATAAATCTTATTTAATTTAATTAATTAATTATAATTCCGTGCTAGTAAACTGTTGAAGTGTCGCTCTTAGAACGCTTCTTAATTTTGATATTTGCCAATAAGAAAGGTGTTATAGTTTTTAATTATTTTATACCTGTTATTGAAGTTTTTCTAATTGTCAGTTGTCAACTTGACAGTGCGTGTGCACAAACATAACCTGACTTATGAATTAAGCTAATTTCTCATAAGATAACATGTTATTATTTTAATTATCAAAAAGTTTAATGAATATAGTAAAATGCCTGAAACCGAGATCAATGATGGAATTTGTTATATCAAAGAACAATATGTCGCCCGACGACCTAACGAAGCAGAAGAAAATATTGAAAAGCAATCGTGTAAACGAAAACTTGAGGATAGTGTGAATAATGATGATGTCAAAAAATTAAAATGTGAGACAAATGACGCTGTAAGTAAAGATAAAGTTAGAAAAAGGGGACAAAACAAAGCCAGGCCAAAGACATTCTCTAACGCAAGAGAAAACAAACCATGTCCAAGTATTGTCAATATTTCATGTAAAGAAGAAAAACAACCATGTACTTATAACAATTGCCAGTATATACACGACTTCCGAGAATATTTAAAAATTAAAAAGGAAGATATAGGCAAAGAATGTCATGTATTCAAACTTAGAGGCAGGTGCCCTAGGGGAATTTCCTGTCGCTACGGATCTAGTCATATAACAGAAGAAGGTTACAATATTGTAGATGCGGAAAGAGAAAAGTTATGTGTGGAGGATACTAAAAACACAATCCAATCATCCTTACAAACTCATTTGCAAAAAAGAAAATATGATTTTTCTGCTTCTGAAAACCTGGTAAAGTCCTTTGATAAACAACGTAAGAGTAATAAGAGTGATTGCAATTTAGAAATAGATCATGCAGTGCCTAGCAATGAAAATATAAATAGTGGTGTTGTTACTGATGAAGATTTGGTCAAACTTTTACCAAGAGAAAAACGTAGTATTGACTGGTGTGATAAATTGTATTTAAGCCCTTTAACAACAGTAGGTAACCTTCCATTTCGAAGAATTTGTAAATCCTTTGGAGCTGATATAACATGTGGAGAGATGGCACTTTGTGAATCATTACTTAAGGGTGCAAAACAAGAATGGGCTCTGGTGAAAAGGCATGAATGTGAAGATATATTTGGGGCTCAAATATGTGGCAACAATCCCTTCACTATCACAAAGGTAGCTCAACTACTTCAAGATAATTCAGAACTAGATTTTATAGATCTCAACATGGGTTGTCCCATAGACTTGATATATAAAAAAGGAGGAGGTAGTGGTATGATGCATAGACTGCCAGCCCTAGAAACATCAGTCAGGTGTGCATCCCAAATCTTAGATATTCCCTTTACTGTTAAAATGAGAATAGGTGTGTATCAAGATAAAAGAATAGCTCACAACATTATGCCCCAAGTTAAGGAATGGGGTGCTTCACTTATTACTTTACATGGTCGATCTAAAGAAGCTAGATATACTAAACTAGCTGATTGGGAATACATTGAAAGCTGTGCTAAAGCAGTCAATCCACTACCTGTATATGGAAATGGTGATATATTAAGTTATGATGACTATAAAAGTAGACGCGCCATAGCACCATCGGTTCAAGGGGTTATGATAGGTAGAGGAGCACTTATAAAACCCTGGATATTTACTGAAATAAAGGAACAAAAACTTTGGGACATCAGTAGCAATGAGAGGTTTGAGATTATAAGGAAGTACACAAACTATGGCTTAGAACATTGGGGTTCTGATACCCAGGGTGTAGAAAATACAAGACGGTTCCTTTTAGAATGGTTATCCTTTTTGTACCGCTACGTGCCTGTAGGTCTCTTAGAAAGACCCCCTCAGAAGATTAATCAGAGACCACCAAATTACTTTGGACGAAATGACTTGGAAACATTAATGGCATCTGGTAACTGTTCAGACTGGATTAAGATTACAGAAATGCTATTAGGGCCTGTCCCAGATGATTTTATATTTTTGCCAAAGCATAAAGCTAACTCATACTAGGAAATGTTTGTTTTGTTTTAGACTATGTAATAAAAACATATACTTACCCAATAGTTTTGTTACACCCAAAGTAATATTTTCATAAAAGGAATCCTCTGATACCAAATCAACACAAAAGTTCATTATACAAATACAAAATTGATAACTTTGAATTATGTCAAACAAAAAGAGTTGCCATAGTGATATTAATAAGGAAAACTATTTGGTAATGACATCATGCCATATTACAATATTTAGTTTAGCCAATAGGTGTTAAAACAAAAAAAATATATAAAATCAATTTTATTGCAGAACTTACAAATAGTTTCTTATAATAAGTTAGGTCAAGATCAATAGCAACAATAAGATATTGTTGAGGACAATATGGTATAATTTCTATAGCATAGAATACACGCAATTATAATAATTAGATGCCAGAATATAGATCAACATCAAATCAAATGAAAGTTGGCCTATTGAGTATAAATTTGACTTATACATAGAGTATAAGAATAAAATGGTATGAAACTAAGTTGCACAAAACACTATGTTTGTTAAAATGCTATTCTAGATAATTGATTATAATATGAATTCTAACATTTACACTTGGAATGAAATTATATTATTCACTTCTCTCTTAAATTGTTTACTTTGTTCTTAACGCGTCCCACATTCAAAGATTTATCGCCTCCTTCGGCGCCGGGAGTCACCATTGTATCCATTTTCTGAAATAAAAAAAAACTATTCAAGGAACGAACTTTCTACTTTGAATACTGGTTATAACAATAAATGTTTTAAATATTTTTAATTGAATATTTGTTTTAGTACAAATATTCAATTAAAACTATTTTAGAAAAGTGTAAATTGTTTGTGTCGTTTGTGTAATATCCTTGGCTAGAAGAAGCTTATTTTAACATAGGGGCTGGGAGAATTATGCCCATTGTACCTGTTTAAAAACTGTATACAAGTGTGTTGTGTTACAATTGTATGTTAAAGTGTTCAACTTGCTATAGTAGGGTTAGAGGTGAGATTGCATTTGGTTTGAATGTAACAAACCTCTATCCTATTTTCACCGACGCTGTCGATTACCCTGGCGGTCATTATGGTGGTACCCCATGGAGCCATTGGCCAACGCACCGTTCTGTTCCGCGCCGTCCCCGTATGGCCTCCCGGGTCCTACACTCTGCTGTCCGTAATAACCCATACTATTGCTCTGATTATAACCAAAGTCGACGTTGTCCTGGCTCCTTTTATTTTTGGACCCATACGAACCGAACGCTGTAAAGTTAGCGCCCTGGGGTCCTACGAAATCGCCATTTTGGGGAACCGTGCGCGGCAAGAGGCTCCCATGGGGTACAGCGTGACCGCCAGAGTCCAGCCCGCATGAGCCGAGGCCACCCGAGCTGTATCCGCCCGAGCCGAGCCCGCCGCTCGAATTGTCTGAACCGAGACCGTCATGGCCATGGTCCCGATCTCGCCCTCCACGCCTGCGTCGGTCTCGACCGCCACGCGATCTACCGCCGCCGTCATCGGAGCCGAGTCCTCCGCCGGAGCCCAGACCACCGTCTGAACAGACACCACCGTAGCCCAGACCTTCGTTTGTGCCTAGCTCGCTCCTATAGCCTGAGCCCCCGCCGGAGCTCAGACCTCCGCCGCTATAATGACTCGAACCATCGAGTCCACCCGAGCGTCCTCTTTTTCTGGAATCTGAGTCTACACCGCCGTGATCCAAACCACTTTGTCCGTAACTTTGACTTTCAGGAGGGGGAGGAGGAGGTGGTGGCGGAGCGCCCCAAGACGACGTTTGCATGGGATTCTGCATGGGAGGCTGGGTAAAAGGGGGTGCAATCATCATATTGCCATATTGGTCTGGAAAGAAGGTAGGCATAACGAAATTTTGGCCGTTCATTTGAGGCACAGGCATACACATGTTCATTTGTGGATTCATATTCATCAGAGAAGGAATATCATTAGGCGGATGTGGAAAGTTATTTGAGTTGGGAGCAACAGTGTTGCTCATGTTAGAAGAGATAAGCTCATTACTCTTGCCTCTCGGGTCGTTACGAGAATTAGAGAGTAAAGCTTCTTTGGAAGGCAGTTTTTCTACATGGCCTGGGAGTTGAGGGCCTATAGGGGTGGGCAAAAGTGGCTTGGGTGTAGGCAGTAAGCCCTGCGTAGACGGATGGTTCACACGGGGAGCATCCTTGTGTGGGCTACACTTGCCTGAACGTGAACGGGATCTCGATCGGGAGCGGGAACGTGAACGGCTTCGCGATGATTTCGAGGAGCGACTTCTGGAAGATCTTGAGGAGCTGTGTCTGCGACGGCGGCGATCTCGTGAGCGCGAACGGGAGCGGGAACGGCGACGACGATCGCGGTCTCTTGACCTCGAACGTGAGCGGGAACGTCGGCCTCGACGATATCTTCCCCCACGGCCACGGTGACCTGTGTAATTTAATAAAGACCTTAAGTTAAATAATGTTCATCAGACCTTAAAAAAATAATTTAAAATACAAACATTTTTCCATTCATACACCAGAAACCGACCCGTTTTCCCTGTTTTCATACTTAGTTTTGTTACATATTTAAGAAAGTTAAATATGTAAGGCTATAGACTTTCCCCCTTGAATAAAGATAGGAGTAAAATTTATTCATTATTATATCTTCTGTGAGAGCAGCATCTTCAAACCTTGAGGATTAAGAATCCAGGTTATCATAGTAGAGAAAATATGATAAATTTACTTTCTAAATAGTTAGGTGTTAAGAGTCGACATAATATAATCCTCCTGAATTACAAGCTTAATAACTTACGTCGTCCACCACCGCTGCCTCGTTCTGCCAATTCTTGTAACTTCGGATTCACAACTTGTTTAGCTTCCTTCAAAACTGAAACCAAATCTGCAGCCTTGGCTGCATTTGAAGGTGTGAAGAACGTGTAAGCTGTTCCAGTTTTATTAGTTCGGCCCGTTCTTCCAATCCGATGAACGTAATCCTCAGAATTACTAGGATAGTCAAAATTAATGACAAACTTAACATCATCGACATCTGAAAGAAAGGAATCATTCATATTTACATTATAAATAAAATGTATTCATTTTGTTTTAAACTTTAAATAACATGAATACTATACACACCTAAACCTCTAGCCGCAACATCAGTAGCTACAAGTATAGGAGCTTTTCCACTGCGAAAGTCTGAAACATTTAATATATAGATGATAACAATATACTATATAAAGTTGCTCTGTACCTGTAGAAAAACAATACCCGTGTCCCAGATGATCTAAAGGTAAATAAATACAATCAATCAAATACATATATCGATTAATATTTTGTTATTAACACATTGTAAATAAATGCATAAAATTTTAGCTTACAAACCCAACTAATAAAATACAGTTTGTTAAGTCCTTATTGGATTTGTAGAACACCCATATAGATTAAATAAATCATTATAATAAACTACATGTGACATAATTATATGACAATAAAGAAAAAACTATATCATTAGGGTTTATTGAATGGGATGTGTCGTTTTGCTGTGTTATCTCAATGAACTTACTAATAAAAAAGTATCCAAACAGAAAATGGATAAAACAAGCAAGTGATAGTAAAGAGGCCGTCCGTTGCGCTTGAAGCGCAATGGGACGCGAACGGCGAGCGGTGAGGCCTCGGCTCGCTAAGCGCCACGCCAGGCACCGTCGCACCTCAGAGCGGCTCAGAGGGGCCGCGACGACGAGGCTGTGCTTAGCCTGTGCGTGGGCTTAGCCCGTCAACTAGCGACGGACGCGGCGACCTCGCCCGCGAGCCGCCGCCTCCGCGCCCGGACCCGGCCGCGGCGCCAGCCTGCACATGCAGACATGCTCTCAGTCACTGTTCACTATACGCTCTCCCGCCTTACAGCCGTCAATGGACATCGCGATTCAACTTATTGCAAATTCAACCCCCCCAAGTTGCTCAAATTCATAATTTTTTTTTGTGTTTGCACTAAAAGAACCCCGTATCTCTACCTGCCTAATATAGGAAATTTGTGTAGTAAAACATAAAATCTTCCATATAAAACATGTACATAATATTTTTTTTCTATATTATATTTTTTATGGATTTATTGTCAATAACTGAAGTTTAATCAGTGCTGCAAGTGCTAACATTGCAATAATTCTGGTATATCATTGATCTTTAAACAGATTCAGCTTTGCTTTACATATAAATTACATCCAAAGGTGCAATAAAAGAAACTTAATATTTGTCTTGTTTCAATATTAAAATACTGTTTGTTAAAACAAGAAATAATTTGAAAAATAACAACAGAAAATATGAGAATGTCGAAAATATTTTTCTTTATCTTACCTTGCAATACCCAATCTCTTTCATTCTGTGATTTATCTCCATGAATGCAAACCGCTGGCCACCTAAAATAAAGTTATTGTTCAATTAAATATAAATACTAAAGAAATACTTAAGATGTTACTACAATATAGTAAGTAGTTTTGCATACCCATCCCTTTTCATTTTTCTGGTTATATCATCCACTCTTCTCTTTGTCTCAATAAAAATAATTGTTTTGTTTTCTTTTTCAGCCATTATTTCTTTTAAAAGAGTACTCAGTTTTGTCTCTTTCTCATACTCCATGCAAACATCAATGATTTGTAAGATGTTATGATTTGCAGCCAACTGCAATGACCCAACATTGATTTGTAAGTAATCTTTTAAGAACTCGGAAGCCAGGGATTGCACTTCTCTCGGCCAAGTGGCAGACCACATAAGAGTTTGTCTATCAGGCCTAATCTGTTCAATTATTTTCCTGATTTGAGGTTCGAAACCCATATCCAACATCCTGTCAGCCTCATCCAGTACCAAATATGTACATCTCTTTAAATTGGTTCTTCCACTCTCCAAAAAGTCTAATAACCGACCAGGGGTAGCTATGACTATTTCCACTCCTGCATCTAGGTCTCTTGCTTGAGGACCCTTTGGTGCACCACCAAATAAACATGTGTTGTGAATTTTAGAAGTATTTGCAAATTTATCACAAACTTCTTGAATCTGTTGAGCTAATTCTCTTGTCGGAGCTAAAACTAAGGCAATAGGGCCATCTCCTCTGCTAGATTTTGGTTGATTATTAATGTGCACAATAGCTGGTAGGATGTAAGACAAAGTTTTACCAGATCCTGTTGATGCTATTCCCACCATATCGCAACCACTTAAGGCAATAGGCCAACCTTGGGCTTGAATTGGTGTCGGCTTAGAGAAACCCATCTTGTCAATTTCGTCCATTACATAATTGGGAAATCCAGCTTCATCAAACGTCATGGTCGGTTTGGGAATGTGTTTTCCCTTTAGTGTTATTTCATTTTCACTCCGCCATTGTTCCACCTCAGATTCAGCTCTCTTTTCAACATCAGGGTGGGGTACATAGAAGTCCTTCTTAAATGGCTTCAGCCTGCTTAAATCCCATTTAGGTTTACGTAGATTGGCGCCAGGATTATTCCGACGGCCTCCACCCCCATAGCCACCGCCGCCGCCACCGCCACCACCACCCGATCCTAATCCATAACGAGGACTTCGACTGCGACTTCTGCTTCTACTTCTGCTACGACTACGACGTCGATCACGACTACGATCACTAAAATTGTAAATTCAGTAATATTAATTACCCTTTGTAACGTCAAACTAAAAAGCCATTAATCTTTAATCAATGCAGTAAGGAGATGAGTTCATAAGGATTTCCTTTACTTACCGACCGCGCCCCATTATTGACAAAAACTACTTTAACTTAATTATAAATAATGTATGCTCTCGCAGTAGTCACTTTAACAAAAAATTGGCACTATATTTTGATAAGTTATAGTAAACGATAAAGGACGCCGCATGTAGGTAACAAAATGGCGGAACAACCGGCGCTAGTGTAGCCAAAAGAAAATAAATAAATAATGAAAAACGTAAGTCTGTGGCGTCGTAAGTTATTTTATCACCGTAGTGTGGAATATTCCTACATTAGAGTTTAGCCATGTCGTATGTGACGACAAATTTATTTTAATGTAGAGATATTTACCTAATATTATTATAATTTTTATAACATAAACTGAACAATAATATTTAAGGTCTTATGACTAAATTAGTGCTGTTTTATATTATATTTAACTTAAGCTTACATAGCCTTGTCAGTAGTAAATCTTAATAATGTATATATAAAAATTAAATGTACATAATTTACTATGATATGGCTAGTTAGATAATAATATTAAAAAAAAACTATAAATTAAAGTTTTGCGTTCAAAGGAACGCATGAACCCGGAATCCATTTTCTGTTGTTGTGACTGCTGACATTTTCGGAAAGATTTGTTCAGATTTTGTGAAAAGCGTAGATACGAGAACTTATTAAAGAATGGCTTATGAACATTAAAACTATATATATTTATTCACATATCAGGACGAAATACTGAATTCTTAAAAGTGATGTTTGGCAGCACAATTGAGTTATGAGAGCAATGTGTAGCGAAAAGTAGAAAAATTACAATGGGTTGAAGAAGCAATTGCGTTCGGCATTAAATTCTTCACTTTTCCCATACAGCTTACATTAATCACTTGTAGCATAGCCAACCTTTTTTTAAACATGGAGTTAGACGTATCGCCAGTTGAAAGTATGGATATGGAATACTCGGATAATTCGTCAGAAAATAAATACCTATCGTGCAACAATAATGAACAATACACCGTTATTCGGATTCCTCAGGATACCGAGAAATCTAGTAAACATTCCTCAAAAAAGCAATCAAAGCGGAGGAAAAAAAGCTCAAATCATTCTAGACCTTTACCCCGAATTATAGTTAAACCTTTACCTCCACCACCCTCTGAAACACGAGAATGGACAGCAGCAACATCATGTACAGAATCAGTTTCAACATCAAATAAGCCATCGACTATGAGGGAGGTGCTAGCTAGCATACCAGGTTTTTGCCTTAAACCTAGGAAAAGAAGTGGTAAAAAATTATCAACAGCTGCTCAATTGCAGCAAACTAGAGAGGGATGCATTGATCTAGAAACGCCAGACTCAATACTTGTAAATACTAATATTAGAGCATTGTTAAATAAACACACTTTTTCATTGCTACCCCCATTATATCAATGCAAACTTGGACAATTGCTACCTAGTGTAGATAGAATAAGTACCTCAGGTCGTTTAAGTTCATCTAGTCTCAATAATGAATTTTTCGCCCGGGCCTGTCTGGAATGGCAGGAGAGCCTTTCAGGAGGGGAATTTACACCAGAAAACCAACAAAAAATGAAGACTGAAGCTGAAAAGGAGAAAACAAAAATTGATCCGTGGAAATTAAAGCATTTTGAACCGTTTTGGGGAGAAAAATCACGGAGGGACAAATCATCAGTTAGTGTGAATTCTGAGAGACCTTCTCTTAAGACAACAATAAAATTAAGGCCTACTGCTTCGATAACAAGTAGCAGTACAGTTCCTAAAGTAAAGAAAAGTAAATCTTCTAGTAATAGTAAGAGAATGCGTTCAGTAGGAGCTGTGACACGTTCATCAGCAAAAGCAGAGGAGGAAGAGTGCACTATGCCAGTTAGCAAATCTGTGGCACCTGTACCTGGTTTATTGCCCTTAAAATCTACCAAAGGTCACCAAGGCTATGTTGAATGCCAAATGGACTTCAATTTTTCAGATTCATCTGTGGCTAGAACTGAGGATAACATATCTACACCAATTGATCCACTCCTTATACCTGATAGTGATACTGGCAGTGAGTTAAAACAGGACTTAGATATGAGTGTTGTCAAAATAGAGGAGACATCTAAAGACTTTGAGGAGAAGTGTGTGGAGTCAGATTTGCTAGGCACAAAATTGATATGTAGTGATGATGATGAATACCAATATTCAAAGACATTTGAAAATCAAGCTTTTAATAAGAAATTTAGCAATACAAAAGATTCAGAAGAGTGCGAAAGCATTAAACGAATTAGTGATGAGTATGATGACTACTCTTTTTCAAAGAAGCTAAAGTTAAGCAATCAAGCAAATGCATTTCTCAAAAATAGTATTAAGCCAGCTAGTAACAACAGTTCTGATATTGAAACCCATGATAATGCTGAACCATGTATTAATTATGACAATGCTTACCCTGACCAAGAACTTGGAGATACAAATAGTGAAGACAGTAAAGCAACCATCTCGGCCTATGAATATGATGAGCAAAGTGTATCATCTATGTCTAGCTTGAAAATAGATAGTATGAATACTGCTACAATGAATGTTATAGGCAGTCAAAAACTCTGCCCTGATGATTATTCAGCAGAACATGATCAGGAAGCAAATCAAATTGTGGAAAAACATGATTATAATGAAATAATTGATATAAATAATGACAATGTTCAAACTGAAGTTGATAAAAAACTACCGGATTTTAATCAAGTAGTGGATTGTGCACAAGTAGTAAATACGGATACTTCTATAGCAGATAAGGTGTTATATGAAAACATAGAGCTAATACACGATAACAAAGGTCCTCCACAAGAGACTGTGGAGATTTCCAATGTAAATGTCGAAGGAGCAGGCAGAAAAACACCTGAAAAATGTAAAGATTTACAAGACACACCAAATTATTATGATGAACATTTTAAAGATGCTGAGTCCTTCATTCTTGAGACTGGAGGTTTACCCATTATAACATCACGTAAGTAATAAAATTAAAAAGATATAATGATCATAATTCTGGATTCATACTATTCTATAATATATATCTTTTTTAAATTTCTTAGTATTTTTTATCTTTCAGAACAAATAAAGAATGATATTTCATATTTTTATTTTCCATATTTCAGAAAGCGAAGACGTTAAGTTTACATCTCAACCAAATTTTATGGAATTGACATCATACATGAGTGAATCAAGTAAGTATTATTATTTACATACATTAATGTAGGTAATTTTTTATGTCAAACTAAATGTAGGTAGGTGACAAACTAATGTTGACAATTATAGTTACATTTGCAACAAACTATTAGTTTTAAAGTAATTAAGTTTTCGTTTTCATGGAGAAGTATTAGATAATATTTTTCTGAATTGTGGTAGCCATTTAAAAGAATTATTATGTATAAATGGTTTCTCTTTTTATAGATGTCACTGCTATTGTGACAATGCCCATCACTCAGACAACATCTTTACCAATGATGGAAGTAACAAACACATCTGTAAGTATTGCTGTACTCATAAAAATTTAAGCTTTATTTAATAAGACACAGTAACAAACATATTTTATATTAAAAAATTAGTAAACAATCTTTCGAGTGTATTTATAAATTAAAATACTAAACAATAGCATGAAATTTTTATGGCAAATTGTTATTACAGATTGTATCATATCCTGACGACATGCAAGACCCCGCAAAACCCAAAAACTCAGCAATAATATGGAAAACTGAGAATGAATGGGTGAATAATGAAAATATAATTACCCTTCACAATTTCACCAACATGAATACAGATGCCACCAAATATGTTAGTGAAGATTCCAAAACTAGTATTGAAGATGTGAATATAAATGATGAAAATTGTATGTATAAAGAGGAAAGGGATGCAAACTTTAATATGGAGTCTTCAAATTCATCAGAGAGTTGTCAATCTATGAAGGAGACAGTTTTAAAACAGGAAATTGAAGCAACACCTAGCTTAGTATCAAGCACAACTGTTGCTAATCCACCTGTAAATTCTACAACTGTAACACATTCTGTAAGGTCCAGTGGAAAGAAATCAAAGCTAGGAAAGGAGTCGAACAGGTTAGTTTTATATTAAATAAAATCGATTATACCATATGACACAGTAGAGTAATTGGTTGGAGGCCAGTTCAAGTCGCCCGTGTCATAACGTTTCTTCAATCTATAATTGATGTATGTTTAAAATAGTATTTTAAAAAACCTCAAATAGTTTCGAGGTTGTTAAAAAATATTTGGATCTAAGCAGACTCACTTTCATTCACCACTATTTGATTTTATTTGATTAGTATAGCATATTTTACACTCGCTAGGCAAAATCTTTTATTATGAAAGTTTGCAATACCGCAAATATATAGAGTTGCTCAGTATAATTAATTTGAATTTTTATAGTCCTAAGTTTGGCACATTAGAATATTTAATCCTCCTATGCACCAAGTGGTTCAGCCGAATGTGGTTAATTGTCAGGTCAAAAGTCACAACAGGCAAATAACTTTATTTATTGTTTATATTATATTTTATTAATTAATAAAGTGTCTATTTATAAGTATTTAAATGTAATATTTAAGGATAAACTTCCTTCTGTTAACGTATTGCCCTAAATGAGCATTAAACAAATTATTTGTAACTGTTCAAGGAGTCGCAGCTCAAATAAGGTTCCACCTGGTGCAGTGAACCTTGAGCGAAGCTACCAGATTTGTCAAGCAGTGATCCAGAATAGTCCAAACCGCGATGCTCTAAGGAGTCAGCTACGGCCACCACCAGCTCTACTAACTAGACCAAATCGACAGCCGCGACCCCCTCCGCCAGTACTCGTAAGACAAGTCTCCAGTGCAGTCATACAGCATAACGAGGTATTAAAGTAAATTTTTACGTTAACACTTAAAAAAATGTGCCCAAAATAATGGTAATCATTATAAATAAAAAAGGAAAGGCTTCTTTTTTAAATGAAATACAACAAAATGCTTAAAATATATATGTAAGATAAGCAATTATATATTTACAACCTTTTAGACAGAATACCTTAAGAAATAGTAAGAACACGCAAGAATAAGCTATTTGATTAATTTTAATTATATATATTAAATTTACCTCAATGATGAATTTGGTAGATGTCAAGTAACCTCAGAGAAATAGTATTTTTCTTCAATTTTGAAACATATTTGCTAAACGCAAATTTTGCGAAATAACACTGCAACGCTGCTGGTAAGGTAGGTATAATGGCCATTGGTGTTTGCCGATCATATTATCTACAATCTACTTGCATTTGTACCAAACATTAACATTTTACCAGTGATTGAAGGAATAATATGAGAGATAACATTTTTTTTATTTATTGAATGGAGAGAATAGAACTGTTTTTACAGTAGGAAGCGTGGTCTACAGCGCTGCTTATAAGCAAGTGACGTCAGATAGCCGACCAACCAGGAGTCTTTTTTGTCACGTGACAAATCTTTACTAATTCATTGTCATGACGTAAAATATAATAATTGTATCCTAATTTTTCAGATTAATGAAAACAGGTCAAACAATATGGGTCAATACATCCTTGTGCAAAGAACACCGAATGTTGCACCCAGAGCGTCTAGTGCACCGCCAACTAACCCAAACAGCAATGTTGTATGTATCTGTAAGATTATATTTTTTATGTATAAGTCACTACAGGTCACCTGTGAATTTCGCTGTCAATTTTTATAGCAATTTGTTATTTAACTGTATAGTTACTACATAGTATACTTTTAACTGTATAAAACGCAAAATAAATTAGGTACACTTATGTACAATTTATGTTAACTACGGCCCGACGTTTTGGAGGCTTCGTAACAGGCGTGGTCACGGAGTAACTAATATATTTCACATTTTAAACCGTTACATTTTTGACAATATATCATTGAAAGTGTCAGTTAGTAACATTAGACTCAGTAACATTAGGAACGTTTTGCGGAAAATTCAAAATAAGAAAATATATTATAGTTATTTTAAATTTCAGAACGTAACCAGATGCAGAAGCGTAGGCGCAGAGGAGTCATGCGTTTGCAATTTGCGAGCGATGATCTTATGCAAGAAGTGCGGTGCATTTTGTCACGACGATTGTATCGGTTCGGCAGAACTGTGCCTTACCTGTCTGATTCGTTGACCGGGACGTGTGACAAGTATTTTTACGAAACATTATCCAGAACTGGCTACACTATTCGTGTGAAGTGTCAAGAGTGTCTATTTATCGCAGTGAATCGCATACTTAGTGAAAGTTCTCTAGATAGGTAACATTGCCATAAGCCCATAAGGTATTATATTTAATGGACATTAATTAACGTGAAATTTTCTGGCATAGTAATTTCCCAATTTTCAAAGACTGCAAATATGTCAAATATGATTTGGGTTGGACTGACTACCACTATACTATTGGGGAGTTACGTAGTTAAAACTGTAAAGCCAAATGGAATGTGGTTGTATGAATGGTGGTGCTAATGATTAAGACATGTCGTGTTATCTGTATTTTCGTTTAAGCAAACCACAGATTACATGCACGCGGACTGTACTGTCTCTGAGACAGATTTAATGTATATAGTCTATGGTCTAGTATAGGTATGTGCGGTGATTATTATTTGTATTCAATAGAGAATCGGGCTATAGAATGTTGGAAAAGTAGGTGCGATAGAAAGATATATTTATACAGTAACTTGTACCTATGTTTAGCAATAGTAAGCTTACAAGCCCAAATGATTTCATATACAAAATATTACAAGTAAGTGATATGATTAAAAATATACTGGAAATGTTTATACAAGTGCACAACGTTTTGTAGTAATAATATACTTTATATATGATCCCATTGCTATACAGAAACATATAGAAGATATATACAAAACATATGATTCTGAAGTTTTAAATGCACCTAATATTAGCTATGTTAAGGTTTATATTGAAGGTTTAGTGTAAGTCAGTTTTAATTTTGCCATTATTTAAATATAATTTAAGTATCACATTTTCATTAAGCCGTTTCTACTGATACAAGAATTAAGTAGTATTATTGATAATCGTTTTGGTTTATTTTCTTTTTTATCTTCTCATAAGCGTATGTACAGATATTTATTGTCATGAGAAGGCTGAGAAGTGTCACATCGGATTTATTTATAAGCTGTCGCATAGACTTAAGTCAGTTTTATTATAATCAGAAACTAAAAATACTTGATAAATGCCTGGCTCTGTATATATTAATTCTGTTCAACTTGCTGTTCATTGCTCACAGTCTTGATTAAAAATATAATGCAATGTGTGTATATTTTTGTCAACTAAGTCTATTTTCTTAGCTTTATATAGCTTTACCGGGATGACAACACTTTATTGTAAAAAGTTTGAAATGCCATGCTTAAGTGGTTTGTTGTATTATGACCATGAGTAAACTGTTGTGGAAATTGTATAATGTAAGCAATGATGCTGGCAGGGTGACATTCGAACATCTACTGCAGTGGAATCGTAAAAAGCTTACGTAAATGAGTCGCTTGGTTTGTTAAAATCACAGATACAATATATCAATCATTTGTTTTTCTAAAGTTTGTATATTTCATAATTTTGCAACGTACATTTGTGAAGCCGTATTTAGTAAGATAAAATATTTCTACAAAAACAATTTCATTCAGTATTTAAATTTAATACAATAACGTAATACTATGTACAAAATTTGCAACTGTTATTTATTGGTAATTAGTTATTTTTAGCGTACGAACTCTTCTCTCATTAAAAATTATGTTCTTTACTAAAATTGCGTTTTATTTTTTAAAACATCTCCGATAAGGATAAAAAAATGTGCTAATTTCTAACGTAAAACATCATTTCATTTGGTGCTTCCGCAAATGACGCGAGATAAATATAAATGTATATAGTACATTTTATTTCTGTGAATCTATTCAGAGCTCTAATATAGTCTGTAAATTAAAAAATATTATTCCTCGCTTGTTGCGCTATATCAATAGTCAAACACGGACCAATCCAAAAGCAAAATAGAATTATTTCACCTTGAATTCTCTCCAGTGATTGGCCACCTTTGAATTTTCAAAGGTGTTCTAGAATCTTAGGGATTATTCAAAATTTGACATTTTATGCGGATTGATTTTGACAACTGACAGTAGTCGATTGTGATTGTTGTGGAAGGAAGGGTGTATCGTTGTTTACAATCTTGCCGAAAATATATAATTACCAAAATTAAAATAAAAACATTAATTTATTATGTAGACATCCTACTGAAAAGATCAGACCGACCCAACAATGTCGACAGTTCTATTGGCCGTTATTGCAGTGATACTATGTATACTTTTCCGAATCTTAAACGTGAACAGCCAACCTCACAAGCCTCTTATATATGGACGAGATAAAAATTTCATTGAAAATATTCTTTTTATTGCTCCCTTTCTGACTGAGCCGTAAGTATTATTTTGCGCTGTTATTAATCTAACGTAGCGTGTTTAGATATTTATTTGTGCCTTCTTTAATTCTAGAAAATGCGCACTGATGAGCAAATAGTAACGTTTCATTTTTATTTGTAATAATTTGCCCTACTTAAAGACACTAACGTAGATTCATAACGTATTCATCAATTTATTTCTCAGTAAAATTAACGTCATTATTTTATTCAACCCCTATTTGTAAACAGTGGTAAAAAATATAAGATACGATTATAATACGATACGAAAGAATTTTCTTTTTAAAGTTCGCTTGAGATATATCTCTATTTATTTAAACAGCTAATACTCAGAAGCAGTTTATAGGTTATTATACTATTGCATCATTAGCAAAACATATTAAAAAAAAATGTTTCTTTTTTTTTATTTTATGTAAAACCTTAATTCTTCTATGTTTTAGGATTTAGATTAGATTTCCTCAATAATTAAAATGTAATTGCCTGTACTGTATGTACTCCCTTAAAATTAGGTTTATAAGTTTGCTTTAAAAAATTTATTTTTTGTTAAATTATTTAATTTAATAAAACATATTATTTGAGTTCATTCTTTATATTGTTGTAGTTATATACCGACACGGTTATGGGGATTCAGTGGGCATGTACAGACAATTCTGCACAGTCTAATTGGTCGCGTCCGTTGTCCCTGGCCGATTGGAGCACGAATCTCCTTAGTCCTACCTGATCGTTCTACTCTCACCTATGATCTGTATGAACCTGTTGGAGCTGAACATGAAGGTAATTTCAATACATTTATTACCGTACAGATTACTTACTATATGCATAGACTAGTAAAGCATTGTGTAGCAAATTAGAAAAAGTATTTTGTAAGTAAACGTTAAAACATAAATACCCATGTAGAGAAGTGTCATACTGCATAAAAGTGATTTCAGAACTATGCTGAACAAAAGCACTTTTAGGAATAAAAGGGTGTTTATGTGATATTTTTTAATGTCAGCTACATTGAATAAAATTTTTTTAGAATAGACTACAAGACCTATATTTATAATAGTATTTCAGTAGTCGAAATGATATACTTACGTTTAAGAGCTATAAAAGATTTATATTATTGTATTAAAGTTGCAAATTTACGATTTTTTATTTCTGATATACAGAAATGTAACACTATTGTAGATAAATGTATATATACTAGAATCAATTATCCTTTATAGTTACAAAATCAGTCAAATCCCAACTTAAGTTATCCAATGATAGATCAGTTAGTGGGTTTCCTTTTATCTTTAGATTAGAATGGATAGATTAAAAAAAGAAGAGATTAGAAATATAGTAAACTAGCTGTGCCCGCGACTTCGTCCGCGTTGAATAGTGACTTGGGGTAGAATTTTTAATTATTTAGGCTGTCTATTAAGTTATGTAAGGGCGCATTTAAGGCAATCTATTCAAACAATTTCCATTTCATACAAACCTTACAATACCTATCAACGCTTTTTTGGCATTAAAAAGTAGTCTTTCCTTTCTCAGGCTCTAATATATCTGTGTACCAAATTTCATTTAAATCAGTTCCGTAGTTTCGGAGTTACAGCCGGACAGACAGACAGAGTTACTTTCTCATTTATAATATTAGTATAGATAGGAAGTAACGAAGAACATTATCTACTATGTACCATAATCTTTTATTAGTATAATATGAGTTTATTTAATAGTTTTCGATAAGAGTGCTGGGCTTCTGTAATGAAAAGCCTGTATAAAACCCACCACGCCGCTTTACTGCGGTTTCGGCGCTTTATTTATTGCGAGCTCTTTGAGGCAGGGGTAAATGATACTACATCCGAGCTTTGGGGTGGTACAAAGAGTCCTTAGGATAACTCTAAATGCTTAAGTTACATTTGGTTCGACCTAGGATTCGTAGCCTGTACTTACTGAACCATGAACAATTTGATTGGGGGGAGGCCGGAATTAAATTAAATGCGAGAAATTAATGATTTTAAAGGGCTCGTTGGTCTAATGATCAATGGGTCGTGGGTTCGAACCCCATCAGGCCCAACATGTTTCTATATCATCCTGTACTTCGTCTGGAAACCTGGATATTTAATGGGCAGTTGGAATATAGAAATTCAGTGAATAAGCCGTGAAGCTATCCGAATATCCAAAGCCAAAATAGGGCGACAGCGCATCTTGTTTGGATGCTATAGGCTAGGGTATATCACCTACCATTAAGTAAACCCCATGCCATATCTGTCCTCCTCTATCATAAAAAAATACTATTTGAATCAGTTATTTTGAGAAACATTTACCTCCTCTTTACATTTTAAATGATGTAACGATAACAATAATTGGTGATACAATATCTGAGACCGGACTGATTGATTTAGCAACGTGAATTCAAAGTCTAAGTAGATCTAAATGTTTGTAATTGAGAGATACATCGCTTACAGTGGAATATTTTGTTGTTGATAAACAAGCGACGTTTATGCTTCTTCTTCCGGTTTTGAACCTTTTCCTCTTGCGCTAAAAATGTTTACAAGAATCGTGGAAACGTATGTTACCAAACTTTAATTGCGTGGAAAATATAATAGACTCGTGTTCCGATGTTTTTTTGTAAAAGCATATATAACTATATGCTTTTACAAAAAAAGGAATTTTAAGCGAGGACAGTTCTGTATAGAAAGTTGACTTGAAACTAACCAAGGTGGTGTTTCGTAATCTGAAACGATAGTCTTGTACTGCACTCTACGTAGTTTCAAATAAAGTAGAATTTCGAACGATTTAAATTACATAAATATAATTTCTTCGTTTCTTTGCCCTTTCTGGATAATGTAGTGAGGCTTAGACGTGACTTATCTCTTGAATTATTTTAATTATTGTTACAAGAATATTCTTTTAGCAATCATTTAAAAATTGCATATACTTCAAAAATATAGATCAAAGGATGTTTGTTACTCTATAACGCTTAATTAAATATAAACCTTTTAATTTCCTTTTTATTAGAGACGTTGTAGATACGTTAGCTTATTGACTAGAACAGTAGCACGGATCGCTGTAATGCCGGTTCAAGTCACACTCGCGTTACCTCGATAAAAAAATTGGTAGCATTATATAAATAGAAAAATGAAGGACTGTCGATGCAGTCACAACAATTAAAAATAGTTATTAAGGGTTGCCGTCCTCTCAGTACGAAAATACTTTTGTGGTTTTCTTTTAACCTACCTATAATCTATATAGATTTTTCATGACCTTTTTTTACAGTTATTAGCCACAGATTATATGAGGCCGGAATAAAGCGCAGGTAGCCAGTGCAAACTATGTTATTCCGCTTTGAATGAATGTAAAAACAGTCAATATTGACTCTAATGATGCACACTCAGTACTCGAGAGCCGACAGCGCATCGTAGGCATATCACATAAGTAATAATGTCAATTGACTCTCACATTTCTCGATTACACTCAGATATGCTACTAATATATAGTCGCGAAAGTTTCATAGAGTTTTGCTTACTCTGTCACGTTTAAAGGGCTTGGCCAATTTTGATTAAGTTTGGAATCAATGTAGGCTAATAATCTAGAATAATACACAGACTACTTTTATCATACAAAAAATCCGTTTACTATAGTAAAATCCCGTTATCCCGCGTGGGACATGGGACGAACACATTTCTGTGGAAGTTTCAATGAACGTCTGTGTTCAAAGGCAAGTAGTTGATCAGACTTCTGTGCCTTGCCGAAAAAAATTATAGTTTCCTCAGGATTTGAACCAATATATAATGTGGTTAAACCCACAGCTACAGAGTTATATACTACAGAGGCATCTAGCGACCAAAATTGTAATCATCGTTTTTTTTTTATTTATAGATGACGTTACAGTTGCTATCTGTCCCGGTATCGGCAACACATCGGAGAGTGTTTATATCAGAACCTATGTGCATTACTCGCAGCGCCATGGGTACAGGTGTGCCGTACTCAACCACATCGGAGCCTTGAACAGCGTACCTGTTACGGGAGCAAGAATATTCTCTTACGGTAAGAACTTTTCGGAAGATGGTCTCTTGCGCTAGTGAGACCGCACTCTTAAAAGTAAATGAATTTGCCAACCCGTACTTAGCTAGCCGTTGTTTAGATAAAACCCATACCCAGTTGTGGGAACTATGTACACCGTATACGATGTAATGAGAAACGTTATTTCAAATTAAACGGTCGTCCCGACGTTTCGCTCCCGTGACCACGATTCTCACAAATCATTCGTAACTTCAGGCCGAAGTTAGTATGATTTCGCGTTTTAAACCGTTAAAAGTGTGTTTAAATTTGAGAGGGATACTCAACATATTTTATTTGTTTTTATTATTAAACTTGCAGCTGATACAAATCCTCAAACAGCGCAACACACAATCATATTAATGAAAAGTAATCAACTAGAATCATTAATCGCTTTCGACGCTGATGATATGTTCAGCTATCGAATCGGTTATATGATGTCATCCGGTGTTCTCATAAGTATGACGCGCATGATTCACCGCTCCAAGATTTATGCTCTATGATTTGTATATCTACCCAAATGTGTATGGGATTGTGTAATTTTTAAGCAGTTCAATGTCAAGGTTTTTTTTTTATAGAAGTGGACAGAGACGCGATGTTTATTTGATAGAAATGAAATACCCCACCCATATTTACAACACTGAAACAAGATACGTTGTCGTTGTATTTTAGTTTGGGTCAAATTGTCTTGTTCTTAGTTTGCCTTCAATAAGACTAATTTTAACAATTTAATTGACGTATTTCTTTATTATTTTGTTTTGTCAACTTCTATGCATGATAGAGAACAGACAAGAATGCAAATTATTGCTCTTTAAATGGTACGAAAGTCCCCGACAATATTTATCTATCTTTTTAAGATTACTGCCCAAGAACGACGGGACGCGGACGACGTTGTGGGTAACAACAATAATTTGTAAAGGGGGTTGTTTGCTTATATATAACTTTCACGCGGACGAAGTCACAGGCATAGATAGTCTAAGATAAACTTGATAGTTGGAATAGTATCTACATGCTTTTATAGCAAAAGTATACTACACCAAGCGATGAAAGATAGAAAAATATAGATTAGGATTAGTCCTTTCAGATCTAGAACCTAACGACCTCCCATTATAAGGGCAAGTTAGTTCTGTAAGGTTATAAGGTCCCTTTTTAGGTGAATTTGGGAATGTAACTTCCAAGGTTCGTGTTAATTGCGCACGCGCACAAAACACATCAGATATTATCAAGCTTTCTTTTGTTTTTAATTAGATCAGGTAATGTTTCGTATTCTAACTGTACGCGAACGCTTTCACTAGACATGTCAGAATTAAATGAAAAGTGTGCAAGCAAATCCGCATTGCACGATAGGTGGTAGTTGGTTTACTGTTATCTGTGGGTACTATACACGTCAGATATTGAAGTGGATGTGTACTTAAAAATCTTTATTTCAGATGTTCAGCTACCAAGGTTAAATTTGTAAGGTACAGTTATAGTTTGTCTTCGAGTCGTTTGTGTGTGGAACTATTTTGTTGTACATTATAATAGAAGGCCATTACAAAACTTTATAACTTTTTTGCTAGTGCGTCTAGAACATTCGTCAAATGTCTATAGGAAAAAGATGTAGCTAAATCTCTATACATGTTTAATATTGAAATAAAACACTTTAAAGGTTTCACACTAACCGGGACTGTACTTTCGTGACCACGACTGAAAAACACTTTAAACATCGGGATATAGTTAAAATAAACTGCAAATAAGTTAACTAATAAATTTTTATTTAAAAGTTTACGACTCGGATAGGACTTGAATCGACATCCATAGCGGTTCGTGCTGTTGCTCTAACCAACTGCGCTACCGAGTCCTGGACGTCATCGTCGAACTTTTTCAACCTCTTAATACGTGCCTGTCGCGCAATATTTTGCGTTTTAAACAGTTTAAAATCTTTTATTTAAATTTGTACGACTCGCTTAAAATATAGAAAATGTTTTTTAAATATAGAAAAACTTGAGTTAGCTATACGCGCATATACATTTCATTTATTTCGTAATTCTAAACTTGGGAATACATATGCACCTTGGTTACATAAATTGTTACTACACCAACCCACTAATTTATGAAAAACAGATATCGAATAGGTCTCGTCATGTCTCACTTGTTATCTCCAAGGCCAACGCTCGTTTGATTGTTCGGAATCAGAATAATTGAGAACGTTTGCGAATTACTTGAACATTAACTGGCGTGCATAATTCCTGAGTCACAACGGAAGCTAGAAATATTAGGCAACGTCCTTAAGATTGCAGTAAGCAGGAGATACAAATGTTTACTTGGACAAACTAATTGAGTTTTATCATAGAGGAGTACAGACAAGCACGGGTTCACTTAATGGTAGGTAAACCGCAGCCGTGAAACATCTAAACGACGTCGACCTATTTTGGCTTCGGATATTCGGAAATCCGAAGACTGTAACCAAAACGCGATTAAACTTGATGGCTTTCGGTCTGTGGACCGTGGTGCATGACCCGGACGGAATTTCGATATTCCTACAATAAATATATATCATTTATTACCATGATTTCCAGATTTAGTCCAGGATGTTTGGCAAAAAAACATTAATTAATAAGTAACACGTTGGTCCAGGTGGAGGTCGAACCTACGACCTGTTGATTATTAGCCATACATTGCTACCGTTACACCAACGATCCCGCATATAGAAACAAGTCATGGAAACATGGATGAGATACTTGAAACATCCTTACTAATATTATAAATGCGAAAGTGACTCTGTCTGTCTGTTACTCTTTCACGCCAAAACTACAGAACGGATTTGAATGAAATTTGGTACACAGATGGTCTAGACCCTGAGAAAGAACATGAAAGTTTGTACGGAAATTCGTTGTTTTTGAAGCTAGAACATTAAAACTTTCTTCTTTGGCTTTTTGGGAATGGGAGTGGGAGTTAGGGTAGTAGTGATGTGAGGTGAGAGTGTTGCGGCAAAGTAGATCACTTACAACATAGATTGGCTGCAATAAATGCGCAATTACAAAAATTAATAAACAACCTAAATAATTAAAAATTCTACCCCAAGTCACTATTCCTCGTGAACGAAGTCGCGGGCACAGCTAGTTATCTATATAAATTCAAAATCTACGTAGCTTAATTGCAGCACAATCATTTGCGTTTGAGTCATGCCCGTGTCACCTTTTTTAAAGTCTTGAATATGGTATATATTTTAAAACATGAATTTGCTATTTATTTATATTATATTTAAGTTCTATTTGTCGGTGATAAAAAAAACGTCTTACTTTGTCTGTTACTGTTAGTATGCTTATCTTAAAATCTCACGAGAATATAGTAACTAAAAGATGTCACCTAGTGTTGGCTTTGATTATAATTATTTCAAGGTCTACAGTAATACAGTAATTAGTTAGATGATAAGTAATGTTAAAAGTATATACTGTAGTATTTGTTCTCTATAATATCTATATATGAAAGAATGATTCCTCTTTAAACGACCTAAAAAATGATTACAACAGTAGATGTCTATCTTTTTTTACTTGCAATAACGTCAGGACGCGAACGACGTCGAGGGTAACAGCTAGTGTAGACTATAGGTATCTATGTAACAAGGAATATCCAAACATGAACGTATTACGTTACCAATAGTTACACGTGTCTGTGACATATATAACGCTAACATATAAAGGTACATAGTTAAGTAAGAATCAGCGAATATCTAGAATCTATACGTGGTTTTGATTCACATTAGAAATAATGACATGTTTGTTCTATGTGCTATATTTACTAATAACTAGCTGCGCCAGCGACTTCGTCCGCGAGACCCGTTAATTTGGGCCTCCAAATGAGTTTTTGCAAACCCCGTCATCTTTATAAACTTAAGCTGTTAGCCACGACGTCGTTCGCGTCCCTTCCCGTCGTTCTTGCAAGTTAATCTTAAAAGATAGACATATAGCGTAGGAATCATTCTTTCTTACACATTCTAGGTATCTTGACCGATTTCGCAGCGTACGCATCGGAAATCAGAGATGAAAAATTTCCCACGTTTTGTTCACATTTCCCGCTGTATCTTCGCTTCTATTAGTCTCAGCGTAATGTTTTATGGCCTATAGCCTTCCTCGATAAATAATCTAACCAACGCGACATTTTTCAATTCAAACCCGTAGTTCCTGAGATTAGCGCGTTCAAACAAACAAACTCTTCACCTTTATATATTAGTATAGATTAGCAATTCATCTGTATTTTCTTCAATGAAGGAGCGTTTCTTAGGGAAGCCTGACTGGCTCGTCAGTCTAATTTTAGCAATGTATGGCTAATAATCAATTGGTAGGGGGTTCGATCCCATCAGTTCATGTGTCTAATCAATTTATAATTTTTGGGAAACCACGTGGACTTCATCTGGTAATCTGGATATTAATCTGGGTAAAACCGTGGCCTTTAATCACGTCTCGGTTTGTAGGGAATCTTGTAGATATAGATGTTACACAGCTAGGATAATTCCCTAGAATTAAAGCTAAAAATCTGTGAATGTCATGTCTGGCGTGTCATCGAACCTGAGCGTTTCGGAGGTTGCTCGGAATTGACAGTCGCAAAGAGAAGCAGTAATTATCGTAAATATAATATGTAATGTTATAACATATTTGTTCCAGGTCACACAGACGACTTCAACTACATGGTGGAGAATCTCATGGAGCGATATCCTAACACGAAGTTGGTTCTGGTGGGGTTCAGCCTCGGCGGTAATTTGATAACCAAGTACTTGGGCGAGGAGAGGAAGAGGCCGAAGAATATTATCGGCGGGATCTCTATATGCCAGGGATATAACGCTATTGAGTGAGTACCTTTATAGATATTAACAAAAAAAACTTAACGGTTTAAAACGAGAAATTTACTAAACTTATTTACATTATATTTTATCCAGGGCCCGACGTTTCGGATGCTTTACAGCCTTGACCATGGCTTGAAAGTTATAAATGTTTTTATTTAAACCTTTGATGTAACGTGCGGACTATGAAGTATAGCGTGATAAAGAAACTTCTAGATTTATTTTACAAAATAATACTTGTATAGATAATCTAATCTAATATAAAGATTGATTTTATGTTTATACATTTCTAATAGGTCTATAAAGGGGATAAAACGAACCAATATAATTTTGTATATCGGTAACCATATTTTGATGGCGTTCAATTTTTATTATATAAAAAATACTATTCCTTGGCCAGTTACTAAAAACCTTTTTAGAGTACGTATTTAACGTATAAAGTCAAGTTCAACCGCGTTTCGGTTTCAGTCCGTGATATTCCAAATATCTAAAGCCGAAATAGGTCGACAGCGCAACTTGTAAAGATGTTATTTGGCTGGGGTATTTCATTTCACCTACCGTCAAGTCAAGAGCATGCTTGTCGGTCCTCCTATATCATAAAAAAATCCTGACTGTGGCCGGATTTATTTCTCTTGCACTTCTTTATAGCTACAGAATTCTTGAGATTTACTTGAAATAATTTACAACCTTAATTCACATTTGATTCGAATGCAGACTTTCTTACGTAATATTAATCGTATACTACAACTTGATAAGTTAAAAAATAACCAATCCGAATAACTATAAGTGGATTACCTCGGTATAAGAACCTTTGGTTTTAAAAATGTCTTTTTATCGAAGGTTGCAGGTTGACAACTGCAGAGCGTTTTATGTTGATTAAGAAAAGTCATTTAATTTAAAAGTTGTTGCCATACTTGATAATTAACGCTGGTAATTAACAAGTATGGGAGTTTAGAACTTTTTAAATGCACTTGTGTACGCGATAGTACCTGATATATATAAATATAGGTAAGCTTATTAGGCGTCTCTGTAAAAAACATTTAACAATATAAATATACTTTGGTTAACATGTGTTACAATTATTAAAAAGAAAATATAAATTTTTTAAATACTTGAAAAATATACTTTTATGTCAAAGGAGGACAGGCAAGCCTGGGGTTTATTGATGAAAGGTGAATACCAGCTGTATAACATATCAACAAGATCTATTTTGGCTGTGACACTTAAATTTTAACACTCGTTTTTATGTAAATCATTGAAATTATGATTTAAAACATATTGCAATATTGTGTTCTACACGTATGAGAAGAGGTACTCATTAAATGTACTTTATAAAGACCATTCTATCTCACTGACATAGTTGTAAAAAACGCTGGTATAGAGTTAATGGTTTGAATCTAGAAGATAAATCAATAACAGCAAAAAAACTTTACTCGCAAAAGGGACATTGAAATGTGTCTATCCAACAAGACTAAAATTATAAAGCTAAAGAGCTTCTTTGAACGCGTTAATCTCTGGAATAACTTGTTAGAATTGGAAAAAATATTTTTGTGTTGGTTTGAGCATTTATCGAGCGAAGAAATAGCGCGAGCTTCGCTTCAAAAACGGTTCAAGAATCCAAAAAAATATTTAAGAAAGAACAATTCCCATTAAATGGTTGAACACACTCGTGGGTCACTCTACGGTACAATAATGGCTGAAGGCTTTCACGGCCATCGTTCAGCATATCTTTGTCTTTCCTGCTTTTTCCCCCCCCCCTGGGGGGGGGGGGGCCCCTCTTTTTTTTTTTTTTTGGGGGGGGGGGGGGCCATCAACAGGAGATGTTCTCCTCGATTGCTCAAATTCTTCGAAACTTCGAGAACCCTTTCCCCCCCTCCTCCCCCAAACCCCCCCAAAACCAAATTTTTTCCCGGTCCGGTTAGTAGAAAGATGAGGAGGACGCTTACAAGAACAAATTTTGCCCAAATTCTACGCGGCCGAAGTCGCTGCCACAGCTGGTACTTCATATGGAAAAAGAACGTCTACCAGGTCAGCAAGTAGTTAATAACACGTTAGCACCTGTTTTCTAATAACGCAGTTCCCATACAAAATCGATAAGAACATATACCACTTGAATGATTGTTTTAGAAGTTTCTGGAATTATACAATTTTCTTCAATTATACTTACCTTTTATCTACACATAATAGAGATGGCCATTGTTTACTGATCCGGTCTTTAGGGTTCATAATTGACGTCATAGAATAATCACTGAGCAAGCCTGAATGTAACATTGTATGATAAATGCTGGGGAATAATGACGCCACATTTCGAAGAAACAAAGCAGAGTTCTTATTGTGCTAATTCATAAATAGTACATAGAGACCCTGCAGTCTACGCGAGTAGTACACATATGAAAAATATACTTTTAACGGTTTAAAACGCGAAGTATAATAGTTAAATTATTATAATTTTTCGTTATGTTAGTGCTTAGACCGTCAAATTAAAAGCGAGTTTGCTGTTATCATATATCATTAAAACCTAAATATGTCCCACTGCTGGACAGGAGTGTTCATTCACATAGGTATAAGGATTTTAGAGGTTAGACCTACCGCAACTTAACATGAAGCACGGGAGGTATGTCATTCCCCATTTATAAATGTAGATCTAATAATTCGAACCCTCGACTTCAAAATCTGTATAGCATACTCTATCTCAGATGAGTTAGTTTATATCGTGTGATTACGAACTTGTAAAACTAATCTAAAAATTAGACTTTTTGAAACAAGTTTATAGTTTCATTATCATCATTTAGTCAAACTTTTTCACGTGTTATTGCACATGATGGCACTATATATAATTAAAAATCGAAAATAAATTGAAAAAAATGACTACTCGGGCAGAACTTGAACCGGCATCGTCAGCGTTCAGCGCTGTTGACTCGGTAGCTCAATTCGTTATAGCAAGAGCACGGAACGCTGACGATGCCGGTTCAAGTTCTGCCCGAATTATATTTTTGTTTCAATTTATTCCGATTTTTAAGTTCATAGTTATTGGTATATTTTTATTGGGTTGACCGAAATGGAGTGAACGAACCATCACTAGAACATATATCGCAGAAAGTTATCGGCAATTGTTTTGAAGCGGCGATAAGATTTACAATTTTATAGGTTTACTTCGAATTAAGCGGTGCGATCATGATAAACATTTTATTGTTACGATGACTACAAGTTACCTAAACTGTGCATTGATGAAATAGAATAATCCTTTGATAGGCTTTTGTATATATAGAAAATAAAAAAATATATCTATACTAATTTTATAAAACTGAAGAGTTTGTTTGTTTGAACGCGCTAATATATAACATCATGATTAATAGGAGCGAAGAAAGATTTGAAAATAACGGATACAATCTTTGAGGTCTTCCGTAGCGTGCGCTGCGAAAACTGTTCAAGAATTAAAAAAGTATGCACGATAGAATGATTCCTCTTTAAATTATCTAAAAGATGACTGCAGTATATGTCTATCTTTTAAGATTAACTCACAAGAATCGTTTTTTTAATTTCATCAAAATACTTCATATGACAAAAGAAGGTTTGTTCCATTCCAGCTAATTAATGTAGCTGAAGAGGTTCTTTGCAAGAATAAATTTTAATGCCCAAAAACAAAATAACTATTCAAGGCGGTCGAAGTCTCGGGCACAGCTAGTATTTTTTAAAGTGCTTTTGGACATCCAAATTCTTAAAATCAAAGTAGGTGGATAGCGGATCTTGTTACGATGTTATGTTGTTATTTCAAGTAAATACTACGCTTGTCTGTACTCCTTTATCGTTAAAAATGTTTTATTTTCAAATAAAATTGTTGATTATTAAGAGTCAAACTCTTGTTTGAGCGAGGTAGTCGTCTAATATCATATACTTTATGTTATCTTAAGTATTTTAAAATTGGATGCATCATTAGGTATCTAGAACAAAGTTAGCTTTAATTTTTTGTCGGTTGGTTAAAATATATACTCGTATCATGAATGTTTAAATTATTCCTGATCCAGAGCCAGAGTGGCCTAATGACAAAAACGTGGTTTTAAAAACGGAGGAAAATATAAAACCGCAATTAACTTAAGCAAAAATAAATTTGTACTATTATTTGTGTAAGAATTATGTTAACAATATTTGATCTCTAGATTAACATTTTACAAATAAGTCATAAAATTGTAGTTAGGCTACTATGGCTCTAGCGGCCCCATATAATCATGTGTGCAGCTGCTGTATTAATTGAGGTACCATGTCTACATCAATTAATACAGCAGCTTTACGGTACGCAATGGTTTTGGATTCGACCGCCCGTGTCATCAGTCTGCAAGTTAAAATAACGTTAAATGTTATTGTTCAGTCAATCCACACGGAAGCCAGGTCAAGGACTATAACTGTATATTTATTTCCACTGTTACATAAAATGGAGCAAACAAACTTCAGTGCAGGTCAATAACAGGGCAGTTGGACTTAACGTATTCAATGCCTTACGCGTAGCGGTGATTAAGTATTTTAAATAAATTACGTATATTTAAGACAATATTATGGGAATGCGGAGTTATGAAATACAGTACCTATTGTTCAATATGGCCTAAGTATACAGAATCATTATCTCTTTTATTCAACATCAATAAAAATTATGAGTAATGTGGCATTTTATACGTCTATAATACGTCGACAATAGTTTTAAAATTAATAAAAAAAAAGGTTTGTTGAAAAAATGGATGACAAGTGCGTAGCTTGCACCGGTAGCTTTAGTGCTGCTGCTCTAAACAGTTGACCTATTGTGTTCTAAAATTGAAATTGTCAAATTGTATATTCTACAAGAAAATATATATATATTTTGTTATACAAAAATAATATTTATACGAAATTTCACTCCCATTAAAACGGTTCTCGTGGGGTGATTTTCCTTTAGATCATTTGGAGAAGGATAATTCATTTATTCATGTTTTCTGGGTATCTTGAACAATTGTTGATGCGCACGCAACGGAAATGCTCAAAGATTAATCATCCCCCCCCCTCCTCTTTACCCCTCTGCCTTTTTTTTCACTCCTCTTGGTCGCTGTTTGATGTTTTATAAATAATCCAAAGCGTCCCTTCATTAATGGTCTAAATAATACCAAAAGAATTTTCTAACCAATAGTATTTTCACTATGGAGACATAATATTAACTTTTTGGTATTAGAAACACACTCATTTCCCCCAAAATTTTCTAAGTTCTTGTTTTTTTTTTTCAGTACAATGGTCTACCTCCTCCAATGGCAGAACTTCCGTCGCTTCTACCTGTACATCATGACAGACAATTACCGGAACATCATAACTCGTCACAAGCGAATGCTTCTCAACCAGGACATGAAGAGTAAATACAAGCTGGACGAGAAGATGATTGTCTCAGCCGGTACACTCCCAGATTTGGACGAGGCTTATTCTAGGTAAGTGCGAGGTTACATGAGGTTGTAAAGGCTAGCCTACCTGCAATTAAATAAAACACTTTAACGGTTTAAAACGCGATGAATATTAGTTAGACTTACTTGAAGATTATTTTAACTATGGCCCGACGATTTGGATGCTTTGTAGCAGCTGTGGTAACTACAGACAGTATTTCGCCTGACTGCAATTCTATAACTTGAGTTATTTATATTTTCATAGTCTAAAAAATGTTAATCTACAAGAGCACAATGACTGAAATTGTGAACATAATTTTTACACAAATAGTACAAAATAAATTTCGCGTTTTTTTTTTCATAATATGGTCATATTTCATTTAAATGCTGGAATATGTTGTCAGACACTGTCTAGTGTTGAAATAAAACACTTTAACGGTTTAAAACGCGATATATTAGTTAAACTTATTTGAAAATGATTTTTAACTGCAGCCCGACGTTTCGGATGCTTTGTAGCAGCCGTGGTCACGGGGAGACGAGAAGTCGGGCCGAACTTAAAAATATTTTTTAAATAAGTTTTACTATATCGTTTAAACCGTTAAAGTGTTTTATACAAATGTTGTAACATTTCTTACTCAGGCTATTAGTGCCCAACCACGCTAGTTTCCCAGGATCAATGCTAATCTATCATGACATGACTGGCTGATGATTCATGTTGATAATCAAATTATTGCGTGTAGAACTTATCAAAATTTACAACTTTTGCCTTATCAAAATGATTTTCTAAGATCGCTTTTATGATATTAAATGATTGGCTCGTCGGTGTAACGGTAGTAATGTAGTAATTATGAACGGGTTTGATCCCCATTGTATTGTGAGAATTTATAATTTTTCTAAAACATATTGGACTTCTTCTGAATTCTGCATATTATTAAATGGGAATATCCAATTTCCGACCGGGTCAAGAGCCACCGTTGGCGAAAAAGCTGCGTTTCGGCTTCAGTCTAGATTTCCAAATATCCATATATAGATATTTAGATCCACAGATAGCGCATCTTCCATCAAGAGAATCCCGCGCGTGTCTGTCATCCTCTATCATAAAAAAATGGGATACTGATACCGAGTCAAATGTTTCTTTTTATTAAAACGCGTTCGAAACCTGAATTTTATTCTTCTTTTACAATTTTTACGTAATCTACTTTGAGTAGTGTAGTTATCAATCTATTAATAGACAGCTTTCGCAAAAATTATAACAAGATAATTATAAAATTACTTCTACCTCACACTATGTTTCTTTACTTACAGGAGAGTGTACGGGTTCAATTCCGTGACAGAATTGTACAAGTGGAGTTCGTCAGCGTTCTACTTGGAGCGAGTGAAGACTCCGATGATATTCATCAATGCTAGAGATGATCCAATAGTACCTGATCCGCTCTTGCCCATCGTCAGGGAGTTTGTTAGTAAGTATTTTGTGATACCGGATGTGGATAGTTCACCTTTAACAAGGGGGGGGGAAATCTAGCAGCATCCGAAGCGTTCCGTGATGCTGTTCTAACTTTAGCTGTTGGAGCAGCACGGTGATCAATTGGTTGGAGCTGCAGCACGAAACAAGTCCAAGTCTCAAGTTCCTCCCGTGTCTTTCATTTATTTTTTTAATCTAAATAGTCATCATGTGCAACCATGTAAAAAATATTAAAGGTTTTCTGAAGTTAATGTTATCAAATAATAACCATCGCGTTTTAAACCGTTTAAAGACGTTGCTCGCGTTTGTTATACGCAATAGATTTAACCTGTATTTGAAGTTGCACTGCTTTCGCACTTTCCCGCACGCGATCATTATTGTTCTTGTTATCTTATGTAAATCGCTCGTTCGCTTAACACTAATTTTAACCTTACGTGAATCATTTGTTTTATGGGCTATATTTTATATTATTTATCATCTATATACAGTAAAAACCAACTTGGCCATTCTTCAACGCAATATTTTAATTATCACTAACATTTGCACGAGTCTAACGGGTATTCGTGAAATATAATTAGCAATTCAAGTTTTACAGCAGTTTTTATTCAAATACATTACACGGAAAAAAACTAAATATACCTTTACATTTTGAATATTTTAGTAACATTTAAACACAATGGACGCCTTGACTCGCGTAACAAGTAACGCGTAACGTAAACGAGTTACCTAGAACTGTGTCAAGTAGTTTTATAACAGTTTGAGTGATTATAAGTCTTTAACACTTGTTGTATCTTAATAAAATCGATTAGAATAATCCACTTTGAATGTTTTAGCCCATACACATGACGACAATATATTTCAGAATGTAAAAAAGTAAATCTTAAGATTGATTAAAAGCGATAAGGCCGCCCGTTACTATCCATAGTTTATAGATATTATTTATTTTCTTGGTTCATTGTAATTGTGTGATTGTTGTGTACCTCATAAAGAATAAAAACATAAAAAACATAGTGGACACGGGCGGGATTTGAACTAGCACTTACATCGATCTGGGCTCTAACCGACACAAATTAGAGTAGCTAGACGGATCGATGTGTCATTATTATTTTTTATTTAAATCGATTTTTAATTCTGTAAAAAAAAGAACTTGTAACACGATGGAAGTTGTCTCCATCACACCAGCGATTCGTTACCAGCTAAGTTACCGAGTCAATCTGTTCGTCCTAAAAATACGAGAACTATATCTAAAGTTATAATTTCTTTTTCAGGTTCGCACGACAAAAAGATGTTTCTGGAGTCAGCGCATGGCGGCCACTTAGGATTCTATGAAGGCGGACTTCTCTTCGCCAACCCTGTGACTTGGCTCGACCGTGCCCTCGTTGGCTTAGTTGGGGGCCTTCTCATGGCACATAATAAGTGCTCACCAAAGGAACACGTCGAACACGCAGACTACACCGTCTCCGATGAAGAGCCGGACTTAATCAAATCAGCAACGATACTCTACCGCGATCCGCTGGACAAAACCCAATTACATTCCTAATTTGAAATGCCATTGATGATGATGATGATGGTTGACGTAGGATGATATTCTTAGCGAACCCACAGGTGATAGAAGCTTAATCAGTGTTACCATAGTAGACCCTGTAAAAAGTCTTTGGACGTTTTGCATAGATTTTCGTAGTAATTTTAGACTGATGTGTGATTTGGACTTGAGGCATCTATACAGAGCTTTAATATACGAAGAATATTGTCCTACAGTTATTTCCCCTAATGAGATTTTTCCTTTTAAGCGAGAGATTGTTTCGTTCGGCCACTTTTTATTGCAAAAATAGGTTTTAATTGTTGATTTTAACAATTCATATACCTATACATTTTAGTAGCACCGTGCCACAAAGGCCTATTCCCCAAAACTAGTTGCCTAAGTGCTGATGCACAATACTGTTGCCAGCAGGACTGGTAGATAATTTAATAGAAGTTAGTTCTTTCCATTATTGTGATATGTATATGAATGATATCTTTGAATTGGAATTAAATTGCCACTGCATGTATTACAATGCATTTATTTTACATTTCTACAACATTTGATGTGTTTTTAACTCACTTATGTATACTAAATCTACTTAAATATTTTAGGAAACTATTTCTAACAAAAGTATAACGATGTTATTTTTCTTTGATGCATTTCTATTATGACACAAATAGAATATTTCTATTCGTTTACGTGTTATAAAATGCTTTAATGTTGAGGGCCTAAACTCATTCAATTTAATCGACAAGCTGTGACTACCCACAAATTTGTATGTTTAGTTTTTTATATACAGTTCAGTTCAGTTCTTTAAAATTTATTCACCACTGACAAACAATGTGGGTAGATAGCAATTCACCAGATGGTCAGTCAAATTGAATGATAGGTTATTTTGCTTGATGTTGTTGGCATAATTTATTGAAACTATGTTAATATTAGGATATTGTGTAGCACAACGACAGGTTTTTAAAGTGTCTTAAATTAGCTGAATTTTGTAAACGAGTGCTGGCTATATTGTGAATTCCAGCGTTTGGTTGAAAGTTTTTGAATTTTTTTTACTAGCTTAGAGCATCGTTCCCACCGCTAATCTAGTAACATGTCAACAATCAGAAAAGGTGCATATGTGAAGAAGGGTTATTGAAAACGGTGAAAAGTGTGCGGCAAATTATAAACTTTTAGCATGACTACCCACATTTTCTCAAATTATTAGATATGTCATTGTTAATTTTTAAATCGAAATTTTCATATAGCCTCCTTTTTCTGGGATAACTCTCGAATTCTATAAGGGCGGTTGATATTTATAATGTTTGTATCTGATAGTGATTGCTTCTGTTAAAAGCAGAGGTGGAAATGCGTTGCCGGCCTTAAAATGTTATTGTTGCATAGATACACATAAATGTTTCGTTGATAGTACAAAGTTTTGGTAAATCTTTTAACTTGAAATATTAAGCCAATGTTGAAATGTCAAATAGTATTAGAATTGTTGGGTGACAGTTGACGTAAATATTTTGTATTTGATTTTACTTATTTTCTAATGTGAGTTCTATAAAGGCACTTTGGCTTAATAATGCGATGTTAAATATTATACAAAAAATATTTGTATAGCTTTTGTTGTAGTGCGTACGAGCACGAAGAGCTAATTTATATTTTGATATGAAACGTAAAATAAATTTAGCATTGCTACGATTCGTGGACATTTCTGTAGATTTAGATTAGGATAACCGGAAATTTCCTCAATGTAAGCCATACAAACCTCACTGTAGATGCACCGGATCAAAATTTTACCAGATGATGTCTTAGATTCAATTCAAATTAGGTGGGTACAAAACAATAAATTGAATCTCTCAATAGTACTTACCATACACGGTATGTACTTACAAACTGTTAATGCCATGTTAAGCAAACGTGAAAATATTCAGCGCTGTGCCACTTTATTATTGTATACTTTAATTTGCTTTATGCACTGTTCAACTAATTGTTTAAAAGAATTAAATACATAGAATAAACAGAATGTCTTATTTGTTAACATGATTGGGCTTTGGCCGCAAAATATACAAAAGAAACTAGTTTCTGCGGTGTGCAGACAAACAGACAAGCTGTGTTTGTAGGTACATGTTTTATATGAATAGTAGAAGTTTGAAAGAGATGAAAGTAAAAAACATATTTTGATAAATAAGTATATTTCTAAGTCATCATTAAATATAAAATTTTAAGAGACGGGTGAAGTTACGCTGCCTTACATTTAACAAATTACACCTAGCTTACACTACTTTGTAATTGGAATAAAATTACGTTCACAAACAACGAGGTGCATAATATTCGTAAATGGACAATTGTTTGAGATTCAAATGATACAAACTGAGCAAAACTGAGATTCTTAAAGTTGACACTATGATAATGTATTGCGCTTATGTAGGACTATTTGTTAATAGTGAAATAAAGAGGAAAAGCTCTGAAACAGAATAGACGGTAGATGTTGAGTAATTCGAGATAGATCTTTGACAATACAATAACATGACAGAAACAAAAGCCTGCATAAGCGTTTACAATTTGTTAAATAAATGTTTAACGTTATACATATTCCAAATACAAATATCACAACATTTTTCTTAAAAACTTATTTCTCTTTACACATATTAATCTTAGCAAATACACATCAACTTTAAGTATTTAGCATAATATCATACTTGTCATTAGTTATAAATTACAATATAAATCATCAGTGCCAGACCACGTTATACTCTTAGAAACCATAAAAATATTAAAGAGAGCGATATATAATTTCACATTTTTCATTTTCATACATCTAATAATAAAGTCACAAGACAGTAAAATATGGCCACTGCGAGTGAGTGAAGGCTTATAAATATTTAATTGCCTACAAAAAGACGAGTCGCATTTCAACTTACAGACAAAATTAATCTCACTGCATATTTTAAGTAATTTTCATAAATAAAAAGACTATTATAATAATTATTATAAGATAACATTCTAACTAGAAATATGGAACTGGTATTTTACAGTCTTTCTTTACAAATGGGTTATTCTGAGTATTTTCATAATAAATTAAAGCTTTTCTTTACAAAATATCCCGTGTATAAAATAAATCATGTAAATGCAATTAAATCGAAACTTGCGTCATCATATAGTCAGCATATGGACGAGGGGTCCCCCTCCATAGTGCACGCTATGTTGTCTAGTTTATGAGCTAAGTGCATTTTATTTTCTAATCCTAACACAATTTGTTCTCTATACTTACTGACATAGATGTACAGCTCTTTTAAAGCGGAGAGTGTGTCAAATTCATTCAGCTGTTCTACAGAGAGCTGTTGCATCGAAGTGCTGAGCTCCTGGTCGGTCACCTGAGGTAATTGAGATACGGCCTGGTAGAAATGAATAACCATGTCTCTATAAGTAGGTAAATCCTTTGCGAATAAAAGCTTGTTCGACGGAGAATCCTTACAAAGCCGGTGTTCCGATAGCGAGCACGCGTCCATAAACGTCTGCGCTATCACCGACAGCGACGAATCGACCGTCGCCGTTTTGTTTATATCGAAAATGAAATCTGGATTCTTTATAAGATTCACCCAGAACCTTAAAGGTAAACTGTTCGATTTCCAGGCGTGCACTACTTCCGGATTCACTATTCCGTGAGATCTAGCTGCGTCATCGAATAGATCGAACAACCATTTCACAGCGGGGGGTAGAACTTCATTTACGGTCAATATAGTACCGAAGAAATCGTCTACAAACTTGTGCACGGTGCCCTTAGTCGATAAGAGTCTAGTGAGAAATATCTCTGGTATGGCTTTATGACTATGCTCTGAAGATTTATTGACGATATGTTGGTATTCGATAGGCTTTACTAGGTGATAATAGTGAACGTTTTGATCAGTTATGTCATTTTTATATACACGTATATGTGAGTTTGTGCAGTATATACCGGTACAGTTTTTACATGGAATTTTATATGGGGTATTAAAACTATCATTCTGGCGCGGTATCAGCGACATGATGGCGGATTCTTTGACGCCATAATGAGCTAACGTGTTCAATTTACGCCACCCATTTAACGTTTTTGTAGTGACGTCTTCATCTTGAAGTGTGACGTGACCACCTCTTCCATGTCGCCATTCTAAATCAACTTCGTGGACGGAGGGCCGCAAACTAAACGGAGTATTTTTAAACAGAGCATCTAATATTTTACCTTTTACTTGAGATATACTGTCGCAGTCTAATACTTTGCACTGCACTTTGTCATCAAAATCGTCTTGTATTATGTGGAGTGTGACTATTTGATAATCTATTTGTTCTTTCAGCAATTTTTCTTCTGATAATGAATATCTTGCTTCGTTAGTTATGGCGTCGACTACACCCTTTTCTATCTGGTGTTTGATCGCTTTGAATAACAAGAAAAGAGATGATCCTGCATAATCCTTTAGATAATAATACATGCATAGTGCCATCCAGTTGGTAAGCATTTTTTCTACAACACTTTCTGTTCTTCGCAACATTAACTGCGGGTGTTTATTGCATACTGATTTGTCAATTAGTCGCAACAGAAGGGACTTCAAAATATCAGTTGCGTATTCCATTTTACCCATTAGAATAATCATCAACAACGATGCGACATTCACCTTATCCCTAATGTTAAATGACTTTTGTGCCTCTAACGTGTCAATAAAGGACAATAGGAAACACTTATTACTTAATAGCTGCTCAAATTGAAACATAGCAGCATCGTAATTGGTTCTTGGCGTATTTATAAATTGACGTTGTATATTCAAAATGGGATGGTCGGAAACTCCAGGGAAGAATACCTTCATGACATAATTTACATGGTCCAAGGTCGGTATCCCAGAGTGTTCTAAATCGGCTGCCAAATCGGACATATCAGTTTGAAGCTCTGCAAATGCTAATTTACACTCTAAACGGACATTGCTTTCAAGGGTGTCCATTTGTATTTGAATTCGTTTGTACTCTCTTTCTGCTTTTGTACTGCGACGCCTGTACATTACCAGCACTATCATAAATATTAATACTATAAAGAATGTGCCGGCCGCTATTGCAGCAATAGCTTCGGGAGGGAAATTGTAATTTCTTAAGAGTTCATAACGTAGATAGCCTATGGGAAATCTTAAATTTCTCCCAATTTTGACAACCACTAAGGGCAAGTTTAAATCATTCATTTGAAATCCATTTTCATCAGTATTGGCCGGTTGAATTTCTGGAGGAGTACACAATAACTGTTGCATTGTCAGACTAGTTACATTGCAGGGTTGGGTACCAATGGTTACAATAACATCGGTTTCGTCGCTAGCTTTAATTAAATTTTCTCCCTCAATCACCAGTGGATCGTGATGGTCTTTATAGGATTTAATTCGATTGGGAAACTGGTAAATGTGAGGATCGTCAACATAAACTATGTGAGTTCTAGGCGGATTAAAGTATTTTTCTAAATCATGCATTGTTTCAACGTTGTCCATTACAAATCCTATCTTCATTGCGATTTGTGGAGTACTCGTTTGAGCCTTAGTAGCTTGTATTATATCGTAATATTTTTTATTAATGGCTGGACTTGGACACTCCATCTGGTTTGAGTTGAGAACTACGCAAGAAGTTGAGTTAACTGGAATCTTTTCATTTGCATAAAACAATCTCATTAAGGGTTTTTGAATAGTATGCAAGTTTGTCCCGTGAACTGTTATCATTCTACCCCCAGATACAAAGCTCTTTAAAGGTTTTATCTCCATTATTGTGGGATCAGCTGTGTAATTGAACAAATCTCCATTTAGAGTTCTATTAGCGTTGTCTATAGATACAGTCAAGGTGTGTATAACTCTCGGAATATTTGCTTTAGGTGTTATACATATTAGTCTACTGTTTGAAGTTTGTGTTTTATTGACAGCACAGGGTAGTTCATCTAAATACGCAAAAACTGAAGATCCAATATTGAGATGTTGTCCACCTATAGCCAATTGAGTGCCACCAGCGACGGGACCTAAAGTTGGATAAACACCTTGCAGTTTAATATTCTTGTAGCTAAATAATACAGAGGATTCAGTATATCCAGAGTCATTTTCAACTATAACTGGTAGTACTGCAGATGTGTTTGATGGTCCAGTTTTGCAGGTTATGCTCACAGACACTTCAAAGTCTACAATATTACAAAGAACATCTCCAATACGAACTTTGCCAGTTACTTCCTCAACTCGTAGTCCAAGATTACTGCCTTCTATAGTTAGAATTGTTCCTCCTTCAATAGGCCCACTTAATGGCTTGATCATGTCAATCCTGGGTTTGGGACATTCAGTAACTGGATTTTCAAGACAAGAGTCACTATATGAACATGAATTTCCACACCATGTGCACTGATAAATAGTGTTTCGCGTAATGCAAAGAGAACAGTCAGCATGATCTCTATGTGAACCTAATATTTCACACTTATATAAAGTAATTGTAATTGTATCAATATAATGTTTATGATTCCAAAAAACTTTGACACTCACATTGTATTCACCAACATCTTCTTCATAGGAGTACATAGTTTTATCACAGACAATAAAATGGTTTGATTCAACTCTTGCTGGTAATATCATGTTGGCTAATTCAATGCTAACTATACACTGAAATCCTGTGTGGCCAGGTTGTAAGTGAGGCAGGTTTTCCACTTCAAGCTCTAATTCTTTAGGTACATTATTAGGCAATAATATTGGTTTTTTATATTGTCTAATTCTAGGACAATGTCCAATACCATGGTTTAATAGTTTTGTTGGATTATTTTCTCCAGAAATGATTGTCCTCTGACATATGGAAATATCATGAGTGCATTTATTGTCATATATACACCAGTTGCAAGCCCATTCGCTTAAAATGCATGTATGACATGTAGTATGTTTAGAACAGTCATAAAAGGCAAAGTTTCTTGATACAAAATCTTTATTTGTTTCAGATGAATGAACTGATAGTGGCACATAGACATGGTCTTGGTTTTGCGAAATTTTAGGTCTATGTTTTATGTCTGGTGTTGGACAAGCTAGACCACTTGATGTTACAGCTGCGTCAATTGCAGGGGCATTTCCGAAAACACACTTATATTTAGCACCAAATGGCAATTCAGGTAAAGTTCTGATAACCAATTGAACTGTTGTCACTTCACTAATTGATATTCTGTCTGGTAAAATTTGTTCAAAATCAATGCACTGTTGTCCGGTATACTGAGAGAGCCAACGCGGAGCACTCTGTGTACCTTTCTGGCACATATTTTGTATTGTGCACCGTTTTTCCAATGAACACCATCCACAGTGAGGATCATTTGATTCTAAACATGAGGAACAATTGCTATAATCTGCACATTTTTCAGTTGGTATTTGAATTATTGAATTTTTTGCCAAGATGTACAAGGATTTTTGGTATGGAGACAGAGTAGTGTCGGGGAGGATTTTTTGTCCAGGTAATAAGCTATCACTGGAATATTCCAAAGCTTTATCAGCATCTATCAAGACCTTTTTCAGTGTACCACTGCTTGTACCCAAAAATGCCACACAATGTAAACCGGTGACAGACATTGTAACAGATGTTATAAGAGTATCATTCCATTGTATAACAGATGTCGTTTTGATAGGATACAGGCCACTTATTTTTAAACCTACTTCACAAAAATTCAGAATGTTACCTACAGAACCTACACTGGGGCATTTACCATCAGATATCATGCCTGATATATAGCCCATATTTCGTGCCTTTGTACTACCGTTGAAACACATGTGAACATTTTCATTAAACTTAATTTCTATTTCTTGTAATGAGTACACACATATAGCCGACTTAGATGTTGGTTCATTACTAATACCCTTAGATGGGCTAAATGTTGCTACAAGAATTGAATCACCTGGTTCTATACCTAATTGATTTGCAAGGTTTACACCAGCCTTAGCAATTTTAGCATCTTGAACAAGATTGTAATTGACAATATCACTCTTACCATCACTAGTCACTTCTTTTACATGACACTCTAACGTCACTTCAGTATAGCTGTTATAGTTATCATCATTCACACAAGTCCTGGCTAACCTTGACACATATCCAAGCTCTTCATTCCCTGCGAGGTGAGAATGTTTCTGAATGATAAGAAAATACGCATAATCACTTGCATTGAATCCATACACATATTGCACTAAAAAGTTATCCCTGTATTTCACATCAATTTGTATCAAGCTTTGTTTGGAAAATGTGAACTGCGCCAGTTGAAGAGACATCAAATCACGGCTCGAAATAGCAGGAACGTCGTGCCTATATTCTCCATTGTTTGTAAATGTTGTGCCCACATATAGGACATTTGAACGATCCCATGAATTGTATCTTTCAGGTCCAATAAATGCGTAAGTAGAAGCCTCCGCATCATTAGCAGCCACACTTTCTGCGACGAATTCGGCCTCAGCAGATAGATCGCCAAGTTTGTACTTAAAACACGATCCTTGTGCCACAGAACCGCAGGCTATCACTATTCTGGATTCCTGGTCTATCACTAATATCTTATTCACATTATCAATCCATGTAGTTTGAATATCGGAAGAAGAACAACCACTAGCATGGCACGTCGGGTTATCAAGTTTAGGCCCCGTTCGTATTACGTGTAATGGCTTTAAATCTGGACTTAATTGATGTAGCCAATTTACTGATGCGGCATAAACTTGACCACTTACTCTATCTACAGCCAAATGGTTAAAATGGAATGTCTCATTTGAGTGCATGGGATATTGAGATATGAAATCAAATCCATACACCACTGTGCACTGAAGCCAAAATTTTATGACTAATAATATCACGATAGCAGCCATGTTCACATTTTAATACAATCTCACTTATATTGTTTTTGCGTTTTCACAACCACTACTGTTTATTTTTCATTTTCAACCCATTTTAAAACTAAAAATGTAATAAATGCATACAAATTACAATATCGATGCCAATAACATAGAATAAACAACGAATACAGATTGCAAATGTACATAGAAAAGGGATAGTAATGCAGGTTACACAGAAAAATAATATTACTAGTACAAAACTTTGATGTCTATACTTATTAGGTATTAAATATTATAAACATTAAAAAGTGCAATTAAATTTAATATTTTTAACATGTTAATTTATTATTAAAAATCAATGCTTAATTGCACTTTGTATATTTTTATTACGTTTCCGGGTACTTTTTAAAACCAGAAAGAAAGAGAAAATGTTTATTAATAAATTATGTATACAGCAACATGTATATGTATAATAAGCGTATTTTCTCCGGTACTGTCTATTATAATTATTTAGTATAGCCTATGGCGCTGCTTCTATAATACTATTTTGTATAATCTTTGTTACCCTCAGTACATGTTTTGGCTTATTACTGATATGTTTAGTTTTATGTTAACAATTTGTTTTATTATTAAAACATATCTGTTATAGAAATTAACAATACTAGTTGCGAATTTTAAGTTTAACTCTAAAGTAACAATTGGAGTGCAAAATAGCGTTTCTTATTTTAATATAGTTGTAGTGTTTCGGCCGCTATACGCGTTAAAATGCCTTAGAATTGGAATCGTGGTAGCATCAAGCATGCGCCATGTATCGGACGTCTGAGGGTATATTAAACGTTATAGAAGTTTGTGTGTCACACTTGTTTTAATATTTTAAAAAGTCTCAACGCCGTTTTTGGTTAAAATCCCTAAAATGATGGCGGCGATGGCAGCCGGGGGTCCTGGTGATCCACATACACAAATGAACACCTATCGTAGCTATGTTACCATGCTTGCGGACCCTGGAGCTAAAGATGAAATTAAATTAAAAGCTGCGCAAGAACTTAGTGAAAATTTTGAGGTAAGTCTTGAATTTTCAGCTCCAGAATATCGTGAAAAATATATGGTATTAACCAATTTTTTGTACCAAAAAAGCTCAATTCGTCCATTCCCTTGTACAAATATTTTTTATAAAAAAAAAAATAAACAACTATTTTTATGATAAATATTATTAATTTAGTATAATAATAACTTATTACTCAAACTTAACATTTTCTTTACATTATGTGGAGAAAGAATGCTATCCTAAAATCGTAATACTTTAAATTCTAGGTGATTCTGAATTCACCACAATATCCTCAATTTTTGGATCATTCATTGAAGATATTTCTTAAAATATTACAAGAAGGTGAACCACATTTTATTGCTGAATATAATATACAGCAAGTGAGAAAACTTATACTGGAGATGATACATAGACTACCTATAAATGAAACTCTAAGGCCTTATGTTAAGAGCATTTTAATTTTAATGTTAAAACTAATGGAAATAGAGAATGAAGAAAATGTCTTAGTTTGTTTAAAAATATTTATGGAGCTACACAAACAATATCGACCTACCTACTGTGCTGAGGTAGATGTAAGTATTTTGAACTATTATTTTCAATGTCTTTGGGATTATGACTATTTTCTATACTAATTACACAAAATATTTTTTTTTTCTTCTAATAAATAAATGTATTAAAAGACCATAAAAAAAGTATTTTTATTATCAAAGCTTTTCATGTAGACAAAAAATTCAATTCAATTTCATGAATTTTTGCATTTCATCAAAATTATTTTAATATGATTGTATGTGGAGCAGATTTTAATTTTTACACATTACTGATAATATAAAACTTTTATGCAAAATGTGGGTAGAATGAAAATTAACTTTTAATCAATTTCATTGTATTGAATATTAAAGTTATATGACTAAATATTAATTAAGTAACAATGTTTAAACTATGTTTTTTCCCCAGATTCACAAGTTCCTTCAGTGGGTAAAAGCCATTTATTCTGATTTACCAAACCATTTGCCCAAAATCTTTGAGCCAAGGCCATCGATAAGAGTAAAGGACCTCTCCGAAGTAAATATAGAACAGCTTTTACAGGAGACTTATACCACAACCCCAATACATACAGAAAAGAAGTTATTAGATGGAAGTGTGGTTACAGTAAGTGTACTTAATAAGGCAGTATAAGATACTTAACATGTTAAGAGGCTTCTAATCGAAGTAGAGAATTACTTTAATAAATATAAGTTCAGGTATAATATGTCTCTTTGTTTTTCAGTATAATTTAATTCCGAAATCTGTCATATCACTAAAAGTGATACAAGAATTGCCGATTATTGTGGTTCTTATGTATCAGCTGTATAAGCAGAATGTACATCAAGAAGTTAGCAACTTTGTGCCACTTATTATGGACACTATTTCTTTACAACCATCACTGGCCTTAAGGTATAAATGACTTACATGATTCTCTATTTATCTTGACTCTCCTTTTTTGAATATATTGCTTATAAACAAAATATAATGGAGATGTATCCTCTGTATCTTGACATTACTATATACTTCATTTTTATGTAAAGGAAACTTTACACTAATTAATTTGATTTAATTGATTTTAACTTTAATCATATAATGTCCTCTTTAGAGCCTTTTAAACTGTCATTAAGAAGTATACATACCAACATGCATCTACAAGTAATTATCTTTTTCAGACAATCTGCAACATTCAATAAAGAAATATTTGTTGATTTTATGGGGGCTCAGATTAAAACACTAGCATTTCTGGCATACATAATCAGGATATACCAAGATACGATAGTCAATCATGCGACTATGATGGTGAAGGGAATTATTGGGCTCTTAACTTTGTGTCCTCCAGAGGTTGCTCATTTAAGGAAGGAATTGGTTATTGCTACAAGGCATATTTTGGCAACTGATTTGAGGCTAAGTAAGCACTAAAGTTTCTGTTAGGCATTTTTTTCTATTTGCAAGTCTCTTCTAAGCAGCTATGTGTTTCCAAGTATATAAAATAAATAGTGAAACAGGCAGAAGAACAAGACATTTATCTTTTCAGAATTTGTGCCTTATATGGAGCGTTTGTTCGACGAAGACGTCCTATTAGGTGGTGGGTGGACGGTCCACGAGTCTTTGCGGCCACTAGCTTACTCCACTTTAGCGGATCTAGTTCACCATGTTAGACAGCACTTGCCGCTATCAGATCTTGCTATAGCTGCACACTTGTTCTCCAAAAATGTTCATGATGAGTCTTTGCCAACCAGGTGAGAGATATTGGATTTATGATTTTTCAATTTGGGTGAAATTCACTATTTAACTGTTATCTAACAGTAAAATACCTATTTCAACATTTATAGAAAAAAAATTATATTGCCTCTTGTTACAATATATTTCTTGTTCCAGTATTCAAACAATGTCTTGCAAATTACTATTGAATTTGGTAGACTGTATCCGTCAAAGATCTGAAAGTGAGAATGCGGCTGGTACGCAACCTCAGGGACGGCAACTGTTGATGCGCATTCTGGAAGTGTTTGTTCTGAAATTTAAAACTATGTCAAAGTTACAACTACCCGCGCTTATGGCCAAATGGTATGTTAATAAGAAACATATAATGTCCTGGTAACAATGGTTTTAAGATGAATGTATATTAGTAATATAAAACCTTAACCTCTTTAATTCTTTTCACTCAAGTCTAGCTTGTCTCTGATCTTGGAATATAGAACCATTGTGTCAATTTTTTTAATATAACATGTAACTGTAATTTCTTATAGCAAACAAGCATGTCCATCAACCAACACCACCACAAACGGAACAGCTCCAAGTACACCTACTGCCTCGACCCCGAGTACATCATCAGTTGAGGTCAAAGTTGAGGAAGAGAAACCGACACCTGATTTCTTGGATAGCTTAAATAAAGTGGAGGAAAAGTCAAAAATTGGCTTCCCTGTATCACAGATGAGCAATTTGAATGTCGGCGATTATAGGACCTTGGTTAAGACGCTGGTGTGTGGAGTTAAGACTATAACCTGGGGCTGTGCATCTTGTAAGGTGTGTTTGTCATGAATTTAGATTTAATGATAAAATATTTTTGCTTCGTCTTATAGTACTGCGTAGATTATATGTTGTGAATAGTTGATAATAATTAAACTAATCTTATTCACAGACATCAACAACCGCTGAAGGCACATCAACATCCACTATAACAGGTCAGAAGCAGCTAAGCGCGCGAGAGACTCTTGTTTACATACGGCTATTAATATGGGGTCTACAGTCTCTAGATATATACACATTGTCTGCCCCAAGACCACCTCCACATTCTCCGCCTCAACCGCACGTAAGGTCAAAAGAAGAGAAGGAGGTACTGGAACATTTTAGTGGAGTGGTAAGTGTTAGTTTTGTTTAACCCGCCTATAATTAGCCGTGTGATATAATTTCTTTGTCTCTTTGACTCGTGTTTTCATTTGTTATATTGTTTGATGGGCTAGTTAGGGTTAGTTATGGTAGCAATGTATGGCTAAAAATCAACGAGTCGTGGATTCGATACCCACCAAGTCTAACATTTTTCTCATACATTTATAATTTTTCTGAGACATGTTGGACTCCGTTTGGAAATATGTATATTATATGGGTGGTATGAATATCGAAATGCCGTCCGGAACTATCGTCGACAGATGAAAAAGCCGTCATGTTTAATCGCGTTTCAGTTTGAATCTGTGGATTCGAAGTAAATATTTAATAGAAATTTTTCATTACAGTTCTCAATGATGAACCCTCAAACTTTCCAAGAGATATTCACTGCCACCATCTCTCACATGGTAGAAAGGATCAACAAAAATACGACCCTTCAAATCATAGCCAACACGTTCTTGTCTAACCCGGCCACTTCGCCAATATTTGCCACTGTACTTGTAGAATATCTCCTTAAGAGGATGGAAGAGATGGGATCTAATGTAGAAAGATCTAATCTCTATCTGCGATTGTTCAAGCTAGTCTTTGGTTCTGTTAGTCTGTTTCCGACAGAAAACGAACAGATGTTGCGACCTCATTTACACAGCATAGTGAACAAGGCTATGGACTATGCAATGACTGCTAAAGAACCGTACAATTACTTCTTACTTCTGCGAGCACTGTTTCGTTCTATCGGCGGGGGTAGTCACGATTTACTCTACCAAGAATTTCTCCCCCTACTGCCTAATTTACTGGAAGGTTTAAATAGACTTCAAAGTGGTCTACACAAGCAGCACATGAAAGATCTCTTCGTGGAATTGTGCTTGACCGTTCCAGTCAGATTAAGCAGTCTTCTACCGTATTTACCAATGCTCATGGATCCTCTGGTCTCCGCATTAAATGGATCACATACTTTGATATCGCAAGGCTTACGAACATTGGAGCTTTGTGTTGACAATTTACAACCGGACTTTTTGTATGAGCACATACAACCAGTCCGTGCTGATCTAATGCAAGCTCTATGGAGAACGTTACAGAATAACGAAGTCGCAAGGATTGCTTTCAGAGTGCTTGGTAAGTTCGGTGGTGGCAACAGGAAAATGATGATAGAGCCACAGAGATTGGAATATCGCGAAACAGACGCCCCTCCGCCAGCCGTGTTAGCTTATTTCCAAGATCAGGCGAAACCGATTGATTTTGAAGTGGATAAAGTCATAGAAACCGCTTTTGCGGCTTTGAAATCGAGCACGACTGATCCGTTTTACCGCCGTCAATGTTGGGAAGTATTACGCTGTTATTTGGCGGCATCTCTTAATTTAGAAGATGATAAAGCGACTTTACAGAAGCTCTTAAACCATCCGAGCTTCCTAGAAGGAAAGATTCCGGCTCAATCTGGACCATACTATAAATGTTCAAATTCTATTGTGAGAAATACGCACAAAACAGCGCTCACGGGAATGTTTGTGGCGGCAGCTATTAAGGAACTGCGGCACCATGTCTTGCCGACGATGGTTTCGCTTGTACGTCATTATACTCTAGTGGCTATTGCTCAAGAGGCGGGACCGTTCGCCGGTTCAGGTGGACCTAAGGAAGGCCTCGACGCCCTAGTCTTGGTCGATGCGATCGCAGTTGTGATGGGTCACGAAGAGAAAGAGCTATGCAAACCTGGTCATTTGGCTCTCGTACTGATGATAGAAACTGCAGCGACTGTACTGGGAAGTAAGGAAAGAGCCTGTAAATTGCCCTTGATGGAATATCTGGCAGAACGAATGTCTTCGCTCTGCTACGAGCGAGCCTGGTACGCTAAACTGGGCGGGTGTATAGCTGTCAAATTTATGTTCGAAAAGATGGCGCCCGAGTGGGTATACAAGCACGTGTTTACATTTTTAAAAGCAGTGCTATTTGTAATGATGGACTTGACGGGAGAAGTTTCGTCCGGCGCGTTGGACATGGCTACTGTTAACTTGGAGCGGTTGGTTCGCGTTTGTGTTACCGGCCCAGGTGGACAGGCCATTGAATTGGATGGTGAGGTAGCTGCGGCGAGGACTCGAGCACTACACGATGTGTTGCAAGAATTTGTCTTGCAAATTACAAGCCCACATATACTAGTTCGACAACAAGTAAGAACTAAATATCAACATTTTTTTTGTTTGATTTAATTTGAAAAACTAAATGTATATGTTGAATTCCAATAGTACTTATTTTTTGTAAAATTTTAGGCCATGAAATCACTAGAACTTATAGCGGAACTACAAAACAAATCCGTTACTGATGTAATGGACCCACACCGAGAAGTCCTAACTGATATCATTCCGCCCAAAAAGCATCTGTTACGGCATCAACCAGCTAACGCACAAATGGGTTTGATGGACGGCACTACATTCTGCACAACTTTGAAACCGAGGCTATTCACAATAGGTACCGCTGTTTTTAGTAAATGAGACTAGATAGACTTAGATCTAAATTGATTAATATTCCGAATATCCAAAGGCAAAAGAGGTCAGCACATCTTGTTTAGATGTTATATGCGTTATGATTTGATAAAAAATACTCAGAACTATCATTATATGGTAAAACAATTATTTATTTACTCAAATAGGTTTAGAGTAGAAATTATTTGCGATAGTAAAACAAAAATATATACACACAATTGGAACTATCAGCAATCTAAATACGACTTTTTTGACCTCACTGTAGTTGATGCTTTCGAGTCTCAGGAAAACAATTCATATTAAACCTAACTTCTTACCATTTTACATTCTTGATTTTTTTCTAGATTTAAATGTAAACGAGCACAAAGTGTTCTTCCGCGAGCTGCTATCATTATGCGAAGCTGACGACGCTATGCTGGGCAAACTACCCTGCTACAAGGGCGTAAACTTAATACCCTTGCGAATATCTGCGTTGCGGGCGCTATCTGCCTGTCACTACATACAAGAGAAGCAGTGCAGAGAGAAAATTTTCCAAGTGCTGTATAAGTCGTTAGAGAAAAACGATACAGAGCTTCAACAGGTAAAGTTTAGTTAGAGCTTTCTACATTTGTTTAAAGTGTCTTTGAAGACTAAATCGATTTTACGTTTTTTTTTCTCATTCCGTAAGACCGACCTCATATCACGAAAAATAATGAAAAAAAAACAAAAAATGTTGGTTGTCGACGATTAAAGGTACCTTCAATGTACCTTAATATACATATTTGACTGTAAATAACGGGTATTAGATTTATTAAGACTTATTTCACATACTTAATTGCATTTACAATGAAATTTACATAACAAAAGACTTAAAAAAATTACGTATACATATACGCGAGTGGCTTAAATAATAATAATTTACATACGGTTTCGTTCGACTATATATTTTTTTACATTATCTTAAAGACTTTGTAATTAGCAGTTTTGCGAATATTGTAAGTAAGTAAGTAAGTTCCAACATTACACTTACTATCAAATGAACGCCATGCTTCCTGTCCTCCTCCATCATGAAAAATAACTGGTTACGAGTAACATATGTTTTTTCAGGCCGGTTTCGAATGCATGCAGAAGTTCTTGTCCGGTTTTCAAATTGACATGGACATGGTTCACCCCGTCATGAGACCCCTGCTGCTAACGCTTGGTGACCACAGAAACCTCAGCGTTAATGGAGCTAAGCGGTTGTCTTATTTGACCCAGCTTTTCCCGTCAACCTTTAGCGAGAAGCTATGCGAACAACTTCTACAACTGCTAAAGAAACTACTTGACTATTCCATTCAAACAAACAGAGGTAACAAATAATTAATACTTTTTCTTCTTTATAGTAGTATAACCCTTTCTATATAATAAAAGTATAAATTTTCCAGGTGCCAACTTCCTCCAAAGCGTCTCCAAAAACATGGAGAACGAACAGAAAATAATTATTTTGATTGGAATATTCCATCAAATACCGGCCGCATCGCCGCGTTTTATTGACGTGCTGTGTCGGTTGATATTCCACACTGAAAAATCGTTGATGATAGAGGCGGCGTCGCCATTCAGAGATCCTCTTGTAAAGTTCTTATTGAGGTAAGGTTATAGAATTTCTCAGGAAATTGCTTTATTAAAAAAGCCTATATTTGATATTAATTTTTCTGCAACCATTAATTTATAAAGCTACCGAATATTACATTCTAGCTGAATTTAACATATACCAATAGGAGTTGATTATCATCAATTTTCAATATATTTGCAATTATCCCAGGTACCCTAAAGAGACGTTAGATCTAACAATGAGTGACAACAACATAAAAGATCAACAATGGAACCGGTTCCTAGTATTTCTCGTAAAGCATGAAGAAGCTGGTCCTGCCTTCCGGGAAACTCTTCAAACCACAAAGAAACCCAGATTGCTGCAGCTGCTAGCTGCTAACAACAGTGGAGCGACTGCAAACCTACCTCAAGCTGATAAGGCTGAAATGCAGTTCCAAGCTATCCGAGTGATAAGCTTACTTATTAAGTTCGACGATCAGTGGCTGTCCACACAGCATGATCTGATTGAGTTATTGAAGCGCATTTGGTGTAGCGATCAATATCATGTAAGTTTGATTTTATCCTAGAAATACCAAGAGAAAATTCTAAACATAGAAATCCGATGTTTCTTACTGTATGTTATTTCACAGGAAATTCACAAAAAAGTGGAGAATGTCGAGTGTAGCCATTGGAAAGAGCCAAAGCTGATCGTGAAGATTCTGTTGCACTACTTCTGCCACCACCCCTCCAACATTGATCTACTTTTCCAGCTGCTGCGAGCATTGTGTGACAGATTTATACCTGATTTCCAAGTATGTATTATTTACTTGAGTTCAGCAATTAATAAAAAATGTTATCATTTACACATTTAAATAAGTTTTAATATTTATCTTCTACATTACTTTTAATGCTTAACTAAACTTTCTTTTATTATTGGTCCTTTGAACCGGATATGATTCGCCAATTTTTTTTAGTTCCTTCGCGATTTTCTTGAGAATACGGTAGCACAGAACTATACCGTAGAATGGAAGCGATCAGCGTTCTTCCGTTTTGTTGAACACTTCTCCAGCGACGCGATGTCGCAAGAGTTGAAAGCGAAGGTCTTGCAAATGATTCTGATTCCATGCTTTGCGGTGAGCTTCGAGAAGGGGCAAAAGATCGTTGGCGGTCCGCCTGCGCCATACCAAGATAATCCAGATAATGTGGTGTCTGTCTTTATAAACAACGTAAGTACGAGCAAAATCTTTACAATATTTAAAAAGACACGTATTTTTAACACGAGGTCTTAAAAATTAAGTTTAAGCGAAATATTGGTTTGTAAAAGATCAATGTCTATCTTAATACTTATTTTTTAAAATAGGTAATTGATCCGGAGAACCCATTCGCATGTTCGGACGCAGTGCGCATATCGTTGTTGCAGTTTGCGTGTCTATTACTTGAACAGGCGTCTGCGCATATCCACGACGCTAATAATAAAAAGCAAGGCAATAAACTTCGCAGACTGATGACGTTTGCGTGGCCCTGTCTACTTGGCAAGAACTACGTCGATCCTGCGACTAGGTAACCTTTTTTTGTAAATATTTTGATTAAAATACCATACTGTATTGAATTGAAATGAAGTAGTTTATACACATTTAAATAAAGCGTTTTTAACGGTTTAAAGCGCGAAATATACGTTAAATATACTTTTTTAATAAGGTCCCGACGTATAATAACGTTTTGCAGAGACCGTGGTCAGGTGGGACTACCATTTCGCATTTTAAACAGTTTTATTATATCGTTTGATACATTAAAAAAATTATATGAATTTTACAGGTATCACGGACATTTGTTGCTCAGCCACATTATAGCGAAATTCGCGATCCATAAAAGGATTGTCTTGCAAGGTATGTTGTTTTTTATGTCATAGCTTGAAATTCATAAATTTGGTTTATGTATGTTGTAGAATTATCATTTCAGCGTATTCTTTCATAATTTCCGACATGTATATTTTTTTAAGTTACTTAACTAACTATCATTATTATTTGTTAGTTAGTAGCTAATTCCCAAAATATTTTCAGTATTCCACAGTTTGCTGAAGGCACATGCGGTGGAGGCTCGAGCGGTAGTGCGCGCAGCGTTAGAGATCCTAACACCAGCGATGCCCCAGCGCATGGAGGACGGTAACACGATGCTCACGCACTGGACCAAGAAGATCATTGTAGAGGACGGACATTCTGTGCAACAACTCTTCCATATACTGCAGCTTGTAGTTAGACACTACAAGGTATTTAATATATGTATATTTTTAAATGATCTACAAAAAAATATCTTAAACATAAACCTTATAAATAGACCAACGCGACATTCAAATAAAGTTTAAACATACAAAGTTACAATACGGCCGATGTAACTTGGCAGGCCTGATCTAAGCGCGAAACGCTGAGCAGAAACGTTCTTTAGGATGTTAACGGTGTTAAGAGCGAGGGACGCGGGACTAGTGATTGCTCAATGTCAACACAATCGACCGCTTATTCTATCAAATCATTAAATACTTTTATCATTATTGAACTACCTGATTTAGTTAAATATGAGTTATTATTTATATAATTACTATTTATACCTTCTTTAGGGCTTTTTATACAATTATATTTCTACCATCCAATTTTGTCTATTTCAATAGGAATCGATTAAACGACACTCTCAAGGTATGGACATCTCTATTTGGTTCTTTCGTAAAACTTCGTACTGATTCGGTAATGGTCGGTAAATAGTAGTGCGTCTCGGTCAAACCTTGGTGTTAATTTCGTTATCTCTGTCTTGAGCACATTCCGTTAGAAAAGTGATTGTTTATTATTGAATTTAATATTATTATTTCTCTTTTGTTTTGTCTCTGCATTTTAGTGAAAGATAAGTGATCGTAGCCCTTATTCTCTTTGAATCAAATATTGGTATGTTACTACACTTATTATTTAGGTTTTAAATTCTATGTTTTGCAGCTTAAGCAATAATGGATGCGGTTTAAATGCTTGAAACATGAGTATTTTTGCATTGTATTTGCTGAGATAGCTTTAAATAAGTTCAAAATGTATAACATTCAACGACATGGGCGGGAAGCCACAACCACAGCGAGCCGGATTGTAATCTATATTTATTACATCGTCGCTCTTTAGAAATACGAATAATATAAGGAGCTATATAATATTTTCAAAAACTTTTAGGTATATTACCCGGTGCGACACGCCTTAGTCGGTCACATGGTCACAGCGATGCAGCGGCTGGGGTTGTCATCGTCTGCCTCGATTGAACATCGCCGACTTGCTGTAGATCTTGCTGAGGTGGCACTCAAATGGGAGCTGCAGAGGATCCGCGATCATATGCCAGATGATAATATCGTGAGTGTATTAATTATTTGTAAATAGAGAGGTGCTTTGTAAGAGTTTTAAATTTTTTACTGTTTTGACGTTCATAAGTTTACGCTACCTACAGTAATAAATGATTTTTGATTTTGATTTCATGGCAAATTATAAATCGATTTTAGATTGAAAACAATTTACGACACGGGCAGGACTTAAACTAGCGTTCTGTGCTGTTGCTCTAAAGGCTAAACAATTGAAGCTACCATGTCCTATATGTCATCGTCATTACGTTATGTTGTATTATATGTTGTACTACTACTGCTCATTCTACAACCGTTAACTAAAATACAATTCTAAAGGACATCTAAAGTTCGTTCTTGTTTCGATGTTTATTTAACATTAGCTGATTCCGAATTCGAATTCAATTCGAACCAGTAATTCCTTAAATAAGATATTAAATCATCATCGTTTCTAATACACTCTTCAGATTTATAATATTAGTATAGATTTGTTTATTGTACGTGACTAAACAGCCATGTTAGTAAACTAAGCCTTTTTATTTAGGTGGCAACTTCACCGAGCGGTGCAATGAAACGTATATCTTCCGAAGATAATAGCAATGATGCCCGTAAAGCGCTGAACACGGGCTGGGCCAGTCCACAATCGACTACATCCAGGGAGCCAGACGCAGCAAAGCCGTTAGACCGCCAACACGTAGACGTGGTGGTCAATCTTTTGCTCAGACTAGCCTGCCAGGTAGCACATCTTATTATCTTGTTTATTTATTGGCATAGGTACTACCTATTATATATATATATTTCTTGAACCACACGTCCGAGTACGAGTCCGTCAAAAAACAATCAACTTTAATCAATCCATTTCATTTTTTTTACTCTTACGATGTCACTACAGTAGTTTTATTCAAATTGTCATCATTATTTTGTCATACTTATTTTCCTTGTTGTGTTTGTTTTGCTCATGCATTATTTTTGCAAAGTTGATGACCCCTTCGCAGGCGAATGAAGGGGCGGCGGGCGGAGCTACAGCTGCCGCGGGTGCAGCTAACGCTGCGGCGGCCAATAGCAACGCAGTTGTCGGCGCTGGTGTGAGTGGATCACCAGCAGAACAGTTGTCAAGGAGATGCGTACTTTTATTAAAGGCGGCACTCAAACCAGACGTCTGGCCTCATATCTGTGAACCCAAGCTCGCCTGGTTGGACAAGGTATTAACAAGTATTCAACTTACAACAACTATCTGATGCAACTCAAGTCGATATACTTTTAATGGTTCTAGGTTTTTATAGGTAGGTTTGTATGTCGGAAACAGACGCGCAACTGACTCTTTGACAAATCATAGTGACTTAATGTAACAGATAATCAACTTTGGCAGTTAAACATGACATACTTAACTTCAGAGTATATATGCCTAACTTCAGAGTGGTGAGAATCACCAAAATAACAAAATACTAAGTCACTGACATGCATTATTATTTAGTTAAGAACTTGCTAATGCTTGAACAAAGTAAAGAATTCATTTATTATTATTATGATTCTTAAAAAATCAATGTTTTAGGTGTTCACAAGCGTAGAGAGCAATGCCAACGCCTGTACGGGACTCGAGCTGCTCGTGTTCTTGCTAGGGGTGTTACGTCGTGACCAGATTCTAGCTGCCTTGAAGCCGCTCCACCGTGGCTTAACTGCTTGCGTGTCATCCACCAATCCAAAAATAGTGCGACTCACGCACAATTTGCTTGCCAAGCTTACATCGCTCTTCCCAACAGAGCCATCTGGAGCTGCGCAAGCGTCTAAGGTACGTATCTTATTATAGAGGTCCTGCTTGCATTTACTGAAATGGCAAGAATACGTTTTTGTATAGTGTTTTTTATCTAACTTGACGTTTGTGGTAACAATTTACATAAAATCCCAAGATTTACACAAAAGAACTTTGAGACACGGCATTATATATTAAACAAATAAAAATACATGAAATTCGCTTAGTAAAGAAAGAATTTCATAGTAAATTATTGAAAATTCTGAAAAAAAAATTAAAGTGAATGCACATATTAAAATTTCTTAAGTGTCATTTACATAGGGATGACAAAAACTACTTTCACCTTCTATTGTATCGACAATAAACAATAGATAATAAACTCATGCACGATTACTGAAAAGCGTTAGAAACGTCGAGTTAAATAATAATGACAACAATAATAATAAATATAAAAGGGCATTACTGGGTCTCTATGGTTTGAAATTGGTCATATTGAAATAAAACACTTTAACGGTGTAAAACGCGATATATTTGTTAAACTTATTTGAAAATGATTTTTAACTTCGGCCCGACGTTTGGGATGCTTTTTTTTCCCCATATTAAAAAAATTCTGGATCCCAATAAACTGCATACAGGCAAACGCGAAAACACCGTTAGTCAATTCTGTAAGGACCCGGCCAGTTTCGCCAAACACCAACTTCGACGGAACAGATGGCGCTAGCGTAGCAATTTTTTACTTTGACTTCAGAGACATCTTCCATCTTTAGTCTCCCCGTGACCACGGCTGCTGCAAAGCATCCAAAACGTCAGGCCGAAGTTAAAAATCATTTTCAAATAAGTTTAACTAATATATCGCGTTTTAAACCGTTAAAGTGTTTTATTTAAATGTGTACTACTCGCGTAAACTATAGACAGTATTTGGTCATATTTTTTGTGGTCTGGTAGTAATTTATTGCACAATTTTAAATTATATACCCCTGGTCAATATTTTCTAGGAAAATTTTAATAAAAAAATAAAGCATTTGAAATAATAATTTATCTTTTATTCTAGTATGAAGAATTGGAAACCCTCTACGCATGCGTCAGCAAATACGCATTCGAAGGTTTAGCTAACTATGAAAAATCGGCTCCCGGTGCGGGCGCTACCACATCACTTTTGGGGCCTCTGATGATGTTGAAGGTATGTTTAAGGTGCAAAAAACTGTGATAGAAAATTTCGTAGGTAAATATTTTCAATAATGAGGTACTTATTGCACCATATATTATATTCCCCTGTTCAGTTCGTTGAAGCACTAATATATAAATATTTTTTTAAAGATATATTGTTTCTTTTAATTACAACACTGTAACGGTTTCAGATGCTTTGTAATACGAGCCGTAGTTCAAGATAATTTTAAAATAAGTTTAATTGATATATTTCGCGTTTTAGACCGTTAAAGTGTTTTATTTAAATGCTACTCGCTTAAAATACAGTATGTTTTTTACAGGCTTGCTGCACTTCAAGTCCAGGGTACGTGGATAGGTTACTTCTACCGTTGATGCGAGTACTGCAGAGAATGGCGAGGGACCATGTGGCGCCAAACCCTGACAATGCTACCTCGGACTTGCTTGTAAGTTCTTTTTTAATTATTTAGCTTTACAACGTACTTGTAAATTCTAGTATTACATTGAAAAGGAAATCCATTTTCAGATTCTAGCATTGGACCTGCTTAAAGCCAGAGTCTCCGTAATGCCAGTTGAGACAAGGAAAACGTTTATTGGTACTATTCTCGTTGGCTTGATTGAAAAGACGAATGATGCGAAGGTAAATTTATTTCATTGCATAAGATTCAATTATATACATTTAAAATTGATTTACTTGTCGACTTCTTGTTCTGCAACTTTGTAAAAGTCACAGTCAACTTCACTCAGAAAGCTTACTGCTAAGTACAAATTTTTGCAATGATCTATACTAGTATTATAAATGCGAAAGTAACTCTGTCTGTCTGTCTGCTTTAACTCCGAAACTACTGAACTGATTAAATGAAATTTGGTACACAGATAATTTTGTGCCTGCAAAAAGACATACTACTTTTTAATGCCCAAAAAGTGTTAATAGGGGTTGAAAAAGGGTATGAAAGTTTGTATGGAAATTGGTGGTTTTTGAAGTTAAAACATTGGAACTTTCTTCTTTGGCTTTTTGTGAATAGGAGTTTAAGTGGGCTTGGGAGTAGAAGTTAGAGTAAGAGTGATGTGAGGTGAGAGTGTTGCGGCAAAGTAGCACTTACAACATAGATTGGCTGCCTCAAATGTGCCCTTACATAAATTAATAAACAGCCTAAATAATTAAAAATTCTACCCCAAGTTACTATTCCAGGTGGACAAAGTCGCGGGCACAGCTAGTTATTAATAAAAGACTATTCTATTCTTGCTAATAAAAGGCAGTTTTTTGTATTATTCTGACGATATTTTGTTTAGTTACTTTTGTAACTGACACATTGGTAAACCCTTCTATCTACAGCTACACATATACATGCAATATAATTTCCCAGGTAATGAAAGCAATTACTCGCATGGTTGAAGAATGGGTAAAACATCGCGGGGCAGTTGCTGGTACCAGTTCCAGTGCAGCTGCAGCGCCATCTCTGAGGGAGAAATCAATACTGCTCGTAAAGCTAATGCAGTACGTCGAAAAACGCTTCCCAGATGATCTAGAACTTAATGCGCACTTTCTGGATCTCGTAAATTATGTGTACAGGTAATTGTTTCTTGATATCACCGAAGATAGTTATCATAAAGGATGAAATTTAAAACTAAATCAGTAACTATATTTGATGACGTATTATCTGTTTGAATAAAACACTTTTATTACCACTAAATAAAACACTTTTAACTGTTAAAACGCTAAATGTATCATTCATTAACTACGACCCGATATCAACTAGTAAACTTGTTCGGGTGCTTAACAGCTTATCGGGTTTTAAAGGACAGAACAGGTGTTCTAATATATTATGCGTTTTAACTGTTTAATAGTTGTTGCAATAATGTGTACTCTGCGCGTAAACCACAGACAATACTCCATTAAAAATTAAGATTCAACTTATTTAGAATTTTATTTTAACTACGGCCCGACCTTCCATATGCTACGCAGCTACCGTGGACACGCCTTATAAACAATGTTTTTCAGGGATGAACAACTTAAAACAACCGAGCTGTCAATGAAATTAGAGCCAGCTTTCCTAGCCGGTCTGCGCTGTACCCAACCCCACATACGAGCAAAGTTCTTCGAAGTGTACGATGGCAGTGTTAAACGCAAGTTGTTCGATCGTATCCTCTACATCATTTGCTCGCAGAACTGGGAACATATTGGTCAGCATTTCTGGATCAAGCAGTGTCTGGAACTACTGTTGGTTACTTGTGTTTCAAGTAAGATTTCATTTTTTAATAATTTATATACAATTATAAAAAACAGATATCTCTAATACCTATTCAAACAAGGTTATTTAATTAAAAATAATACTAAATCATAAAAAATCGATAATAATACACATGTAATAATAAAAATTATGAATAAAACATTTGGCGCTAGCGTAGCAGACTGTAAAATTAGGGACGCCCTCCATCTTCAGTCTTTCTTGACTACGCCTGCTTCAAAGCATCCGCAACGTCTGGCCGTAGTAAAAAAAAGTTGACCAATTTTTTCCGCGTTTTAAACCATTAAATGTTTTATTTAAACATCAGTATAATATTAGTCTAGTCCCTGGTTTAAAAAGTCGTCAAGTTCAAACGCCGCTCGGGTTTAAAATCCACAAAGATTCCCGAACATCAAAAAGTCAAAATAGGTCGACAGGGCAATCTTGTAAAGATATTATAGTAACGCCGTGCTTGTCTGTCCTCTTTTATGGTAAAAAATATAATAAAGTTAATATTTCTTATATTTTCAGCTACACAAATACGTCTCTCAAATACAAAGTATCTCCTGCCTAATATCACAGCAGTTATCAATTGGGCCGATAGCGAAGAGCGAAAATCATTCGCGATATTCAGTAACATAAAAGAAGAGTCCTCTGATGGCTTCAGTGACTCCCTCGACCCTGACAAAGAAGACGTACTGGATATGGACCTTGACTCCAGTTCTAACACGAAGGATGATTTGACCAAAAACGTGCCTAACAGGTGAATATTTTTGTTAAACATGTTCTATGGTGGACATTTCTCTAAATCATTTAAAGAAGAATCATTCCATACTTTTCCCGTTTTCTGCATTTCCCACTATTTCTTTGCTCTTATCGTTGCCTTAAGTTTTAAAGCCTGAATGGTCCAGTTATTCGTCGAACCTATATTTCCTGAGATAAACGCATTAAAAAAACTCTTCAGTTATATAATATTAGTATAAATTATGTATAATAATTGTATTATACACATTATATTTTTCAGGCAACGCGGTTTAAATCAGTTAGTGGCAAAACAATCAGAATTTGTCGAGCTCGCGCGGCGCGTACGCACCGAACAGTTAGTTGCCGCGGCGGCTCAACTCTGCCACATGGACGATGCGCTTGCGCATCACACTTGGCTAAGGCTTTTCCCTAAGCTTTGGACTACCTTTGACGAGAGACAGTTGCCGGTAAGTCTAATCTTAAATAAATTATTTTTAAATACTTTTTGTAATTTACGCGAGTAGTACACGTTTAAATAACATACTTTATTTAACCGTTTATAAAACGAAAAATATATTAAACTTGTTTTCAAATTATTTTTAACCATGGACCTTTCCGACGCTTCGCAGCAGTCTCCCCGTGACCTGAATACCATAAAAAGAATTTGCAAACATGATTAACTAATATATTTGGTTTAAAACCGTGTTTTATTGAAATACATATTTTTTTCATGTTGTATCATTATCACGCCGAGTAAATGTGCATTGGCAGGATATTATAACTTACTTAGAATTTTACTTTCAACCAACAGCCCTTTCAACAACCCCTTTGATTTCTTTGTTGTAATTTCAAGACCAAAGACAGCATTAAGTAAGGTTAATTTTTGTTTCAGACACTTATGAGTGAGGTAGTTCCTTTTATAATATCTGGGATCCACGTGATCCAACGCGACCAGCCGCTGAGCGCACTCAACACGTTCATCGAAGCGCTAGCTCGTTGTAACCCACCAGTTACTTTTAAACCGTGAGTAAAATTTGCTCCTACATTTGTTTTTTGAGTGTAAATTAAAAAAAAACTACCGAGAATTAGACCATTGATCAAATATTAAACCAAAAAGGATTTTAGAATTGATCACAAAATTAAACATTACTTTTTATATTTAATGTTTTTTCTAGACAATTGTGGGCTTTTTTTATTACATTAAAATTCCTTCCATTTTTTAGACCAATGATGAAATATCTCGGTAAAACGCACAACTTGTGGCATCGTATGACGCTGAATATGGAGCAAATGGCTATAGATAACGCTTCGGGCAAGACCAGTCGCGAAGCGCTCGAGATATACGACTATGAAGTGGAAACCACTACTAATTCTGTAAGTTTTTACCATTATGTATGACCAAACGGTCATTAGTAGGGGACGTCATCGTCTGTCATCATAGATGGGCTCGTTTGTGTGATGGTAGTAAAGCAAAATATATTTAGTAATATCTTTAAATAAAATTAAGGTTTAAAACGCGATATATACACGGAGCATCTCAAAATCTAAGGCGAAGTTAAAATATTTTCAAATATTAAATTTCGGTTAAAAAAGGGACGATTTTCTAATCAATTTTTTATTTTTATGAAATATGTTGGGTTTGTCTGGAAAACTGGATATTGAATGGGTGGTACGAATATCGAAATTCCGTCCGAGTCACAAACAACCGTGCACAGATGAAACATCTATGAAGTTGAATTACGAATTGGTTTCAGTCCGTTTATTTCCGAATATCCAAAAGCCAAAAAAAACCTATCTTGTTAAGGTGTTGTATGGTTGGGGCATTTCACATTCCATCAAGTGAACCATGCCTTCATAAAAAAGTCAACTGATGGCTAAATGAAGTGAGAAGTTAACGCGCGTCGACAGTCTAGCCTAGACTTTAGCGCAGTGTCGATGTGTAGTGGCGGCAACTTAAACTTTGGAATTAAACCACCGAGCCAATAAACTGTCTCTTGTAACTGTTCTACGCTTCGTCCGTGGTGTTTGTGGTTTGAAGTATAAACTTTAGTCATCTAAAAAGCTTTCCTTAGAATACAACCTCTGGAATCGTCAGGTAATGGATGATAGGGAACACTATTTACACTATGCCTAATAAAATATTATACAACTATCCTCACTAAAAATGCCATTTTATAATTTCTTCACAAGTGTGTAAGTTCCCTCCCATCTGTAAAATCTGGACGTATAAGAATTGCCTTTGTTTACAGGAGATTTTGGATTCACTAAGCGACATGTACGAACTATTGCAAGAGGAGGACATGTGGTCCGGTTTGTGGCTGAAACATGCGCGGTACCGCGAGACGAACGTCGCTATAGCCTATGAGCAGCAAGGTTTCTTTGAACAAGCACAGGTATTTAGTGTTACAATGTTGTATTATAAAAAAACTAGATTTTATTCATATATGGCATTACACAACCAAATAAGTAGGGGAGTAGTATACATTTAAGTAAAACACTTAAACGGTTTAAAACGCAATGTATATTAGTTCAATCTTGTATACAAATAATCCGGGAATCGTCGGGCCGTAGTTAAAAATAATTTGTAAATAAGTTTAACTAATATACTCGCGTTATAAACCGATAAAGCGTTTATTTTAATAATTACAACTATGCTAAATTTGGATGATCTCTGCATAAGAAAGCTATAGTTATGGGTAAATGTCAGAATTGATAAATTTTTCTCCAATACTTTGTTGCATACTTCAAGACTAGCATAATTTGTTTTTAATTTTAGGCGGCGTATGATGTTGCTATGGCCAAACTGAAACAGGAATACGCCGCTAACCCATCCTCGTACAACATGCACAAAGAATGCTCCTTATGGATGCAACATTGGATCAAATGTTCCAAAGAACTGAACCAGTGGGATTCCTTGCTGGAACTAGGTATGACCAGGAATATAAGGGATCCGTTCTTGATACTGGAGAGTTCGTGGAGAAATCCTAATTGGCCAACTATGAAGGAAGCTCTGGCTGAAGTGGAATATAACTGCCCTAAGGAGCTAGGTAAGCTGGTTCTGATCTTGTATGAGACCAGTCAGCGACTTATTTTATTTGTTTGTATATGTTTTCAGTTCTATATATCTTTTGCAAATTTCTTAAGTGAAAAATAGCAGATATATAGATAGCTTAAAATTAATGTTGTTTACATAATTAAAAAATAAAGGTGTAAAATAAAGTATCAATCGGTTTGACGGGTCTAATGGTCTCGTTGGTCTAATGGTAGCAATGCATGGCTTATAATCAACGCGTGGGTTCGATCTCCACATTTCACCTTCCATTAAGTGAGTGCCATACTTGTCTATACTCTATAATTAAAAAAGAAGGTTGAAAAAATTCAACGACGACGTGTAGGACACGGTAGCTTAATTGGATGGAGAGACAGCCCAGAACGCTGAGGATTCGTAAATTTTTTCATTTTAATTCGATTTTTAGTTGAAATCGGTATTTATTATTGTATTGTTATACTGCATTTTGCGTTAAACCGCAAAGCGATTCATAAAATCAGCTGATAGTCGTTTCCTCGCTTACATATTCTTAAAAATCTATCTGTTTAACAAATTATTGCATAGCATAATCAATTTTTCAGCATGGGTAGTAAATCTCTACCGTGGCTATTTGTGTATATGCGCGGGCGGTGAACAACAGCTAGGAGGTGTAGAGCGCCACGCGGAAGCAGCGGCGGCGCAGTGTCTACGCGAGTGGAGGCGTTTGCCTCGGCTGGTGTCGCATGCGCATCTCCCTCTACTTCGCGCCGCTCAACAGCTAATGGAGCTTAGTGAAGCTGCACAGATACACACGGTACTTAAGATTATAGAAATATTTTAGAATACAAAATGTAATTACATATAAAATTTCGTTCCAGTTCTGTTACCAGCATTAAACGTATTGTATTGTAAATGAAAGTAAAATATATTTTTTTAATTGTTTTTAATTTTAATTACCAAGTGCATATTTTAGCTTTTTAACTCATTCATTATTGTCAAATGTGAAAAGGTTGCTTTAGTTTTTAAAATTGTTCACTCACTCAAATATTCCATACCCATATGTTGGTATTACACATTTTATGTGTACATTGTTGCTTAACAGGTGAATTATATGGAAACTTTTATTATAAGCATCGAAATCTAATCTTGTAACAATTATCTTCTCAGGGTTTGGTACACAGCCGGCCAACATCACTACATGATATGAAAGCAATAGTCAAGACTTGGCGTAACCGATTACCGGTAGTGGCAGACCCACTATCTCACTGGGGCGCCATCTTTACGTGGCGCCAACACCACTATCAGTTTATAGCTTCTCATTACGACTCGCAAGCCGACCATGCGTCCAATCACAGCATGCTAGGGGTGCATGCTAGTGCGCAGGTAACATCAATTTAATTTTAAAATGGATATGTATATGAAGCAACTTGAAATTTTTTGATTCTTATATATTGCATTATATAAATTACGTCTATATAGATGGAAAAGATTTAATGGCGGGACTTAAAATTACTTTACTTTTTGATATTATTAAAATTTAATTTATAAAGCAAACTTAATAATTTATAGTACCGCTTTTTATTGTGTATCATTAAGTGTGTAATTATGTATATTTATGTAGATAGCAGTATTTAAAATTTGAAAACCAAAACTTTCTGTACTTAAAAAATGAGCAATAATTATAAACATTTGTTTCTTAAGCTTACCTAATCATGAATGTTTTAAGGCAATAATACACTTCGCGAAGATAGCGAGGAAGCACAACTTATCCGGTGTATGTCTGGACTCTCTCCATCGAATCTACACCATTCCGAGTGTACCCATAGTGGACTGCTTCCAAAAGATAAGACAGCAGGTCAAGTGTCACATACAAATGTCGTGGACGGAGGGGAAGGACGAATTGCAAGAGGGGCTAGATATGATCGAGTCGACAAACTTCAAATATTTCACAAAAGAAATGACTGCTGAGTTCTACGCGTTTAAGGGGTTGCTCCTGGCCCAGTTGGGGCGGTCAGAAGACGCTAATAAAGCCTTCGCGGCGGCGGTACAGCTTCACGATACCCTGGTGAAGGCGTGGGCCCTCTGGGGTGATTACTTGGAGCAGATATTTATTAGGGATCCACGTCAGATATCTGCCGGCGTTTCTGCTATGACGTGTTTCTTGCACGCGTGTAGACACCAGAATGAATCCAAGTCGCGGAAGTATTGTGCCAAGGTTGGTTATGTTAAATAATTCTGTGTTAAGGTTGAGTGTATAGTTTTTGGCTCTACCTAACTCTAGATTAACCTATCAATAAGTAAGGTGCAATAAACCAAACATATAAGGATCCGGTCAATTTATGTGCCTAAAGGAATTACAACTATTACTTATTGGCTGTAGTCAAAAATCCTATCGTCATACCATTATATTTAGTTTTTTTTTTACTTAATATATATATAATAAGTTTTTTTTTTGTAAAATCTTTATGAGCTCACTTTTGCAGTTGTCTTTTTATAACAATTAAAAGAAAATATGTCATCTTATTCACTATTTTCTAGGTATTGTGGATGTTGAGTTTCGATGACGATAAGAACAGCCTCGCAGAAGCATTGGACAAGTACAGTGTAGGAGTACCCCCAGTGCAGTGGCTGCCGTGGATTCCGCAGTTGCTCGCTTGCCTCGTTCAGTACGATACTAATGTGATACTCAATCTGCTAAGCCATGTAAGTGTCGTTCATATTTTCGTACGTAAAAGAACACCGCAAGGTTGGCATTGCCACTTTAGTACACGATTTACAGCAAAGCCGGTCGGAGTTAAATTACGTAGATAAAGGTTTCTAATATATTACGCGTTTTAAACCGTTCAGTGATTGAATCAAATGTGTACTAGTAGCGTAAACTACATGTATTACTTAATATTTCCTTTTTTGACTTTAAACATAACTTACATTTACACAATTATGTTATGGCAAAATATTTAATCGTATTTAATTATATAGGTAGAGCAATTTCAGTTACTATGCCTTAACTATTAATTGAAAGTACATAGTATGTTATATGATTTATAGACTTAAGTCTAACTTTATATAATTAGAATTAATAATATAAAAAAATAATTTTATATTTTTAGGTGGGTCGCTTATATCCTCAAGCGGTGTACTTCCCGATCCGTACCTTGTATCTCACGCTGAAGATTGAACAACGCGAACGATTCAAGACTGCAGAGATCTCGGGCCATCTGCCTGGCACATCGGCTGTATGTGTTATTTAATTTTATAATAAGGAAAAAATCTTTATTTTACTTTTTGGAAAAACATTTTTTTTATTCGATAAGAGTTTTATAAATAATGGATTTTATTTTTAAAAATATATTATTTTATTTTAGATTTGTATATTGATTGAATGGCACCTAAGGTAACTTACTTTGTAGATGTTTAGTAAATACTTATTACACAAACTTTTGCATTTTCAGACTAAACCTGGCGAAGGTGGTTCAACTCCTAATAGTACCACTAGTGGTAGTTCTACCAGCAGTGCGGTGACTGACGTTAGTCCAATTAAGGCAACCCTGCCTATGTGGCGGTGCTCAAAGATTATGCAGCTGCAACGAGAGATACACCCCACAGTATTATCCTCACTGGAAGGCATTGTTGATCAGGTATACAAAATCTTTAATTAAACGATGTTAACCTATGAGTTAATACTACAAAAAATTAAGTTCAGCGCCTTTAGCGTCAAAATAGAATAACGTCTTGATAATGCGCTATATAAAATTTTCCTGTCATAGTGTTAGTTTCTATACTCTGAAATGGCTCCATCAATTTAATCAAACTTTATATGTATATTGAGAAGCTCTGGGAGTAGATTACTATATTTTTAATACACCAAATTGATAAGGGTTGTCCGACCTTTGACGTCTTTTTAAAAAAGTTGGTTTAGTAATGTGATAATTTTTAACCCCGATAATTGATCATTGGATAAGTTATTCCCCCCAAGCGGTTTCACTTCTCGCTCAGTATACAGCACGTAGTAGATTTTAGACTGATACTTAATTACACATTAGAAAACAATATTTAGCTGGTTAGCTAGTGTAATATGTATAAAGTTATATTTTACAGGAAAGGAACAACAATAAATAATTCTCGTTCGCTATTTATCATAACTAGATGGTGTGGTTCCGAGAGAACTGGTATGAGGAAGTTCTTCGTCAGCTACGCGCCGGTCTCGCCAAGTGTTACGTGGTTGCGTTCCATCACCGCGCGTCGGTGGGCGTGGCCACGGTTACGCCCCATACGCTCAATTTCATCAAGAAGGTCGTCTCTACGTTCGGCATCGGCGTTGGAATGAGTAAGTCCTTTTCTAAGGGGATGACTTTTATGGTAATATTTTGTGCTATGAACAAATACTGTTAAAGGTTTGGAACTACACAGAAAACTTTTGGAAACATTTTCATGAAATCAGTAATATCATCTCTTCGGCATTTTAAACAACTTGTTAGAACGTTATAATGTATTTGTTTATAGTTCTGTAGTTATAGAAATTTAAAAACAATAATGAAAATAGGTAATCTTGTGAAAGTTCTTTTTTAAAATTACTTAATGGTTTATTTATTCAATTTGGTACCAACACTAAATTTACAAATAAAATAATTGAGTATGCGTCTAATGTCTATGCTTTAAACTATAATCCTAATTATGATGTCGGAAATTTTTAATATTAGAAGGCTTCTATTAGCTTGATATAAATCTAAGAGACCTTCCAAAGGATGGATGTTGCTGATATCATAATACATAAGTAAAAAATAGACATCCAGGCTATATAATAATAACTTATGAATTGTAAACTAGATAACCCAATAATTTAGCACACAATTGCTTAAATGTAAGAACACACTATTAATACACTTTTATTTTAGATTTATCTGTCGCCGTAGAGAGACGGTAAACAATGTTGAGTTCGTTAATTATTAGTTAAACAACCATCACATGTAATAGCAAAATACGCAAATCGTTAGCGAATTATTTTTATTTATTGATATTTTATCTTCGTTCTCGATTTAACTTATCGCTTGATAACAGCCTCTTTCAGTTCCCTGGTATTGCATTGTAACCAGATATCGACTCGTAACACATTGTTATTGGTTAGGTGCAATAAGATCACGTACCACGTGACACCATTGATTACCAGCTTTCGATTCATGTAGCTATAGACGACCCATCTTGCCACTACCGCAGTTACTGGTCTCGAAATCATGACAACATTTGCATCCTCACATTGTTCTCAAAATATCAGATCGTTTAGCACTTATAATATGATCTGTGATTTCTTTTTCATGCGGCTTAAGCAGACATTTTAAGTAGGTATATTAAATCAAATGTTGCATTGACAACTCGCTTGCAACTTTCGATTTAATTTTTTTAAATTGATGTTTTATTCATCTTAAATATGAATGTGAACCCGCATCTTCCCACCGATTCGAGACGAGTCGTCTTCGATGGTCCTTTATGTTAGTAGTGATCACTGGAGATGTGTAACGGTTTTTATGTTATTGCTATGCGATTTGTTTTCTTCTACATTATGTTGCGCTGGTACACGGTACGGTTAAGTGGAATGAGCTTTTTATGGGATGATATTAAGTGTCGTTTGGTCGATTGGCTAGTGCGAGCGTCTATTTACACACACTCCATTTTCTATGTCTACAGAAAGTGTTACAAGTTCTGTAAGTGGTGCATTCTCTTCAGCTGCATCGGAGAGTATCGCGCGGCGCGCGCAGGCCACCGTCCAGGACCCGGTCTTCCACAAGATGAAGACTCAGTTCACTGTTGACTTTGACTTCACACAACCCAATGCTATGAAACTACAGAATCTCATACAAAAGCTAAGGAAATGGGTCAAGATCCTCGAGGCTAAAACGAAGGTTTTACCCAAGTGAGTAGTGGCTGTTAATAACGCTTGGTTATCTTTATTTCCTTAGTATCCTTTCTAGAATCATGATTTGAGAACGGCTTGTATATGGAAAGAGCTTTATACTACTTACCTAACATGTATATCATTATGTTTATTTTTTCTAGAGCAAAGTAAAGCTCTTTCTTCAATAATTCCGTCACAGTTAAAGCTATCCGTCTTTGGAACTCTCTCCCCACTAATATCAGAAAAGCTCAATCACCTCCTGTTCTTTTAAGAGTCTGTTGTATAAGTTTTACGTTTCCAATATTTAAGTTAGTTAGTTAGTTAGTTAGTAGTAGTAGTAGTAGTAGTTAGTCTCTCCTACTCGTTGTATGTACTTTCACTGTGTACCTTGATATTCTTTGTTATTCCTTACCTACCTACCCACGAAATTTGTTTTTTTTTTTTTTCCTGTACTTCAGGTTGCCTGGAAGAGATCGCTGCTTAGCGATAAGGCCCGCCTTTTATTTATAAGGAAAAAACTTATGTGTCTACATAAGATGTTTCCTCATTTATGTGTATTTTCTGTGGTGTGTTTTATAAATAATAAAGCAATAATAAATAAAATAAATAAATATTGGTAATTATTTTTCCACACACACACTAACCGTCTAAAATTATGGTAATCCTTCTAGATCATTCCTGATCGAAGAGAAATGCAGATTCCTATCGAACTTCACGTTGAAAACAGCTGAAGTGGAATTGCCCGGCGAGTTCCTTCTCCCGAAGCATACTCACTACCACGTGAGAATTGCACGATTTATGCCGCGCGTCGAAATTGTCCAGAAACATAATACTTATGCCCGAAGGCTCTATATCCGTGGGCATAATGGAAAGATCTACCCATACCTCGTGGTCAATGACACTGGCCTGGGCGAGGCGAGGAGGGAAGAACGGGTTCTTCAATTGATGCGCATGTTGAACCACTACCTGGGCAAGCAAAAGGAGACTTCTAGAAGATTCCTCCACTTCACAGTGCCGAGGGTAGTTTCAGTTTCTCCCCAGATGCGCTTGGTTGAGGATAATCCTAGCTCTCTATCGCTTTTGGATATCTACAGAACTGAATGTACTAAGAGGTATGTAAAGTCTATCAAGAGCTAACTATAAATTTGATAAAGTACTTTTATGTTCCATAAACATAATATTTGTCTACCTAACCCACCTAAAACTATTTTATTAAAATACTTAGTCGAGTTTTATTATACTCATCTTTAAATACTGTCTATAGTTTACGCGAGTAGTACACATTTAAATAAAACACTTTAACGGTTTAACAACGCGATATATTAGAAACTTATTAAAAATGTTTAACTTCGGCCCGACGTTTCGGATGCTTTGCAGCAGCCGGGGTCACGGGGAAACATTCACTTAAGTTTAACTAATGATGAGACGTTTCAACTGCCAAAGTGTTTTATTTAAATATCTACTCTCTTTTTTATTACTTATTTAAATAAAACTTTAACGGTTTAAAACGCGACATATTAGTTAAACTTACTTATTTGACAATGATGAGACGTCGGGCCGAAGTTAAAAATCTACTTTACTACTACTAAGTTAAAATATAATAATAATACGCTACTTGGTAACTTCAAAGGGGCCTGGAGTATGACGCGCCCGTGATGAGATACTACGAGCGCCTAGCTGCGGTACAGGCGCGCGGATCTCAGGCGTCGCACCAAGTCCTCAGGGATATACTGAGAGAGGTAACTTAAATCAACTTATGGCAGAGGACAGGCAAGCATGACATTCACTTGGTAAACTGTCTAATACCACAGCCATATATCATCTAAATAAGATGTTCTGTCGATATATTTCGCCTTAGAACATTCGAGAAGGGTTAGACATATTGTCAATAGTCTAAAAATACAGCTGTAGACCTTTTGTGTAGATTGTTATAAATCATGGGCTTGAAATCTGTTTTCCTCTATGGGAGGCCCATTTTAGGTTATTTTTATTTAAAGCCAAGTAGGTGATAGTCTTTTGTATCCTGTTGGAACAAAATTATTGTTTCCCCGGGATTGGAACTCACAACCTATATATATTAGTAATTCGTACAAATTGTATGACTTTCCCAAAATGTGGTTTACTTTGACTATATAATTAATTGCCTTTTAAAAAATCGATTTTCAATTGAAAGAAGTATCGATACTCTCGTTGTAGAACAACAGCAAGGGACGCTGTGGACGCCGGTTCGAGTCCAGCCCGTGTCGTTAATTTTTTTCTATAAATATTAATTATTGCACATGCTGGCACTATATACATTAAAAATCGATTTTTATCTAATGTTAATGTATTTTTTGAATGTACTCTTATTGTTATAAAACTTCTTTTCTAGGTACAATCGACGATGGTACCACGCGGTATGCTCCGCGAATGGGCTCTGGCCACCTTCTCAGCTCCCACCGACTATTGGACCTTCCGCAAGATGCTGACGCTCCAGCTGTCTCTAGCCAGCTTCGCAGAGTACGTGCTGCACCTCACAAGACTGAACCCGGATATGCTTTATGTGCACCAGGACTCCGGCCTGCTGAATGTGTCATACTTCAAATTCGACATTGATGACACGACTGGTATGACATCCCTTGAAAGCTTGTATTAATGAAGGTGATAACAGATTTCTTAGCAAAATATGCACTGAATGCCACTCCCCTTAGTATTGGTTATATTAATCCTTTTTGCTGTTCTTTCATGTGCAAATGTACGGTTATCAAAAATGCATACAGTTCGTGCATTGTTAACAAATGTGCGATCACCTTTAAGAATTTTTTTTATTTATAATCAAGAATTTTATCTATATAGTAAGCATTTGGCAAAAAGTGCACCAAGAATTCAATAATTATCTTTATTTAAGAAACATTACGGTAAAGTTGCTATAGGTATTTAAAAATTGTTTTAACTACGGCCCGACGTTTAAATGATATATTTCGCGTTTTAAATCGTTAAAATGTTTTAGTTAAATGTGTACTACTCGCGTAAAGTGTAGACAGTGTTTGACTGTGTACATACTCTAAACCATAAAAAGAATACTTCGTCTCTGCTATCAGTATCCTGTTTTTTTCAGCTTTTTTAGCTGCCAAGATATATTTTTTAGCTAAACTTTTGTTCAGCAAAAATTTCTCCGATTACATGTTAATTACAAACGATATGTTTCTGAAATTACTCCCTTTTTTAAGTTAATAAAATAAATTAAATTTTAATTATTTTGATACATACTTTATGACCTAGGTCATGTGTATGTATATGTGTTGTGTCGTATCTATATAATTTTTTACTGTCATTTGTTTACAAGAGGCAAAATATAGAGGTTGTCTCAGTTTGTGAACGCAAAATATATTTATTTAAATCAAAATCGATTTTAGAATATATTATATATGTATATATACCGATATAGTATATCTTTTTTGTTTGAACTACGATCCAACGTTTGCGATGTCTTGCAGCAACCGCGGCTGTGAGGCTAAAATATGTTCTCTGCGTTCGTTGGTTTCCTAAATTTTTTTTCCTTCCTTAGCTAAAATGTTTCACATTCTCGTCAAAACTCCATAATTACGACAATTATCGTATATAAATTTTATTGCACTTATTTATAACGATATACGGAATGAAAACCGCGCGATTATTACTCCGATATTAAAGTTCTTAAAAGCATAAAGATTAATGGAATCCAACCAGCCTTGCATTCCATAAACAAGTTTGCATTTTTTTATTTCTTTTGCATAGACCGTGTCCGCTTCGTTAATAAATGTATTTAGTCTTCATACGCTAATAATAATGAAGTGCCTTTCCAGGTCTAATAATAAAGTACATTTTTAATAAGAGACGTTAAAGCCCTAACGGCTTATAAAAAATACTTACAAGAACTGCGGAATCTTGGTTTAACTCTTAAACCATAGTCTAAATAAATCTAAGTTACTACCATAATTAGTCCAGTACAAACGTTAAACTTGGTTTTGTAATACGGATTTCAAATAAACCAGGGTTTTAACCAGCTTTGAGAGTTAGTCCTTGTTTTGTAATAAGAGTGCCTTCTGGGACGTCTGGATATTAATTGGTGATAGGAATATCGAAGTTCCGTCCAGGTCTGGAACCAACGTCCACAGATGTAACGTTATGAAGTGAAAATCTTTCCATTTCCGTTTAAGCTGTGGATTAAATTTCGCAACCAAAATTGTCGACAGCAATCAAAGGGTAGCTTTATACTCTATATTCGAAAAGTGAAATCTAGATTTCCTCCTGGGGCCTGGGCCGAACACTTTTTGTTAAAAGATTAATAATATAAAACGTTACTTATAATTACTTCCAGGCAAGACTTGGATAAGATTTCTATGGCCGGCCGAAACTCTATTATTTAACGGGGGGATTCGAATCCAAAATCTCTCGCGCTTAAAGCAATACTTGGCAACACGTTTAACTACCTAGATACTATTTCTTACATACTTATAGTTAAAATAGCATACGACTTATTTTGGAGCGAATTATTATGTATGAAAAATATATTTACAAACGATAATGCTATCTATCCAACACATACTAAACAAGTTCATAAACCAGAAAAACTTCTTGACTTCGTTTTGCGTAAAAGATCTCCAATAAAATCGAGATACTTTAATTAGTATACAAGTATCTTAGCCGGATGTATGCGCAATAACAGGCACGATAGATCAATTAAGTCTTAATATGAAAGCCATAAAAGCTTATAATGTTGTTTTTATCTTATTTCCATGCATAGAGATGAAGTTTTATAAGAGAAACTGTTTTTATAATTTAATCCATTCAACTCAATATTATCTATTGTAATATACATATTCAAAGATGTAGTTTTGAGTAGTGTATGCGGTGTGCGCGAGTAGTAACGCGAAATATATTAGTGTCAGATCATAGTTAAAAGAGGTTAACCAATAATTCTTGAGTTTTAAACCGTTAAAACTGTTTTATTTAAATGTAGTATTAAAATCATTATTATTATTTTTAGTTATAAACTACATATAACTTTTAGACGGTATGAATATATTTATAATATACGCGTTTTAAACAAGTAGAGGGGTTTTATTTTAATTATTGTACCAAAAAAATACTTCTAATGTCCATATTTAGTCTTTAACACTATGAAGACTTTCCCTTCGGATTAGGATCGTTCATTACAATTATAGTCATATTGTAATATTATATATGTATTAATAGATATCTTATAATATTTTATTTGTTCGCAGGAGAATTGGACGGCAACAGACCAGTGCCCTTCCGACTGACACCAAACATATCTGAACTGTTGACGAATATTGGTATCACGGGGCCGTTCACTGCCTCCGCTATCGCTGTCGCTAGGTGCCTCGTTACACCTAACTTTAAGGTACACAATTAATAGTATATAGTGTTTTGTTAAATATACCTAGGACTAGGGATAGATTGGGACTGAAATTCCTTTGGTTCAACTCTTTGAAGCTATAATTAAATTCTAATGAGGCCGTGTATGTGAGATATATCGTTCGATATCGCGTTTTAAACCGTTAAAGTGTTTTATTTAAATCTGCAGCATAAATAAACATTGTTATAATGTAACATACAATTTGGCTGAGATTTATAAAGACTCAGCTGAGCTGTAATTTTTGAATAACAAAAACTCGTTTTTAAGTATGCAGCTTCCTATATGTGACTTTCAAAAAGGTTAAGGTGACAATAAAGTGAGTTTTGACATTTAAGCTTTTACGGCGTTGCGTTTTGATGGAAGTTTTGAATAATGCAAAATGTTAATTGAATTTCCGCTGATTTATTAGAGGTTTCATTGTTTAATTATTATTTTTTAATTAATTATTGAAGAGAATTGTGGTGCCTAAAATTTGTAGTTTAATTTTGCATATTTTCGACATTGTTAGTGTTGTAAAAGCCGAACTTTACAAATATGGTTGCTTTAATTTTGTATTAATTCAATCCGGTATGGTTTATAACTCAAATTTCTGTAATAAAATACAATTCATAGTAGACCGTTTCAACTAAGGCTAATAGTTTAAAAATAAACAAGAAACAGATGAAAATATAAAAAAAAGACATCAAAGTAGAGGTTCCCTGTATATTATAGTACAAAGAAATGATAGCAATGTTACAAATATCGTTATGCGAAAATTTGTAAATGTACCGTTCATATGTCTTGACTGATTTTGATTAAATTTTGGCTTATTATCATGGAAAACAAAGATTACCTTTCCACAAAGTAAGATTTCGCTGAAAGATTGTTTCCACGAAATAAATAAACGCGTGTTATATTAAGCAATGAAAAAATACCATTTTAATATGTATCTTCGTTGCTAACCATACTTCGAATCGATGTCACCCAAAACAAAGTACTTAGTAATGTACTGTAACTATTATATATATAAAAAATCAACTTTGGTGAATGTAAATAAAACGCGATTTGATACACGAAATATATCAGGTAACTAAGCTCTAAATTTCACTCAAGTCACTACAATTCCAGTAAATACACTATATAAGTATCCAACAGCATATTAGTTAAGGTTTTCCCGTAAAGTACACACATTTAATATAAGTAAATAATTCTTAAAATTGTCTTTACATTACACCTATTTATAATATTCGTACTAATTCGATCTAATTTACAGATACAGTCGATACTTCGTACGATACTCCGCGACGAAATGATAACCGGTTACCGGAAGCGTTTGGAGGACAAATCCGGTGTCTCCACACCCGGAACATCCACAGACAACAAATCAACAGAGATAGACAACGAGACGATCGTCAACATGGTGAACAAGTCTGTGACGATGATCATGAACCGGCTCAACTCTCTCGCCCTGTTCGATGGACCGGATAGCAAAGTCGCCACTTTAGTTGCAGCAGCCAACAGCCACGATAATCTGTGCCGGATGGACCCTGCGTGGCATCCATGGCTTTAAGTATTTTCTTTTGCTGTTGGGTAGTTGAGAAATTTTCAAAATCGTCTGTCGCCAGTTCATGTGTTTGTGGACGGCCAACTTTTAGTTTAATACCTTCATCTTTTGATGAAAGAGCCGTTTTGGTTAGTCCGCTGGTTTTTATGGGGACTCGAGTTTTTGATGAAGAAATCGCAAAGAAACCGCCAGATCCTAGAACCAAAAGTTTGACAACATGACAGACATATTTAAACACTTTTAATGTTTTAAAACGCGAAATGTATCTATACTAACATATAAAGCTGAAGAGTTTGTTTGTTTGTTTTTATGTTTGAACGCGCTAATCTCAGGAACTAGTGATTTGAATTGAAAAAAATATTTTTGTGGATTATCGAGAAAGGTAAGATAGGTTATAAAATCATCGTGAAAAAAATCGGGGAAAAATATTTATGCTTATGGGTTTCTGTTGCGTACGCTTCAAACACAAATTCAAGATACCCAATAAATGTTTATGAAAAAACGATTTTAAACTCTTTTAAAATCCGCGACAATATATGTCTATCTTTTAAGATTAACTTGCAAGAACGACGGGACGCGGACGAAGTCGTGGGTAAAATCTTAAATTTATGAAGATTTAGATTAGGTTTGCAAAAACAAATAAGAATGCCCAAAATAACTATTCTACGCGGAAGGAGTCGCTGACTCAGCTAGTTAGTATTTATTTACATTTTGTAATTTCGCCCCGTTGTTTCTAACGCTTTGCAGTAGCTGTGGTCACAGGGGGACTAAAGATGAAGGTTATTTCTAATGTCAAAGTCAAAATGGCACTAGCGTAACAGATTTTAAATAAATGACGTTAAATGAATTGTGAATAAGTTAACTAATACACTTCGCGTTTTAAACCGTTAAAAGTGTTTATTTTTAATATTCACTACGCACGTGAACTACAAACTTAACATGACAAGTGTCAACATGCAAAATTGCAGTTATAAGACTTGCGTATAAGACAATTAATTCTTATACAATAAATTGGTATAAGACAATTAAAGGACTGATTTTAACATACCCTATTCTTGGATTTATAAAGGTCCCGGGTTTTTATAGGGAAATTGTTTCGCTTCGGGGGGACATTTGACTGTCGATCGCTGTAGTGATCAGTGAAACGGACATATAGAGGTGTATCTGCCCCCATGCCCCACTTGGGCTCGGGGTTTATTATTATTGTTATTAAAATCTATCGTTGTTAAGGATTTTAATTTTTATACGATGTATCATTTTAATACGTCGCATAAGGTACTATTTAGTATAAGAATGCAAGAAACGACTAAACTATTCGAGTTGTGCTTGTAAGACTGTGATCTCGTGTATAGAAAGAAATAAATGAAATTGTGTGAAACAGATTTATGTATTTATTGAGGAACTATTTACTCACACTAGACCGAGCTGTCTCTTATTATAAGTAAAACTATTATAACAATTTCTTAGTTACAAGAAATGTACGTAATGTACTAAAGAATCGACGAAATCTAAGCAAAAATAAATGAATGAAAGAACCCGTTTATTATCACAAAGTACACAACTTACAACTAAAATGAATGATAAAAATAAAACTTAAAATTATAGTAATTAAGTAATATATTTACTTAGCGATGGTGTCTTAACAAATTATTGCTAAGATATAGTGTCTCCTACAATACAAAAAAAACGAGTTTTTTTATTTAAGAAAAATGCTTTAACTGTTTAAAACGCGATATATTTTAGTTAAACTTGTTTGAAAATTATTTTTAAATTCGTTAAAACGAAACGGCGGGCCTGTAGTTAAAAATAATTTTCAAACAAGCTTAACTGAATTATCGCGTTTTAAACCGTTAAAGTGTTTTATTTAAATGTGTACTACTCGCGTAAACTACAGACAATATGTAAGTTTTTTTATTACAGATATACAAATATAGTTTGATTTGTGTAAGAAATCAGCGGAGTATTCGTTCACTTTCATTCACTTGTGCAACAAGCGCTATTAAGGAATGCTCGATAGTAAAACTGATTCTCACAAACAATAGAAAGAAAGCCTCACAATACAAGGTACGTCTTAGACTACAATCTCGGTTGAACTTAAGAAACAATAGCGATTACAAATTGTGCATAAGAAATTCCGATGAGAATTTACGAACCTTTGTGGGGAGGGTAATGGTCTGTTTTTCTACGGCCGTGCTTATATTTTGACAGACTCCTCGGTCCAATAGCAATGTATGAAAAAAACTTAGAATGCGGGTTCGGTTCCCATTGGGTACACATTGGTGATTTTTTTACTTTTTACAAAAAGTTAAAAAAATAATTGGTGGTGCGAAAACCTTCATTTCGTGTTCATGAAAAAAAGCAATAAATTGTAAATAAGTCCTTCCGAAAGTCCGAAAAATAATAGAGAGTTCTCTAGATTTTCCTGTCACGAAAACAATACTATTTTTTGGACTAGTACTAAGGATTACCTAATCACTAATGTAGCCTCAAATTGAGGAAAAAAAGTAGCGATGTAAATATCGAACAGATAGACAGGCTTTGGGAGTATAGATGAGAGGGTAACAGGTCCTCATGAGGCTGGCTGGTTGCTAAGCGAGCGGGTGTCGGCGGGGCGAGGGACGCGGCGGGCGCCACGTCGCCGCGCCGGGCCCTAGCCCCCTCGCCCCCCGGCACTCGCCCCGCCACTGCCCGGCCCGTGCTCCGTGCCTCAGTCCGCCTCAAGGCGTCTTTTTCACTGACCGTGTGTCGCGCATCCTCGCTAACCCATTGCAAGTGGTCCTCCGGATCAGGTCACTTGCGAGATACGTCAACCCCGCCCCGTGCTTTTTCAGCGAGGTTCCATACGATTTCGACGCTGTACACAACCGGCGCCCGAATCGGCGAGTCCTTTATTTATGTTGTCTTTGTGGTGTGGTGAATATTTGTGCTGTACGGGCCATAACCGGATTATTTGTGCGCTCGAGTTTGTGGATAAAACGAATCAACAGCTTTTCCGCGAAGGTGAGTGTTTCACATAATACTTGAACGAGGGCGGCCGCCGGTGCTGCGACGTGGCGCTCTCGACGTGATTAGATGAGTAAATCCCGGCTAGGGGGTGGTAAACGTTACCACGTAGGCATTCTGGATTCAATTATGACGTCACTCGTCAGGATGTTTGCGATGTATCGGCGCGCAGTCGGCGGGGCCGGTTAGAATCTTGTTAGAATCGGCCCTATCCCACTAATCCATATGGTGGACGGAAGCGTATGGGCAAGAAAACATGGAGGTGAGCGGGCGGGGCGGTGCGCGGCCGGTCAAGCGAGCCGCGGCCGCATTCCATGTGGAATGCCGGGCTACGCAGTGTCAGTGTGACTCCTAACTAGCCCCAACGATGCACATTAATTGCAGCATCAGAGAATTGATGTGGGCGTTGATTGACAATGTGACGGCGCAAGTCCTGCGTGCCACCCACGTTCCTCATCCCCGTGCGATCCTCTTGAAACTTCTCCGCTATGATTCATCCCTCGCTAACAGCTGTTTAGATATCGCAAATAAAACTCCTATCTCGTCTCGGCGCTCGGAAAGTATTGATTTACCATAATGGATAATTGATGCATTGTAAATCCGATTATTGCGGCGTAAACATTGAACGCTTTTGAAATTTTCCACGTCGTATCCGCGCTTATGATCTTGTTAAGCATTGTAACAATGAGTTGCGTTTGATAACATTTGAAAGCCGTTTGTGGCGTCTTCCGCCCTGGGTGTGGGATTTCGGATGTTTTTAATTAATGCCCGGATCGTCAAATTCAATTATTTGTCGTGGGCGACGTACATGTCTTGTTTATTCTTTTTTTAAACTAAAATTTTATTTATTTACCAAATCTTGAACGATGAATTTATGTACCGACATCTATTCAACGATAATAAGTACATAGGTACATAATTTAGTTTAAGATTTTACACAACAATTAGGTGAAAATGCCTAATTAATTAAATTCTGAAAGTTTTGAAAACTTTAGTATTTTTGACATGACTTAGATAAATCAAAAATCTGTTTAGATGGAAAAGAATTTTCGACAGCAGCGGATTTGAACCGACATCCACAACGTTCCGTGCTGTTGCTCCAATCAATTGAGTTACCGTAGAACGCGAAGCCCGTGTCCTTATTTTTCTCTACGTAAATTATTATTTTTTCTAAATGTTAATATGTACTTATAAATAAAAAATGTATGTTACTATGAAATATGTACGTAAATATTTTTACCGAACATGCAAATAAGCTAAAACAAATATCAATTAATAAGAAATGTCAAGGCAACATGTCAATGTGGCAAAACTTCTTTTTTGCCGAAGGCTATCTATTGAAAATTATTTATAATTAACAGTGCACATTAATTTATTACATTAAAATCCGTATTATTTTTTTACAGTTCCATAATATAAACCAAATTGCAAGGTTCTGGTGGTAAGGAAAATTTAAAAAGTAATATATATACATATAGGTATATACTACAAATTTTTAAAAGCAGCTTTTTCGTTTAAAAAAATAACTATGCAAACGAAATATAAATTATTTAGCTATTTCAATGTTATTAAAACATTATATTCTTAGTGCTAGAGCCGGCAAGAATATTATCCTTGTGACTTCAAGTGTATATTTGTCACAACTTTGTAACTATTTATTGTCCTTTTTTTAAGCTTCTGAGAAAGTTTAATTGAAATATTGTAATGATAAGTTCATTACAATATTTCAATCAATCGATCGAAGTTCTTGAGAGGAAAGCTATTAAATAAAGAACAAACAAATATCCATCTAGAAGAGATCGGGATGTTTCATAATACCTATTGTAAAAGAAAACTGTATACTTTTTCGCAAAATATATATATTTTTTTGTTACGCATAATTCTAAACAGATCAATGTATCGTTTCAAAAATATTAAAATGTAATAACAACGAGATGCGGCGATAAGCGGCCGTTCCGAGAATTAACAAAGGAACGTGTTTTAGCTATCTAAAACGAGATTAAAGGTCACCGAGATTGTGTAAATTTGACCCGACACCCGGACACCACGATAGATAATATTTAAATAACAGTTCACTGTAACGAGTTACACAGTTTAATTGTCGGTTTTTTGTCGAATCAATTCTAATCAGAAGTTCTGTCGCAACGCTCAATTATTCTATGAAATTAATTCCTCTATTTCGTGAGGAAACCTTCAAGTTATAATTGCATTCCGCGGTGAGACCCCTCTCACTTGTACAATGCGCTGCAAATTGCAGCGAGACGATGTCCTCAGTAATTCACTATTAAACGTGCTCTTGTCAACGTCAATGATGGCCTAAATTGAATTTATAATTAATACGCTTCTATAACGTAGGCATATCGTATATATGCCTACGTTGAGTCCTAAGAGCTTAGAAGTTAGGTATAGGAGCGGATAACGGTGTTCGCAGCAGAGGTCCGCGCATGTGCGCGTGCGCAACACTCACACATGCAAGCAGTAATCACACAGGCATGAAACGCTCACTCCGCTGGGCCGTTGAACCGAATACTCGAGGAATTTCTCCACGTCGTGTACAGTCTCCATCGTGGATGTACAAGAACATAATAAACGGAGATGGTATGGTGTGAGGGTATTAAAGTACCATAGGAAAGCAGTTTAGATGTTTTTCTATTAACTTTTTTTATTCTTTTATTTGCCAATTACTAGTATTTAAAAAATGTCTGATCTGCCTGGCGTATTTGTTTTCTTTTTGTTGTATTTCTACTTAAAATTTAGAAAATCGAAGGAAGTTTCGTATCTTATTTTATAATTTAAATTCGATGGCACGGGCGGAACTGGAACCCAAGACCCCAATAAATGACTGTGTGTCCAATCCATGTGAAAATAATGTTTAAATTATTATTTTTCTTTCTGCGTGTTTGCGATGGTAGATAATCTACAGCAAGTGCTTTGATTAATTATTTAGTAAAAGTTCATACCTTTCAAATCTACAAAGTAAGTGTTGTCTTATCGATAATATTGCATAAGCGAGCGTTCTCTTTCATAGTTTCGACATTACTTGCGCGTGAGTTGCACATTGCCTATGTTGCACAAACATCCGCTAAGCTCCCACTTAGGTGACAAGTATTTTTGGAGAAAACTTTTTCTTCGCAAATATTAAGTTGGCAACATAGATATAGGATTTTGTGAGATATTAGAAAGAATAGAAAGTAATTACAATGTGAAAAGAATAGATAATCAACGTGTCGAAATGTGTTGGACTTCGTCCGGGAACCTGGATATAAAATGGGTGGTGGGATATCGAAATTCCGTCCGAATCATAAATCACCCACGAAGAAGTCAAATATAATCGCGTTTCGGTTTCAGGGTTTCCGATTATCTATCAAAAAACAAAATAGGCCGACAGCGCATAGTTTAGACGTTATTTGGCTGGGGTATTTCATCAACAAGTGAACCATGCGTGTCTTCTATCGTAAACAATTTGTATTCTCTTCCTTGATGTTAGTACACATGAATCCAAAACCGCGAACATCAACTTTTCGCTCTTTCTCATACAGACAACAGCCTGACGCACAAAAAAGCCATTACGGTTCGTGTAGGTGCGAAAGTTTCCATTCCAGCCATTGATACCTACTTCGGTCTCGGGTCAACTATTTTAGTGTTTATGAATAAATACTAAAAACTTTGGCTTAGCAAAAAAAAGTAATTTAAGGTCTTAATTGCGTAATATAACAATTGAGTATAGTTTAGAGACTTGGTCTTTAGATATTTTTTCGAGAATAAAATTCATACTTTTAATAAAGCACTTATACCGGTTTTAAACACGAAATATATCAGTTAACCTATTTACATGATGCGGATACTGTCTATAGTTTACGTGAGTATTACACATTGAAATAAAACACTTTAACGGTTTAAAACGCGATATATTAGTTAAACTTATTTCATGCTTTGCAGCAGCCGTGGCCACGGGGAGACCACGGCTGCTGCAAAGCATCCGAAACGTCAGGCCAAAGTTAAAAATAATGTTCAATTAAGTCTAACTAATATATGGCGTTTTAACCCGTTAAAGTGTTATATTTAAATGATGCGGATGCTATGCAGAAGCCGTGGCTATAGTGGAAAATTAAAAAAGTAATATACTGTGTTTTAAACCCTTTTATACGTGTACTACTCGCATCAACTGAAGACAATACGTAATTAATACTTATATTATTTTGATTTCTTTTAATTAGAGTTAAGAGTTAACTATTTAGTGATAGGGGAGGATTTTTTTATTAAAAGAAATTTTTCCATCCTTAATAAACGTGATTTTAACCTAAATAAGAAGGTATTCTAAATTCAAAAACTTTCAAACTACCGCCGCTATAGTTAAAATTCGTTCTCTTCTCTTCTCTGCTAAGTTAGCGATATGACAATCGTCCCAGCTGATAGTTCTTCGCGATATGCACAAAGCTGTTGAATTATGAGCTAGCAGGCAAGTGAACGCTGCGACCTTGGGTCCGTGCCGGCTCGCGGACGTTCGTTGAACCGCGCCCCGCGCCCCGTACCCTCCACCGCCATAACCCGTTCTGTGATTATATGCGTAATTTCCCGAAATTATATTCACTACAAACTATATTTACTCATACTACACAATATTATGAAATTCACTTTTTAATTACCGCGAGTTTGATAAGGAAAGTTTTAAACCGAATCGCCGTACGAGAATAATTAGTAATTACTAAGATGCAGAGATTTACATATTTATCTCTGTTTATGTTTATTTACAATTCATTATGAACATTTTATTCATTTATTCAGTTTTCGTTTAACGCGAGCTTTCGTAATGTTGAGTAGCACACAATTTAGATATTGTCCGATGTTTACGCGTTAGTGTTTTAATTAAATTATGTAATACATTTAAATTAAACACAGTACATAATATTTAAATGTGTACTACATTTAAATGAAACACTTAACCGGTTAAAAACGAAATATATTCATTAAACGAAACGTCGGGCCGTAGCTAAAACTTAGTTGTAAACAATTTTCAGTAATATTTTTCGCGGTATAAAGCGTTAAATTTAAATAGATTTTTATAAAATATGCGCATGCGCATTAGTTTTATTTTTATAACATAACATATATAAGTTTTCAATCGTAATGACTTTCCTAATTCTTTTCTTACGAACCGCGGTAGGTAACAAACAGGATGTACGTACTTGTGATTTTCCTCCTCGGCGGTGAGTCGGTGCATCATCAGTTCCAACTAGTGAACTGCAATAAGAATGATTCGCCAAGAAACCAGTTGCATGCTATTTTAAAGTTATACTTGTGGAATTAAAAGATCTACTTCGATCATTTACATTCTTAACATCAGAGAAAACTGGCCTTCGTTTCAATCATCTCGCACGCACTCATAAATCTTACACAATTACTTGATCGCCTTAACTATCCGAATGTTTTGTCAATTGTTCACGGAATAAAACGAATTTAAGATGTTTTTCTTTATATAATAAAAGTCGATTATACATTGAAAAATTACGACACGGGCAGGACTTGAACCGCTATCTATAGAGATCCGTGCTGTTGTTTTAACAATTGAATACCGTG